CCCTGTGAACCCTCGTGCTGCGGTTCATCAACGAGCATGTCTTCCTGGTGCCACCAGCCCAAACTCAGTCTGCCTGTAAAGGCTACCACTGAGAAACGAAAGAGGAGGAGAAGGAAGTCGTTAACTAAACCTTCCAGTCAGGCTGATGACTGTCATACATGTGGTCTCACCGTAGCCAAGAGGAATGCTGCCTTTGAGTGTAACATCTGCAGTAAGTGGGTGCGCAGTCAGTGTGACGACGACATACCAGACCAATATTACACCTTCATGGCGCGCTACTCATGCACGTGGTTCTGGTGCACCTGCCCACAGTGACGTATAAGGCCACTCTTTTCTAAAGGCTTGCCGATGAAGGTCGTAAAAGACATCGCAGTGACTACTGTGATGCCGGCACCCACACAGACAACTACCCCAGGCCCAAGCAGCAAGAGTGTCGGCACTGCACCCCGGCCGGTCACACCGGTGAATAGTCCAAAAAGACCAAAACGACGACCGGGTACGCCAACAACTACATTTGTCCCTGACCCTGGAGCCACTTTAGAGGCTTACTCCACTGTGCAACGATAAAAATGGGTGATAGTGAAAAAGAAGGTGCACCCTTCCCACAAAAAACCACCCATAGCACGCGAAAATAGAGAAGCTGATGACAGGTCGAACTCCATCATCTTATTTAACGTCCCTCTGTGTCATGAAAGTCTCCTTGAGAACAGAGAATCGTTTGACAAGCAGCAGTGGGGAACCTTATGCACCACACTAGGACTGGGTAGCCTAGAATCAAAACTGAGCAGGCTCTACAAAGGCAATTACCCACCTCAGGAAAAGCCTCAGCCAATGAGAGTTACCCTAAGCTCTGCTAAAGAAGCGGAAAGATTCTTGCTGATTTCACACACACTAATCATCAACAGGTCATGCAGCATTATATCCAGACCAAACCGCCCTTGGCCAGCAAGAAAAGTATCTCGCGAGGCACCTCAAACACTGAAACTAGCAACTATGGTTGTCCACAGCATACCGGAACTGACAACCGGCACTGTCGTAGAAAAGCATGCTCACGACGTCCAGCAATAGCAGTGGTTGTCAGCGGGGATGGGGCTAAATGGGATAGCAGCGGCGGCGGTCTGCAGACTGCCGCGTCCCTCACATTTGACGACGATAACAGCACCTCGGTTGATGGCTGCTAACTTCGGCTGTCAAGAACTTTTAACCAGTGTACTGCAAACTTGGCAAGCAGTAGAAGATAACATCAGTGGGAATGTTGGCTGCTGTGAAAACAGGCTCCACTGGAGCTGGCCCTCCCATAGCAAGTTTCGCCACTACGAACGACTCCCTCCAGTCTACCAGCACCAAGATACCCCTTGTCGTTAGAAACATAGCCAAGTGCCTTCACAGCAATATGGGGGGACTTAGAAGTAAAATAGAGGAATTACGATTTCTCTGTTCCTACCTTGCTCCAACGATCATAATCCTGTCAGAAACTTGGTTATCACCGGACATTAGCGGCGTCGAAACTAGTATAGACGGTATGCGTCTTCGGGAGAAACAGGGAGTTTGAGGAAGGAAGCGGGGTGACGATGCTCATAAGTGATAACCTTAAAAGTGAACGAGCAACTGAAACCCTACTTTCAGGGCTCTCAGACTCCATCTGGTGTCAATTTAAGGTCAGACACACCAACTACCTAGTAGGAGGCGCCTACAGAACACCTACTAGCAGCGTGGAAGATGACCGACAGCTGCTGCAAGTAATGCCCCGAGCGACGTCCATCGGATATGACCAGGTCAGAATAGCCGGCGACTTTAATGCTCCGACTCTCAATCTTGGGCAGGACAAGGGAACCTCAAGCCGAAGGTTCGACCGAAACCCACTCAACACCGTCCAAAAGGCTGGGCTGCACTAGAATATTGGCGATGACACTCGCTGGGGGTTGGGCGGAAAGCCATCCAAACCGGACTACCTTTTTACCAGTGACCCACTGCTGGTAGGAAAGGTACAGGTTCAAACCCCCCTCGGCGGCGGCAGTTACGGCGTGGTAGTGTTCGATCTGGTACTTTCCGAACAACTGTCATGGGAGGCATCGCGCCCTTGTCTTTGCTACAACAAAGCGAACTACCTGGCGATGGACGAATATCTGTCGACAGCACCATGGCCTCAGGAGTGGAGTAACCTGTCGACTGACCAACATTGGGAGCTAGTCAGAGATATCATCCAAAGGGCTGTCCCTGAAAACGTCCCAGTAATCACAGCAATACCGCAGAAACGAGCCTCATGGTTGAAGCGAGGCATGAAAGCCTTTTGAAAGCCAAGGGGAAAGCATGGCACAAGTGGAGGACCTCCGGAAAAGTGTCTGGCCACATCGTGTATATTGCCCTAAATAATCTATGTAACATTAGAGTGAGGGGAGACAGGAAGTCACTCCAGACGAACCTTGCTCAAAAGCTCGAGGCAAATCTCAGAGACCTATATCGGTTTATGGCAGGCAGAAAATCCACTAGCCAGGGGGCTTGCGTCCTGAAAGGCCTAAACGGGGAGAACCTCTCCGGACTGGAGATCGCCGAAGCCTTCAGTGCCACCCTCGATACGTAACTCAATACGTCTCTATCGAACCAAAATTACCAACTGTCCGACAGAAACTCAGCACCACCAAACGCAGTAGAGTTACCTGGAATAAAGGTAACTCCTGCCATGGTCCTCGAAAAACTGTCAAAGCTCCGCCCAGGGAGATCACCAGGGTGTGATGACATCCGACCAGCTGTACTGAAACAATGTGCGGATGCCTCGTGCGGTCCGCTGTGTAACTTGTTTCAACACTCCTTAGACAATCACATGCTTCCACAAGAGTGGAAAAGTGCTATTCTGTCCCCCATCTTCAAAGGTGGAGACAGGCAGAACCCAAAATGCTACCAACCCATAGCCCTCCTACCAGTGGTGTCAAAAGTAATGGAGGGTCTGGTAGACGACCATCTCAGGGAGTACTTAGAAAAGAGGGGAGCACTCAGTGATGCACAACTAGGTTTCAGAAAGGGTAGGTCCTGTGTCACAAACATTCTGGTGGCAGGTGATGAGGGGACGGCAGGCTGGGACCTCCAAATTCCTGTCCATGTTATTTTCCTGGATTTTACTAAGGCCTTCGACACAGTACCACACACCGTTCTTATTCACAAAACAGAAAGGTAGGGCATCAGGGGACAAGTGCTTTCATGGTTGCAGGACTATCTAGACGGTAGACAATTCTGCACAAAAGCCAACAGAGTTTGCTCGGCTTTAAGGACATCATCATCTGGTGTATCACAAGGGACTATTCTAGGTCCGCTGCTATCCCTTCTTTTTGTGAATGACGCTTGTGATGTTAAGCTATGGAGAGCTGTGACGTTAGAAACAGAATCAAGTGCACTGCAAAGTGATCTCAGATTACTTGCAGAGTGGGTGGAGATTAATGGACTTGCATTTAACCTAGATAAATGCCTAACCATGTTTCTCCGTACCCCAGAATCTCATAAGGAACCTATTCTCTCTGTGGAACACAACTCTCCCACACCACTACAGAGAAAGACCTAGGACTAATACTAACTGACAAACTAGACACTTGCCCCAATTATCCAGGAGATGCCTCCAGAGCCTACACAGTACTGCACCTCATCCGCAGACAGCTGAGTGCCCTGACCCCGGAACTCTTTTTGAAGCTGCATAAGACCTACATACGACCCCACATAGAGGTACACAACGTCAATACACCACCATATCTGAGAAGAGACGCGAACACCCTAAAGTCCAAAGGCGAGCTACAAAGGGTGTCGTGGGAATGAGGTAGAAACCATATCAGGACAGGCTGAAAGATCTGGGGCCCCTCTTCCTAAGATACCGCAGATTACGTGCTGACTTGATAACGGCTTACAAAATACTAAGTAGCCCAAGCCATCCGAACAGTGGAATCCTACCGAACGGCCACTATGGCGATCCTCGTAGTAACCCAAGGAGGATGGCTCACCAAAGAGCATAACCCGTGTGACATCACACTTCTTCTCTCTGCGAGTTTGTGGCCACTGGAACGCATTGCCTGCCGAGATTGCTACTGCCCCGTCTGCTGACAGCTTCAAGAAGAGGTTGGACAGTTATGCAGCTACGCACGGTTTGCGCTTATCCGACTGGGATGTGGACTAGGCTAAAACTACTTACTAACTCTCTACGACCAACCGTTACTCAACACTTGGTAAAACCACTATCACTGAGAACTTGGCTTAACCTTATGCCTTCCTGTAGACGCCCCTCCAGTTACCGTCCTCTACTAAAAGAATTCCAATATTCCCATTCGTCCTATAATGTCGTTTATTCTTCTTACTTCTGACTTTACGTTCTCGAACTTTAACAAAAGCCCTCCCTATCACCTATTCCCCATGAACCTACCAATGTTTATTCTTCCGTGCCGTTCCCCTTTTCCTAATCTTTTTAAATATATATTATTCTTCTTCCTTTTTTCCTTTTCTTTTTCTATTTTGTCTCTCTCTGCACTTTCTCTCCCTTGATTTCCCTGCACCTGTTTCTCATCTCCTTCTTACAACCAGTCCGACCAATTGTCTGCTGGCACGACATTTGAGGAACCCATCTGAACCACAGTCCTCAGAAGCAAAAGCAAACAAACAAACAACACTCCCTACAAACCTAAACAACACCCAACCGCCCGTCGGGCTAACCAGAGCTACAGCAGTCGAGTGGGTGGACCTACTGCATTGGAATCCACCAAAGACCTGGAACCGTTCCGCAAGACCTAGAAGCGAGAGCGAAGAAATCAGTTGGTTTACACTAGCTCGTTAAAAGAAATTGGATATTGGATACTCCACCTTCGTCACTTCACCGCGCCTAGTTAAGTCGCATCGTTCCTGTGAAAACCGGTTTGATTTGCGTTCCGAGAAGCCACTAACGCCTTCAAGGCACCATAGTGAAAGTCTTGGCACCTAAAAACCAATCATATCTGTTTACTTCAGCTGAATTCATAAATCACTTCACAATGAATTCCCTTGGTCTCCAGACATATATAGAGTTATGTCATTTCCCTTCATTGGCTCAGTCGAATATTTTCAACCTTACGTATATGCAGTCTGGTAGTGTCAGACGGGGAAAGAATAAGCCGAAGACGTACGGTCTACTTGTTGCGTTTCTCCGTCCAGGTAAGTCGCAACTGTGCATTTTATTTCGGTATAGTTAACGACCCACTAAGCAGTAAATATTGCGTCACCATGCATCACTTCGATATAGACGGAAATACCATCCAGCCGCTAACGAAAAGTATTGATTTCGCTTATTTGCCAGGTAAAACTCGCACGCTAATCGGTGTTCATATCTTCAGGTGCTTCTGATATAGTTTGTATCAATTCATTGCATGACGAAATAACTGATGAATACTTTGTTGCTTTGGGTTTTGTGAAGGTAAAGTCTGGTATTCGGTGATTGCAAAATCTTATGAATGGTTCGCCATATCAGGAAGGCGAGAAAGGATATCTCAACATATACAGATCAAGGTCTGAAGAAAAGCTACCTGGTATGTCGAATGAAAATAAACAATTTGAGTTTGTTTAGAAAATTGCTCGAGTTATTCCAATTTGCCATGTGTCCCTCTTCATTTGACTCATGCTCAGTAAGTTGCGAGTTATTAGTAAACAGGAAAATTTGCATATCTTATAAGCTAGGAATAATTTTTCACAAAATGAATTTTTTTTAACCATTTGGTTCTATAATCGTATGCATCTGGAACTGAACATACTCGTAAAGTCTGACTATAAGTAACAAGTAATAGGCAAAAAAAAACAAATTCAGAGGTAATAGGTTCACATGTATTAGTTGACAGGGTTTTCAGAAAATGACGTACAACTAAAATCATATTTAGTCTGCAGTAAGCAGGGTAGTAGATTGTTAGCATGTTACTCATTGCTGTAGTTATTTCTATGAAGGTCCGGAGTTTAAGCAGCCAGGTTGTAACAAGCCCCACAAAAGATCTAGCTGATTACGTACCACACAAACATGCTTAAAGTTGCTGAGTTGACTTTCGCGGGATAAAATACTGCTAATGAGGCCTTACATATGTGGGATATAAAATCCCAAACAAAGCAAGGCGTTAGAATGCTGTACAAAGCGACAACACACTGGCTTTTTTAAAGTATAGTAGGAAGAACAGTCCAGGTATTGTGCTTTGAGGAATGTCATCCGTAACGGTACCACTCAAATAGAATCCTATTCACACTTTCCTTTTTGTTGGGTAAATGCTTCCTTATTCAAGTCTTAACTCATAGTGAAACAGGATCAACCTGTCTAAGAAGTGCATTGGTTCAAGTTGCGACACTTGACAATAGCATACAAAGAACTAGCGGGTGGAAGAAGACTGATATCAAAATAGACAAAAGTGTGTAGGGGGAAGAAATGAAGATTATTCGAAACATTTAAGGTTGGGAAGACAGCAAAGGGTGAATACATCTGTCCGATTTTCAGCCGCTTCAAGAGTTCTCAACCACTAATTCCTCTCTCCCCAGAGATCTCAGATAGACAGTCAACACTTCCCCTCATAGCTATAATCAGTGGTCAGACACTTCATGGACTAGTGTCACGTTTTGATCCGGCCACCCTGGACCCTCTTCCAACCTAACCCAATGTCTACTAGCACTTTAGGCTGAGGTAGCCGGTGGCTGTGCATGTCAAACACATGATCAAGCCATCTCAGTCATACACGGTTCATAACTTTATCGACTAACTTCCTCTTATTGCCCAGTATCTTTCGTCTGACCTCGAAATTCCTAACATGGTGATTCCACCATACACGAAAAATACCTCGAAGACGTGATTAGAATGTGGTTATTCCTTTATACGTTTTACTATTAACGACCATGTCTGCCAGCCATATAACAGGATAAAACAAACTGCAGCTCGGTATACTCATCATGTAATAGGTGGTCGTATATCTCTCCAGTGGGGGCCAGAGATAACGCAAGTTGGCGAGTGATGAATAGCCCTTTCGTATCCGAGCTGTGATTTCGTAAGCAAGCAGCCCATTTGGGCTGGGGCAACTCCCCAAGTAGGTGAAGTGGTCAACTCATTTCATCACTTCATTTCTTATACTTAGAGTGAGGATATCTGCAAAGCAGTCTTTCGTTTGACAGGCACGAAACACTTGCCAGATGTCCTCAGATTTGTGCTCAACGTGTTCAGTAGACCATGAAATTTGTCAGCGTCTTCACCTAACAGGACGATATCGTCTGTATATTCCAAGTCAACCAGGTGCAGTGCATGAGGTAGACCAGAGGTACCTAGGGTTATGTCTATTAATCGATCTATAACGGAACTAAACAGAAACAATGACTGCGTGCATCCCTGGCGGACACCACTAGTTATTGTCAGTTCATAGCACACCTCCATAGGCCTTACATGACTGCATGAGTGAGAGTAGAGAGCTTTGATCAACGTTACCTACTTGTTTGGTACTCCGTTCACAGTTAGACAGTGCTACAGTACCTCTCGGTTGACAGAGTCAGATGCCGTCTTTGTGCCAAGAATTACATCGTGTCGGCTGCCGCTAAATATGCCTATGTTCCATAAACCGACGAAGTGCGAAGACTTCTCTCCATTCTTATCGACTAGAATGATCAATGAGGTAGACCAGCGTGACGGGAATACCTTTGATTTCCCATCCACTACTTAGTACCTCAACAATATCTTACCGGAGTCCGGCGACAAGCTATCAGACTCAACTGCTTCGCATCGTTTCAGGTTATAAACAGCCTTTTCAACCTCAAGGAGACTTGGAGGACTGATATCTACATCCCATTCAGGTTTTTGGTGGATGTTGGATAACCATAGAGTTTCTGTGAACTAGTAGAACTGTGTTCACAGTGTTCTGTTTAACGTTCTAGCCACCTATGCTGAGAGGTTACCGGGGACTCATCCTCTTTCGGTGATGGTTTCATTAACCATCTTCTTACTAGCATCATTGACAAAACTAAATAATTGACGGGTATTATGTAGTGCTGATGCCTTCTGCATCTCTCGCTTTCACCACCCACCACTGCTTGTTTTGACTGGGAAGACTTATTCAATTCACATTTGAACTGCTTTCACTTCTCATTGTGGTCGGAAGCGGCTTAGATGAGTCTTCCTGCATCTATCAGTTCGAATAACACTGAAATGTGCTAACTTTTGGCTTTAGGTTACCAAATGCATTTACCGCTGTTCTTACTGCAGCAGACTAAATATCACCTCAGGCTTCAGTATAAGAATGTCTCTAACCTTCAGATACATTCTTCGCTATCTCTTCCGTAAATGCAAGCTACGCGTTCTCATCTTCGAATCGAGCACAGACAGGTTTTGCTACTACCTCTTTTCTACGACTAGTAAGGTGCCTACATGCCCGTGCTCGCAATCACAGTCCAACCAGGTATTCCGCAAATAGCAGGAACCCTCAGCTTATTCTCTCCAACTATGACTTATAGCAATGTGATATGTGTCTATCGTTGATTTGGTGTTAGTAGACATCAAGTGAGACAATGTCTGTTCTTACGCTAAAAGTTGGTGCTAGCCAGAAACAAATGATTGTCCGAACTAAGTTGCAAAATACGATCGCCGTTGTCAATTCGTTGAGATTGCACACCAAAGATATTTCCAAGATACCTTTCCGATTGGCTTAGCTTTCCTACTTGAGTGTTGAAGTCGCCTGCTGTTGTGGCTGACTACCCCTGAACGCTTTGCTTTATGTTGGGGAATCGACTGTTTTTGATAAGATTCATGCTTTGTCCCTTCCGAACTGCAGTGGATGGGCGCGTAGACAGGGAGGTTATCAGGAAGCTTTGACAAGTCTCACTATCCTTCCTAGTTCGTACAGGTCTACTCAGTCGGACAACATGCAGACCGCCGTTGACTGGTATACAGTCGAGGAGTACGGTTTATGCTCAATAAGTTAATTCTATGTCTGCACCAGCGAGTTCACGGGAGTTCGCCGTTGGATCTTCGTACATTTCGTGAAGGGAATTTTGAAGATTCAGTGCACTAGCCAGATATGGTCAGTTGAATAACCACACTCGGGCTTTGTACAGATACTTCAGAAATAGCATGCATCTGTGGTCTGAGATTCCGGAATTCTGATAAGGAATGCCTGCTTAACTATTTGACATAGGATTCGGATGCTGAAAGCTGCGATGTGAAGCCGACAGTAGGAATTGTATTTCGCTGGCTTTGGTCGTTGATAATGTTGGCAGAATGAGAGGTTGAAGATGTTGGAGGCTTAATACTGATATTGGGTAATGTAGGCAGTTGAGAAGACAAAGGTTAGTAAGGTAGGCTATGTTTTATGGAGTTTCGTATGCTGCTGGATGCGTGTAGATGTTCGACACTTTCACTGTGGAATGCTAGTTTTCCTTGAGGTGCCTAAAAAAGAAGGGTTAGCGTGTGACCTCAGAGGTGATGGGATATTTGCAGTTATTTCATGTTTATAGAGATGAGATTTGACTGTGCTAATGCGGGACCAGAAAAGCCGATAGCACTGGAATAGGAAGACCGTAGAGTCGATGTGTTCTATATTTTGGCCAACCCTTTGTGGTCTGGCTTTCCCATGGGGAAGGTAGCATCAGCGTGGCACTGGTTGTGACCTGCGGGGAATCTTATTGCTGTTGTATCCCTGTCCTACCAGCAGTACCATCTTGGCCTTGGATACTCATCATAGTCTATTAATTCAGACTATCAAGGTAGGTGTTCTTTTTCTCATTTGTATCCAGCAGACGGTGTCGGCGTATTAGGTGCTCAAGAAAAAAGCATTCTAGTCATTGTAGTTCATTGAGTGACTGTGATATACAAGCCTGATCACCACTTCACAGTAGGTTTTATCGGTCAGGAGAATAGGTCCCATACTCAGTTTAGTCGTAGAATCAGGTGTCTTTATTCCGATCATTTCTTTTCCAATTGTTTTGCAGCTGTTTGCAACTGCTGTTATTATATTCTGTTATTTCTTGTTTCTCAGCTTTCATTGCCATATACCCATGTGGTGTTGCAGCATTAACTTATTCACAGTTATGATAACTTCCGTTTCTTTTTATGCTGATTTTATTCCTGAATAAAACTGAATACAGACAAATAAATCCACACAGAAGTGTTTCGTTTCCACTTGCCATTCTACAGGCCTATACAAAGAAAAAAAGTATAAAATGAATTGCATGAGTTAAAAAAAATGTATAGATGGAAGTTGATGAAAATACTCAAAACTTCTAGGATGTGAACCATTGTGATCGATTTTCTGTTGTGACCAAAAGTTTCTAACCAAGCAAACAATTATCGCACAGCACCAAACAAACTTTAAACTTATAATCCCGGCGTTTTTGGACCATTTATTGATCACCAGATTCATAAAGGAAGGAAGTTCTAGTCTACATGCCTTGTCACATCAGCTGAACGTTTTTATAGTGCGCATACTACGATGTCCGGGCTTAACTCTAAAGTGTTCATAGATTGCAGTCAATTGTTTAGCTCATAATGTTCAAACACCACACATGAACAAAGTGACTTTTTTTCATATTGTGCCAAAAAACTTTCCACCCTGTTTTTTTCAGCTGTTTGTTCAAAGGTAAACTTCAGTGGGCATTCTTCCTTTCTTTTGGTGAACCATTCGTTGAAACTCCAAATCAGAGTGAGTTTTTATTGAACTTACAGTCATCCTTAAACTTCTGACATTAAAAACCATGTTATTGAACTGTGGCGACCTGAAACTGGCAGTAATATTTCCGCCCACTAATCACCTACTAGTTATCCTTCTGAAAACTTACTTTGTTTGTCAACATATCTCGACCTAATCACGGTCAAGAAATACGAGTAAACCTCTGGCACTGTGATAGACTACGATTCCATTTAAAACTGTTTATTGCAAGTGTCACAGTGAAAAAGTATCATTTACTGGGTAACGTTTCGGACATAATTTATTGTCCGTATTCACATCAGGTAACTCCACAACTTTGAGACAGTTTATATAGTCCTAATTTTCTCTCCTTCTTTGTGATGACAAGGGTAGTAGGATTTTCCATGTATTGCGAACAGGTGCAGAGTCATTTCTATTCCATGTGTTTGATGTTGATTCGATAAACAAAGATTCAGTTACCGATCTCTTCCTCCACCCACCCAACTAAGTTTTTGATGCCGTCGCTCTATCGCACCCTATTGTGTGTTCGTGTGTAATTGCGTGCAGAGCTATAGCCGAGCGTTTTGCTAAATTTCTCGTCTTATTAGGATCTACTAATCTTGATTTAGCTAAGTTTTTCTAATTGACCCTGGTCGACTACTTTGGCCTCGTAATCATTGCAAGGGGTTCGGTGAACTAAATTATTTTGAATCTTCTAACCTACAAAGCTTATTTCTAATCCAGTTTGTTGTTTTAAATGCCACTTTAATCCCAGCCTTATTGAGAATTCTCCACAATGCTTCTGAGGTGCCTTCCTTGTATGGTAACATAGCAGAGGCTTTAAATTCTCTCTCAATGCTGTCAACATCATTACCATTAATAGTAGAATTATTGTTGATAACACTTGTGTTACTACTACTACTACCACTGCAAATATTTTTCTTTCGATTTCTTATGAATTTATTTATAAATTTAGGTGGGTAGTTACTGAGAAGCAAGGCATTCTTGATGTGGTTATTGAGGTGACTCCTAAAGTGTCCTTAACTCAAAAGAAGTAAGGGTTCTGGAGAAAGACCTTAGCTTCACTGCAGCGGTTAATGAATTGAAGCCAGAAGATATCATTCCCAAAACAGAAATAGCGTAAAGTTCAACAGATAAAACAATTGCAGATGAGGTAAGAGCGAAGTGTGCTCTAACACTGAAACGAGAGGAGAAAATTAAATCAAATGTCATCTTGTGCACCAGCTGCAAAATATTCAGCCGCATGTTACTGGAGAAACTTAAAAATGCTCTGGATTCAAAATTATAACCGGAACAGGCTGGCTGGCCTCAGGAAGAACAAATGGAAGTTAAACGCTACACATCATCATATAACAGGGCAGTGGGTGGCCGTCAACTCTGTACCTGAACTTTGTCGATTTTGAAAAGGCCTTCGACTTTGTCGACGGAGAAGTCATTTAGCACCTGCTTCAACACTACGGTTTTAGTGCCACAAGACGTTATCAACCTCATTCAATAGCTATATGAAGACGCTATATTCAAAGTCATTCACGATGGTAAGCTCAGTGACGCCTTTGAAGTGAAGACAAGAGTAAGACAAGGTTGCCTACTATCACCGATGGTCTTCTTGATTGTGGTGGATTGGGTCCTCCAACAAACTATGAGGAGCAAAAAGATGGACATACGCTGTTTGACCGATGAGAAGACCCTAGAAGATTTGGATTTCGCTGATGATGATTTATGCCTAATGTTGCACAAACTCGAAGATCTATAGGTGAACGTAGAGAAGATGGAGGTGATGAAGACACCCAACCAACAACAGCAACACCAATCACCATCGACAGGAGTAACCGAAATAAAGTTCTCTTTTACCTACCTAATCAGCATCGTTTCAACTACAGGTGGCGGCGGCACAGATGAGGATGTCAAATCCAGGATCTGAAAGATAGCAAGATAGACCTTCATTAACCTGAAATCAGTGAGGAGATTTACTGCACTGCACTCAGCATAAAGAAAGAGATCCGGATTTTCAACACTACTATCAAGTTAGTCAGTGCTTTTATGTGATGGTTCAGAAACTTGGCGCTTTACGAAAACATTTCCAACGAACTGCATACAGACATCAACAGCTGGCTATGCTGGGTACTATAGATCAGATGCCAGAAGGAATAAGCAGCAAGAAACTGTGGCTGGCAACGAACCAACCAAGAACCCATCGCCCAACAAATATGCAGAAGAAAGTGGAGGTAAACTGGATTGAGAAGACCATTTGATGACATTACGTGCCAGGCCTTCTAGTGGAATCGGAATGGGAAACGACGAGTTAGACGTCCGAGGGTGACATGGGGGAAATTGTGTGAGTAAGAAATGAAAGTTTCTGGGTATTCGTGGAGTCAGGTTGAAAAGACTGCGGAGAACAGAGTGGAGTGGCGACGTTCCACTGAAGCCCTATGTTCCATTAGGAACCCAAAGGACAAATAAAGAAAATATGAACTGGTGTTTGGATACAATTATTTTAGAGATGCTTCTCAATATGAGTCAGACAAACCAAAAACCAATAAATATTGAACGACTGTCGCAGCTTGGTATGCTTTTTATGGTGTGCATTACACTTAAAACAGACCAAAGCCAAAGGTACATGGAGTTCGGTCAAGTATATACCAGTCAATTTCCGTGTTTCAGTTAAGAGATTCTATCTTATGGTGGATTTTTTAATCACTTTTAAGAGCTTTCCCTAGACACTCATTGCCGTTCAAGTGTTGTTTGAGGAGTGATTGTCAGTCAGATGGAAACAATGTTCTTCACTTTGTGGATTAAATCACTTTGTTGTTTGGTGTCTGATCGACCGAATCAGACCAGTAAAGACGGAGTTAATTCATCTTCTTACTGTTTTACTTTTCCACACACCACTGGTCACCATTATTATGGAGATTATTTATTATTATTTATTTGTCCCTTGGGTTCCTAATGGAACATAGGGCTTCAGTAGCACGTCTACACTTCACTCTGTTCTCTGAAATCTTTTGAACCTGGCTCCACAATTGCCCACAAGCTCTCATTTCCTCCTCGCACGATCTCCTCCATGTCACCTTCACCTCGGAAGCCTAACTCATCGCTTCCCATCTGAGTTACACTTGAGGGCCTGACGCGTGATGTCCTCAGTTGGCCTTCTCAGTGTTTGTCGAATCCATCTCCATTCCCTGCTGCATATTTGTTGCGTGATAGGTTCTTGGTTGGTTCGTTGCCAGTTAGCCATAGTTCCTTGTTGCTTATTCACATTATTCTGGCCATCTGATCTTCAGTAAGAGTCAGTGTAAGCAGTAGTTGATGAATGTTTGTAGTTTGTTGAAAATCTCTTTCGTAACGCGCCAAGTCTCTCAACCATCACACAGAAGCACTGACTTGAAGTTGGTGTTGAAAATCCGGATCTTGTTCACGCTTTATGCTGAGTGCAGAAGATCTCCACACTGGTATCAGGCTAATGAACGCCTGTCTTGCATTTCCGATCCTGACTGGATTTGACATCCTCGTCTGTGCCTGTGCCACCTGTAGTTGAAACAGTGCTTCCTAGATAGGTGAAGGAGGTTACTTCCTTTAAGTTTCTCCCGTTCATGGTGACTGGAGTTTGTTGTTGCTGTTGTTGTTGGCTGGGTATCTTCATCACCTCTGTCTTCTCTATATTCACCTGAAGTCCCGTCTTCGCTGCCCTGCATCACCTCTTCTGCCAACTTGTTAGTTTTCGCCTGTAGATCTTCGAGTTTGTGTGACATCAGACACAAATCATCGGCGAAATCCAAGTCTTCTAGGTTCTTTCCCGCGGTTCAGCGTATCTCCCTCTTCTTGCTCCTCCAAGTTGTCTGCTGCATGATCCAGTCCACTACAATCAGAAAGACCATCGTTGATGATAGTAGGCAGCCTTGTTTCACTCCTATCTTCACTTCAAGAGCATCACCGGGCTTCCCATTGTGAATTACTTGGCATGTGGCATCTTCATATAGTTGTTGAATGAGGCTGATAAAGGTTTGCGGTATTCCATAGTGTTGAAGCAGTTTCCAAATTACTTCTCGATCGACTCTGTCAAAGGCATTCTCAAAGTCGATGAAGTTGAGGTAGAGGGTTGACTGCCATTCTATACTCTGTTCTATAATGATGCGTAGAGTGGCGTTGCAATTTGATCCACACATGATTTGCACTTCCTGAATCCATCCAGCCAGCTAGCCAGCCAGCCTGTTGCGGTCGTAGTTTCGAATCCAGTGCATCCTTTAGTCTCTCCAGAATGATGCGGCTTAATATTTTGCTTAGGGTGGACAGGAGCATGATTCCTCGCCAGTTCTTGCAAACACTTAGGTCTCCCTTCTTCATGAGTTTGACAAGGTAGCCCTTCTCCCAATCAATAGGCGGGTTCCTTTCCCTCCTTGAAAACCTCGTGCACTAGTGGTGTGAGCATGTCGGCTGTTGTCCCTGCATCTGTTCTCGATGCTTCTGGTGTGATTTCATGTGGTCCTGCTGCTTTCCTGCATCTCAGTAGCTTTATGGTGCTCAGAACTTCGAATTATGTTCGAGGATTTGTGTTCACTTGTAGTTCAGCGACTGGGCTGTAGGTGGTATTTCTGGAGGAAGTGTAGGTGATGGTCGATTCAAGAGCCTCTTGAAGTGGTCGGCCCATCGTTTCCTTCGTTTCTCTTCTTTAGTAATTAAATTTCTTTCATCATCCTTTATTGGCTTCACTTGTGTTGATCTCTTCTCTGCCATATAGTAACTTGGTTATTTGATACAATGTTGTCGGGTCTCTCCTACCTGCAACCTGTTCTGCATAACTTGCCAGTGTTTCGTAGAAGTGTCTTTTGTCTTTCCGTGCACTCTTCTTCACTTCTTTGGCCAGTATAGTGTTTATACATTGTACTCAGTTCCTCTTCTCGTTGTGTATCCTTGCACTGGTTCATCTTCTGCTTCATCATCCTCCTCTCCCTGCTCTATCAGCTTCCATGTGTCCATCGAGATCCATTCCTTATTTTCTTTCTTCTTCCTTCCTAATACGGCTGTGCAGGTTTCTTTCCACATCTCTTTCAAAGACTTCCAGTGTTCTCCCACACAGGTTTCTTCAGGGATGTTCCTCGATATCTCCCATTTTGTCTTTATGGCTGGCTGGCTGACGTGAAGATTTCCTTTGTAGCTTCATCCTTCAGTTTCTGTTCTGGGTGTTGAACTTGGACTGTGGCCTATCACCAGCTTCCTTGAAGGCTTTTAACTTGATTTGGAAGGTTCCTTGAACTAGACGACAGTAAGTGGTCTGAACCTACATCTTCTCCTCTTCTTGACCTTGTGTCAAGTAGGCTGCGTCTACACTTTCTTCACATTGAGATGAAGTCGATCTGATTCTTTGTGTGTCCATCTGGTGAAATCAAATCCATGTCGCTTTGTGGATATCCTTTTGCTTTAAGGTTTCTTTAGCTATTGGATTTGTTTTGCGGGGTAGGATTGCTAGCCCTACGCCCAACCTTCCCTCTTTACCCGGACTTAGGACCGTCGAGTAACTAGTGAACTAATTAACCAGGCGAGGTTTTATTATGGAGAATCTATGTTAAATTACATTTTGACTTCTTTGGTCCTATCATGACTGAACACAGCCGGAGTGAGTATTCCACTGCTCTCCTACTACGACAAGACTACTGAGACCGTCTGGTTTTTACTAACCATTCGGTTTTAAATTGGTAACTATAGTTACAGCTGTTTTTATAACATTGTGAATTGCTGCCATTCTAAGATGAATGCCGGTATGTTACTCTTCTAAATACAAACTTTATATTCTCGTCGGTCAAGTGAGCTCCTTGCATATCTTCTTGACTAGTGTCAACTAGTAAAAAACTAGATTTCTAGCTTCCTGCTTATCACTCAAGACCAAACTGAAAGACTAGCACTCTTATCTTGTGACTACAAAGCAGTTTTAATCTGTGGGATTCAATTAACATTCAAGACTTAGCAACATGACATTGGTTACCTTTACGTGACCGTTCAGTTTAAAAATGAAAACTGAAAACGAAATCACTCTATACAACTTGTATTGTAAGCCTGTTTGATTTTTTTAGTGGCTTACCGCTGTTAGGACTTGTATTCCAAGTATTTTTGATTGCATTATTAAGTATTTTTTTGCTTAACGTTCTCTGGCATATGATTAAGCCAAGGTTGTCTTCAACATTCTCGAATCGGTGCTTATCGAGGCACATGGGGGTCTAATTAGTCCGCTGTCAAACCAGTTTGTTAATATGTTGATGCACAAAATATCCATATTAGATGCTACGTGCGCTATTCTTCAGTTCGTAACGTTGTCTGATATTCATTTTGTCGATCCGGGGATTATGCAACATGCTAAACCCACCCAGTCATACAGTTAAAGCACCACTACTAGCTAGCATTTTCATTAAGAATCGCCTGTGTTGTTAAAGTAGGTACATATAGAGTACAAGTCCAGTTGGGGAAACTGTAGATATTTCTGTTGTTTATCGCTCTTTACTTAACTGCATGTAATTATAGACCAATCCCTCTATCATCTGAGGGACTTTGGCAGGTGTTGCACTGTTAGCATACGTCGAAGTAGGTGGTGACTCGACATGAGCAGTACATATACAGGCCAGCTCAGCTGATGAGGGTTCACAACCTCGTTCGACTTGTCCATCTTGCCTAGTACCTCAACATTGCTCACATGGTGATTCCAAAAAACATGAGGAATACTACGAAAACACCTAGGATCAAAACCCTGTAATCGTTTCATGTCTTCTACTTTTAACGGCCATGTCTGACAGCTGTAAAACGACAGAACGAACTGCAGTGCAGTGTACTCGTCCTCTGATAGGTGGTCGGATATCTCGCCACCGATGATGAAAGTCGGAAAATGCCATACGAGGCTTCTGTATTCAAGCTGAGATTTCGTCAACAAGCAGCTTGTGCAAGTTGGTGCGATTCCCCAAGTAGGTGAACTAGTTGGTACATTCCACCACTTTACACTCTATCCGTATACTGTGAGTAGCCGCTGCACACTAATCCTGAAGCATCCTCCTTATCATCTATCAGTATAGGACCAGGCATTACTGCGTAACTGTCCGAGTTGCCACAGCTCATATCAGTACATCAAGTAAAAAGGCAGTGAAGTGGAAGATGAAGAAAAGAAAACAGTCAAGAGAAAGATAAATTACTAAATGAGAGAACAGAAGAATGAGAGAATGATGAGATTCGGTAAAGCGTTAAGATGAGGATAATGTGTGTATACTTCTGGGCCACTGACATCGGTTTTGAGCGATATCACCTAGAGTCTCCAACCAATGGTCTCCCTTGTCCCGCGGATCCCGACCGGCTAGTCTACATCGCTACACATGGCTCAAACCAACAGTCAATGACTTCATACATTGATGCCATATTTTAGTCCGGTCACCTCAGGCCTTTTTGCTGCCTGAACCTACTTCGGCCAGCATTGTGCGAGTAGGCATACGTAACGCGTGTTTCAACCATCTCAGTCGATAAAGGTTGACAACCGTGTCAACTGATTTACCTCTTCTCCCTAAAACTCTACACCTGACTTCTGCGTTGCTCACGGAATACGGTTTATACTACGAAGGCAACGGTGGTCAAACACTTGAAGCCTTCTCATGTCTCCCACCTTCAATGGCCATGTTTCACAGCCATACAGTAAAACAGAGCAGACTGCTGTGCAGTTCACGCGACCCTTAATAGACAATCGGATATCACGGCGGCGCCATAGGTGGCGTGAGTTGGCGAAAGCCAGCGGGACCTTGTGTATTCGTGCGGAAATTTCGTCGGCCACTGAGCCACTAGGGCTGATCCTACTTCCCAGGTATATGAAGTGGTCGACACACTCAATCACTTCACTCTATTGTTGGCCGAGGCACCGTTGAAGATCAATTCTGGAGCAACAATTTTCATTTGGGTGGTGAGAAACTCATCCCAAACATTCTCAAATTGCCACTCAAAGTATTCGGAAGATGCATGCTGTTGGGGTCTTCACCTAACAGGACTGTATTCTAGAAGCATCCTCCTACATCTCACAGATACGAAACATATGCCAAACATACTCAGATTTCTGCTGAATGTGTCTAGAAGACCTTGTATTTTCTCAGCGTCTTGACGTAGCAGAACAATATTGGCTGCATACTCCAAATCAACCACGCCCTGCAGGGAATAGGTCAACCCCTGTGAAGTCATACGTACCTAGGGTTATGCCCATTAGTTTGTCTACATCGAAGTTAAATAGGAACGGTAACAGTGGGCATCCCTAGCAGATACCGCTAATCGTTATGAGTTCACATGGCAACTCCCTATAAGCTCTTCCAATAGATGGCTGCCTGAGTCCGAGCGAAGAGCTTTGGTAAGCTCTGTCTACTCGTTCGGTACTCACTTCATAATCAGACATTGCCACAACACAGATAACTATAGATCCTAGGATCTGGGATACAATATTGGTCAAACTAATATCCCTTAAGTTGTCGCACGATGACTTCTCTCCTTTGCTATAGACCGGGATGATCAGAAAAGTAGACCAGTTTGGTGGCACTACCTCTGATTCTCATACACTCTCTAGTACCTCTGTCACTTTAATTAGCGATTTCCTACCTCCATCCTTAAAAACTTCAGGTGACAAACTGTCAGGTTTTACTTCTTTGCTTCGTTTCAGGTTCAATACAATGTCTTCTTCATCTCTCTCTCGCTTTCGCCACATACCACTGCTCGCGATCATTACGAAGACTCCTGGTCAAGTTATGTTTGAGTTGCTTTCGCTCTTCATTGTGATCGGAGACCGCTGGGATCAGTCTTACTTTACTCCGAATGGATCAGTCTTCTCTCACCAATCAGTTCCGATGACGTTGCGGAAATCCAATAACGAATGCGAACCTTGTGTTGTAGGTCACCAGCTTTTTTTTACCGCGGTTTGTACGGCAGACTTAATATCATGCCAGGTTTTCTCAACGTGATGGTTGATGTCATGTTCGGATAAATGCCTAACTAACTCTTCCCTAAATACGTACTGTGTCCTCGTCCTCCAGTCGAGCATAGACAGGCTTTGCCATCGTCTGTTTCCTGCGACCAGTAAGACGCGGACACATACAAGCCCGTACTAGCTCGTGGTCGGAGTCCAAACTGGTACTCCAGAAAGAGCGGCGATCCCCCACTAATCCTCTCCGACGATGGTCTATGGGAATGTGATCCATTTGTGTCCATCGTCGGTGTGCTTCCTAATAGCTGAGCTTTCCTACTTGAGCGTTAAAGTCACCTGCCATTATGATTACATCTGAACATTTTGCTTTCTGTAGCAAAATTGACAGTGTCTGTCATAATTAATCTTTTGCATGATCTAAACTGCAGTCGGTGGGTTCGTAGGTAGAGATTACAAATAGCCATCTTCTGATCTCACGACCCTTCCTAGTCCCTACAGATCCATTCAGTCGAACAGCACGTAGGTGGCTGTTGACTGATATTCATTCGAGAAGTGCGCTTACTGCCCTACAGCTCAATTCTATGCTTACACCAGCTAGTCCACGAGAGTTAACCACTGGGTCTTCGGATACTCGTAAGGTGAATTTTGAAGATAAATTACAATGGACAGGTGGGGTCCATTTAATAACCGCATTTGAATCCTGCATAAGTGTTTCAGAGACAGCATAAATCCATGGCTAGAGATTCTAGAGTTCTGGTGACCGTTGGTTGTTGTCCGATTCGATATAGAGTTCAAAGGTTGAAAGCTCCTACACGAAATCAATGGTTGGGTCTTAGGAGACTGGCAATGAGGTTTCGATGGCTTTGATCGTTGGCAATAGTTGCAGAGTTAGAGGTTGGTTTAGGTGTAATTTGCTTAATATTCGTATGAGGAGGCAAAGGAGTAGGACAGGTTATGTGTGATTGGATTGCTCTTAAGTTTTAAAGTTCGAGTATTCCGAAATTGTTCCAGTTGAATGTGTTTTTGTCACAGTGTATTCAGAAGGGATACTTTACACCGTGACGTTTGACATCCAGTTTGTGTTCATGTAGGCGTTGTAATACTGGTCTACCTGACTGTCCAACGTAGTAGTGCTCGTACTTATTCTAGTTGACGCTGCAGATAACGTTGTTCATTCCTTCTTTGTTGACTAGATCTTTGCATAAGATATGTTATGGCGATTTTGTTAGTTTATGTGACACTGCTGTTCTGAGCTATAGAGCAATCTAGCTGTTGTTTTCGAGATATTCTAGATGTATGGGAACACGATTCTTATGTTTGTTTCTTTATAGATTGTCCAAGATATGGCACGGAGTTAATCTCAAGTTTGAGGTCAAATTTGTCTCGGGTTACGTATGCCTTACACTTCGGGCTTAAATTTGAGCTTACTATCTATCACCAGAGCAGCATTTGATTAGTAGAAAACGCTTACACTATAATTTTGTGTCAAATTAAGTCAATGAGAAAGTTACTGATACTTCGAAAGCTTCATGCATATGTACTTCTTGCCCGATGGTAAGACACTGTTTAACGGTAAATTCAAGTAGGCCTGTAAGATTTTGTCCTTTGTGCAGCTGTAAAAGGCAAGAAGCGTTTAAGCAATCAGCGATACCTGAATTCATGAGCTGTCGTTTTGATAGTTTCGATATCAGTTGATCGCATTCTGTCCTGATTTAAGTTTTCTGTGAAAATCATTATTTTTACTGTACTAGAATGTGAGACATTGATTAAAGTAAGCTGTATTAAATGGAATTATCTCGCATACCCTATTTTAAAACTTACTGGGTTGATTTTTGCATTTAATTCAAGTGCGTAATGAGAAGCTTTTCTTTGTGTTGCTAACTTTACTATAAATGCCTGAGCTCTCTTTTTTATTCTTTTATACTTTTTAGTTGAGAGTGCAAATCAACCACGAATAAAAATATTCTCCAGATTAGTCGATACTGTAAGTACTTCAAGCTTCTTGCTTATGTATATAAAGTATCATGTAAGGAGAGTATCAGAAACTTTATGCAAAATTCCCAACAAAGCTCATTCAAACCTACAAAGTCATAAGGAGGTAAGTTTTGTTGGCCCAGTTAGACAAAATAATCCAATCTACCAAGTACAATACATGTCAAACTAGCCGATCGCGATCAGTTAGAATTATGGAGTATAGCAACTTAGCCAAATTTAGACTGATAGCTGCTATAATTAGTAATCTGGGGGAACCCAGCTATTCCAATGCTTGCAACCATACATTTGAATGAAACAAAGGGACTGTACTCAAGTCGAACATAGTTACGTGGAGATAAGGAGAGAGATTACTCTATCTTCGTTGATCGAATCAATACACAACAAATGTAATAGAAATAATACAAAATCTATTCCGTAGTTATGGAAAATTTTACCACCGCTGAAGATTGAATAAAAGTTGATAGTTCTACGAAAGTCAGATGTCTAAAGTTATATGTTTATCTTCAGATGATTATGAGAAATAATTTGTGCATGAAACGTCATCCAGGAAATAATACTGCATCACTGTGTTATATGAAACGAACAAATGTACCATGCAATTATGACATGACAGTGCTTAAGTTTAACGCTTATATGTAATGCTTTTTGACTATATCACCGACAGGGATTACTATTTTTAGGTAAAATTCCTTCACTCTTCTCTTGCATTTTAACTCTATACTAACTGTTATTTCATAGGTTAGTTTTCGAGTTAGTATCTGACCATTATGAGTCTGTAATTTGTTACCCCTTTGGGATTGTAGCTTGCATATCACCTGCTTCTATATAATTTTAATGAGTGTATAACTAACACCAGTTGCTATTATAAATTCGACAACTTATTGTTGTTACAAATGAAAGCAATTTTCGACTTCACGTGAGTCCCTTGGATTCGGGTGAATCATTGAAAAGGGTTCTCTGGTCTGGCATCATATAAAGTTAAAATTGAAATGAAATTCTAGGTATCACTTCCACTGCCATTTACAAATCTGTGCATACTGATTTTCTCGCGATCATATTAATCTTTTCAACTCATTTAATTACTGATCTGATATTGTGTTTCACCAGCTTGGTTGACTTTCCCGTATAAAATCAAATCGCAATCAAACGTCGCGACATAAATTCCATGAAATTCGTGTAAGTAGACAATTATAGTAACCACAAGACATCAAAATATAAAACGACCGAGTTCAAAACAAACAAGAGGATTCCTGTAAGCACTATGTTTACGTGAAATTCTAATTAAAGTAGGTGTTAGCTTGGATGCAATACATAGACCAATGAGGTTCGAATCTTTTCAGTGCAGAGATACTAAAAATGAAATATCAGCTGTGATGAACGGGACAGACTGTCTAGTTTTAACACAAATGATTGAATAGGAGCACACCACCAGGAATAATGGCTTCAAAAGCGATTAGTTTTCGATGCATTGGAAATAAGCGATCTAGTAAAAAGAAACAACTGATAGTGAATTTCTTCTGGGATGACAAACGAGTAGTAACCAATTCACCACTATCCTTACTGTTAGGTCGCAACTAATTAAGGCCTACTTAGTGAAATAGATGGAACTGGTCATTCACAGAAAAATGTATAACTAAGATTGATCCTGACAAACAAAACAGTCATTCAAAACATAATTCTTTGGTATTAAAAATTCAAACAAGGAAAAGTTTGCCAACCTGGAAAAAAACAATATTAAACTGATCACCAGTTAGGTACGATAAAGCTACGGCTCATCGGTTTCGGTGATCGACGTTCAACTAATGGGTCACAGGTTTTAAACGGGCTTCTCGTACGTAGACTCGGTCAGCCAGACGATATCATTTACCTTCAAACAATAGCTGTGAACTATTACCTATTGCACAGAACTCTAGATGGTGGCCGAGTCCCACTCATTTTTCACTTAGAATAGATTCTTATCAATACTCGCGGGGAAACTACTCTGCACCAATTTATAAGTGGTAGTATATGCGATTACTAGAATGTGAGTAAAAGCTTGTTGAATAAAGTCTTAACCCAATAAAGAGTGAATATACCTGTTTCATCATAACACGACGTCAGCCTTTCCATCTAGTTTCTCCAAAGAATGATTGGTTGGCTTTGGTGGATTCCAGCCAAGTTCACACTCTGTCAGTCGTTATTCACTAAGATCATGGATTAGTGCTGCGGTCTCATCTTATCTCCACATATCTAGCATTCTACTTCAACCAACATTGTATGTCCCATTAATTGGTGTATCGAGATGGATAACACATGTCCCAGTCAACTCACCTATTATAAGCCATACACTATCCCATTGATTGAATTGCTTTCCTTGGCAAAAACCGCATGTCTCACCGTAACACTGCTTACCCAGTTTTTCCACACTCTGTTTAGAGCTACGAAGATGTGGTCGAACACGTTTAACTTCCGCTTACTTTTTACCTTTGTCGGGATTTCCCAACCATAGTGGACATATGGATGGTATGAAGATTAAATTCGAAAAGTAAACCAACCACAACCATCAAATTTGGCATCTGCTGTATATATGTTTATCATAAGATTTTATAGGAAGTTATTTACCCAATATTGATGCCTTGTGGTCATGTTTGTTGGTGGTGATAGTAATGAATAGACAGACTTCAATTCTCATGCATTTTTGCATTCTGAAGATCATTGTCTATTGCATCCTGTCTTTTGATTTCTCTGATTGGGATCAATAGTGAATTATTCAGGAAATAAAGACACTAGTCCAAGTACTTATGAACTCATTGGTCGATAATGCGACCATGTTGTAAACTATTCTCACATTTCAAAACACCAAGGCATCATTTCCCAGCTGACATTCTGAACTAGTGTGTACTTCGTATTCTGTCGCTTAATCATATTCTGTGCTCATATTTTATTATTGAATCTTATGAGTACAGATGTCATCAAAAGATTTGCACAAGATATATAGCGGATATAGCGTTCTGTGTGCAAATTCGCGTATCTTCTGTATGCTGTATGCATATTTTACCTAGTTTTATAGTTTTTAAAACGCTCTCCGTCACTGGATCTCGTTTCATGCTGTTTATTTACGTGCAAAGTATTGGTTAGGCTTCCACCTCCTAATTGGGTTGTAAGTACGTTTATTTATGAAGAATGATGCTCACAAATCAAAGCAAGTTAATTGAACCTTCAAATTGCAACAGAAAAGATTTAAGATTGCAGTTTTCACTTCAAAATATCTGCTTACAAAGCACAGAAAAAACGTATTTCCACACAGCACACTATAACACCTAGGGATAACTTTCAGAGTCAGAGTCACCTCTTCAATTCGAAAGAATCAAGATGAATTAAAAAATAAGGAAAAGCCATCAACAGTAGCTATGCATGCAATCGAAAGTGGGTGTAGGATTGACTTTGATAATGTAGACGTATTTTTGAAGCTTCAGTCACAATGACATTTACCGATGGTTCATACATGAAAGTACAGGAAACAAAAAGTTTCCAGTGGTTTTCCAAGTGATGTCAGTCCGTGATGAATACAACCTTAAAATCCCCATAAACCTCATTCTGTATAGTGATGTTAATGAAATTTCAAGACTATAATCGCTTAGGAAGGAAGATTAAACTCAAATAATGGGAGGTTGAAATAATGATGAGAGTTATAATAATGTTGCTAGTTGATGGCGTAAACGTTGAATGATAACAAAAAGGGGGTTACATAAGACTTCTTTAAAGTCGTTTATCTACTGCATATAGGTTACAAAGGAGCAAAAACGTCGTAGACTTAATAAACACTCAAAAGATTTTAATATTACTGATGGATAGTGGTTAGCAGTGGAATCCAGAACAAGCATTTCGTCCTCTTCGGGACTCGTCAGCTGGATTGTTTTCTAACTAGTGGCATTATTACTATAACCACCATTATTGTTTTTTCAACCTCCTATTATTTAAATGTCAATAAAAGTCCATATATTCTGTTGAAGAAGCTGTCGCTTACGCAGCAAAACGTGCAGAAATATATTGTTTTGATTTTCGGAACACGTCGGGATTGTGTTAAAATATACTCTTATAAAGATCCACACGTTTTTCTAAAGTTTTACACCAGTGTCCCTCTGAATCCCAGTTGTCATAAATTATTGTCATTACGTACTTCAGTCAAACGTGGTTTTGATATCCACCAATTAATTCTAATCACTTTTTCCTTGTTCTCTAAGAATATTACTGAAGAAGTTGAAAATGATCAAGATAAGGAGAAATTGCGACCAAACCAATCTCAGACTTGTCATCCGAATGCGAATTATGGTGAATTGCTGTTTAGTACTGCTTCAGTACTTTTTCCAGAAATAACAAAATTGCCGTCTGCATTAATGTAAGTTGTAGTAGTATTGTTGAATGAAGAAACTAATTTTCTGAATGTCTGTTTTTCACCACTAGAAGTGTGCAACTCAACAACCGTGCACATATTTATGAAATAGACAGTAAATCTCACTTATTGTGTGTAGGATTACGATACTACTTGACCGTTCTATCCTGAATGGATGGATCAGAATTCGAACAAGTAACGCACTAGTTAGTTCATATGTATTCTCGGGGAAGGATCATCCACGGTTATTAATTATTGTGAAAAACGGTGCATATCGTTTATATCACGAGTCTCTGATTCATTCGGTTGGATACTGCTTTCAAATCTTTCCCTATCTGTTTACCAATTTTGGCAGCTAGGTACTATCACTAACGCTTACACACAAGATATGGATTTTCGCTTTATTCATAAAAATTTACACGGTTTTTGAGTAGCATCTGCTGTTCACTGTTTTAATTTCACTTACTCTACTATAAAATGTAAGCGGTTTTGCTTTCGCTGATTTAATAACCAGTGATCTAACGGTTGAGTGGTAGTACTACTAGGTTCAGCGAACTCTTTTTTGGGCAGTTTTGATGTATCTGTTAGTCACTTTAGCAATTCTCAGTTCGCTTGCTATTTTGCATGTGATACGTTCATTGCGTTTTATATATATTTCATAATAAATATAGAAAAACCGCTTCACTTCAGATGTCATAGGAATAAACGAGGTAACTTGTATTCAAGAATGTTCAACTAAATCATCTAGTTTCGATTTTATTATGAAACCAAGGTTTACAATTCAGCACTACGATAATGAAACACTCAGTTTGTTATGCTTGTTTTAACAATCATTCTGATTAGTTTCTTGACTAGAACTTCATCTTTATCCATAAAAAGTCAAGGGTTATTTGTTTCTGCCATTTTTTTACGGCGCTGTACTAACTTGTGTTTTTCCTGAACCTCCTCTTCATTAGGTATATTTTTGCTAATCAACTTTGGTGTAAAATGTATCATTCTCGACCACCGGCGCAGTAGGCTGGCTAAATTTCTATCTCCAGTGTTCTGCGCATCTTAGGAGGTTGGTGATTGACCTCCCATCCATGTCTCGTGGATGCCAAGTTTCTTTCTGACAGTGGCTCTCATGAGCTGAAAAACTCCAGGTTTCGTCAGGATAAGAATGTCTGTAACCTTCATATAAATTCTTCGCTATCTCTTTCTAAATGCATACTACGCGTTCATATCTTCGAATCGAACACAGACAGGTTTTGCTACTGCCTGTGTGACCTCAGAGGTGATGGGATATTTACAGTTATTTCATGTTTATAGAGATGAGATTTGACTGTGCTAATGTGGGACCAGAAAAGCCGATAGCACTGGAATAGGAAGACCGTAGAGTCGATGTGTTCTATATTTTGGCCAACCCTTTGTGGTCTGGCTTTCCCATGGGGAAGGTAGCATCAGCGTGGCACTGGTTGTGACCTGCGGGGAATCTTATTGCTGTTGTATCCCTGTCCTACCAGCAGTACCATCTTGGCCTTGGATACTCATCATAGTCTATTAATTCAGACTATCAAGGTAGGTGTTCTTTTTCTCATTTGTATCCAGCAGACGGTGTCGGCGTATTAGGTGCTCAAGAAAAAAGCATTCTAGTCATTGTAGTTCATTGAGTGACTGTGATATGCAAGCCTGACCACCACTTCAAGGTAACAGCTATCTGTTTGATGTCTGGTAGCACAAGTAGTCTTTGTACCTAAACTCCTGTGTATTTTAGGTTTTGCAGGTCGAAGCGTTGTACTGTAATGCCGCTATCCACGTTGATACTAATTGTGTGTGCGATTAAATTCGCAGATAGCAATATCTGCAGTGTTCACTCAATTGAAATGATCAGCTAGTTGATGACTGCACTTGATAGTATTTTTCAAGATTGTTAATTCTGGTACATATGTATGCTCACTAATATTTTTCTTCAAAGTATTAGTATTCTCATTCGCCTTACTGTATGTATTCTCTTTACTCTCATGCTGCTTGTATCACCTGAATATCATTTCTGTAGCGTGTTTTACCTCAGCGCACCCATCTGTCTGTCTGATACTTATTGGCCGTTTAACTGTTTGTTCATTTGATGGAGTGGCACAATTCGTTGTAAAGTTGGATTTTTTTTGATAAACAGAAGCTTCTCTTCCGAGAAGACGTGGATGTCCATTCAATCAATTAATCAATATTAGCATACGACTAGGCCTTACTGCCCAACAGTTCATGTTGCCATACCTCAAATCAGCACATCAAGTAACAAAGCGGTGATAGGAAAGAATGAAAAAGAAAGAAAAATCGGTCAGAAGCAGTGGAAATTAATACGAAGGAGAGATGGGGAATGAGAAAATGTTGTATTCAGCACAGCGGTTAAGATGAAGATAAAGCGTGAATCCATCTGAGCCACTGACATCGGTTCGGAACCATATCACCTAAAGCCTCCATCCAATATGATCTATTATTAGGTGGACCTCATCTGGCTAGTCTGTATTTCACTACATGGCTAAGACCAACAGTCACGAACTTCATGCACTGATGCCACAGTTTAGTCCGGCCGCCCCAAGCCATTTCCTAGCCTGAACCTACTTCAACTAACATTGCGCGACGAGGCAGACAGTGTCTAAACATTAGTAACACATGTCCCTGCCACTTCATTCGTTGGAGGTTCACGACCTTATCAGCTGACTTTCCTCTTCCCCCTTGAATTATGCATCTAGCTTGTGCCTTAGTCATGTGATGGAACTATGACACACGGCGTATGCTACGAAATGAACAGTGGTCAAATACCAGAAGTCTTCTCATCTCTACTTATTATGACCATGTTTCACAACCATAGAGTGGACCAGAGCGAACTTTAGCACAGGTGGGGATCGGACAACGCGGATGCGTTACAGATGGCTCACGTTGGCGAAAGCCGGTGACTATTGGTGGTTCCTATTCTGTCGACCAATGCAGCTTTCACTCTAGCATTCTGTACAACACTGATGGGAGGGCAGCACATTGCTTGAACCTCAAAGTCATGAGATAAGTCTAAACAAGACATTATTTTCTAAATGACAGGTGAGAAAATTATTCGAAGCAGTCCACCAAGATCTTGCTTATGGAGATACAGTAAATATTACGATTAAGACTTTCAAGTGTTTCAGTCGAACATGCTGAACCTGTATATATTCTTAAACCGTAGGGTGACTGTGGATTTCAATTGTTGTTATGCGCACAAATGATCACGTCTACCATCAGAGGCTTGTTTCCCACAGAGAATAGAACTGGTATATTGAAATGATGAAAAAGATCTGTAGCTTAGGATGAGGATGATGATGGCCTAGCATTCTTTGAGCTTTGCTATTTTGTTGTGAACGTTTCATCACTAGACTTAGTGACATCTTCAGCAATAACTTCCTCGCCGCCTTAGGACGGGCAGAAATTTGGACTATATAATGAATGTCTCAAAATTATGTAGTTGTTGTCTTGATATAGCTGAAAAATAAGTTATATCTGAAGTGTAATTCAGTAAACAGTACTGTCCCACTGTGTGGTAAATCTAATAAATCAATCAAAATGGAATTGTTTATTTCTTACTTCTTATCTTTAGGATACATTTGTGAAAGGTTAGTTAGTTAGTTATCATTGGCATGAGACCTGAGGCCACTACCTTATTGTCGTGAAAAACGGATGAAGAATATGTTATTAATACAAGTCCACCATCTTCCCCAGTATAATATACCAACTGTAGTTAAGACTAGGATGGAAGGTGTCAATGTTCAAACAAAAACTGATTTAATTTCCGAACAACTGGTTAAGTGAGCTGTAGATGTCTTGGTTAGTGCAGTATATGAGACAACCTATGAAGGGGTTATGGCTCAGAGTTGATTACAGCGAAAAAGATTTATCCATGCTTCGTCATCCTGTCAGCAGTGAAAATTTGAAATGCCTCTTTGTCCATTGTTTCAGCTTGATTGTTTGTTTCTGTACCTCTCTGTTATTGTGTTGTACACTGTGGCTATTAAATCGTTTGTTCAAATTTGCCTTAATTTAGTCTGTTGATGTCTTTATCTCATTTTGTTGGCTGCAATTCACTTCTATTTCTTTCTTTTCTTCTGAATTTTTAGTTTCCTACATATGGATTTTAATGTCATGGATAGTTTTCGTCTTTCTGCCTTTGGCTCACAAGATGGATGGTTTGGCGTATTTGCTGTGGATATGAAATTACGTAGTATGTGATTTTGTTTGGAAGGTGCAGTCATACTACTTAATTAATTCATATTAGACTGCGCTATTGGTAGATTTCTTTTTATGCGGTTAGGGGAGAAGTTGTAGTTGCAAAAGATATCACCATGCGGTAGAACCACTCGAATGCTATCGTCACGATGACACTTCTAAGAAACATTTCATAATTGAATCTTAATTACACTGTGATTTTTTGTGTTATCAGTATCTCTGCTTACTAGTGATGTCTTTCCAGTTGACATTGTTCCAGCCAGTAAGGGGGTATTAGATAATCGAGTTCGCAGTGACTGCTACTGACGTGGCATTTCCTACCAATTAATTAGTGTGAAATCACTTATTTTCACTTATTTCTTTATTTCTTAAAAATGCATATATCATTTCTGAGTACGATCATTTTTGTTGTAAATCATTTGCGTCCCACCTGTCGGAAGTTGATGTTTGTTGTTTTCTGTTAATCGAACGTAGTTACGGTTGATTTGTTGATGAGTGTTTTTTCGACAGTTTATCTATTACGATGTTGAGCAATTTTTCTATACATTTTTTTCACCAGAAATTAAGCAGTGCATAGTTGAGGTGATGAATGTTGAAAGTCTCTTTTCAATGAAAATAGTTATCTGAAACATTTTCTCAGTCAGCCCAAGTTGATGTGCCGCAATCTAAACGTATGACATGAGATAGTGTTTAATAGTTGATCTTATACGACAATAACCTGCAGATCTAGTTGTTTACATACAATTTTATTTTCTCTATGTTATGCAGATACGTTTTACTAATAAGTATCCTTTCCTCCCGTTATCTAGCCGTTGTACGAAGTTTCAACTTATCCCATGAATCACCGATCACAAGCATCAAAATATTTCAACACATCAGCACATGTGTTTCAAATTCACAGGGTATAAATAATGCGGATGAAAGTAATTAATTTTTAATTAAAATCTACTTAATTGCGTTGTTAGCATCATTATTTTTTCAGTAATTTTACACTTTTTTAAAATGCAGCACTGCGATAGTAGGTAACTAACGATGACCGAGAAAAATAATCATACTATCAATTTGTAAACTTTATTTGGCTGTAAAATCAGACCAAGACACGGATAAAGATAATCCAACTATGAAGTCTCTAGTTGGTTTGAGCCATTCAAGAATATGCGAATATCCTAATTATGGTCCGTGAAGTAATAGTAGACGATGAATAATGATATGACACAAAATCGACACAAGTATCATCGATGTATGTGTGATTTATCTTCATAGTCCTAATATGAGATTTTCATAATTGCTTTACTACCTCAATTTCATCTTAGAACGTGATAATTTATTTTATGGTGATATTTATTAATCATTGCATTGATTGAAATTAAATCTTGTTTCTTCTTTGTGTGTCCAATCCGATGCATTATACTAACTGATGTAATTATTTGTTAGAAGAATTTACTAGTATTCTTATCTGGTGCAGAATGAAAAATTTTCGTCACCTATGAATTAACAGGTTATACTGTGTAATTACACACTTCACTGGTTGATGACTGGAGAGCAACTAATTTCATGTTGTCTAGTCCTGAGTGCTGACCAAATTCTGTCGACCATTTCGCAATGTGTCCGTCAAGTTAGGAGGCTCAGTATTGTGTTGCACTTTGATTATTGTTAGTTGGAAACAATTAGTAGGATGCAAAGTAGTCAGTAGAATTTTGCATCAGGGACGCAAAATGGTCAATAGAATTCTTTCAGTACTAGACGACATAAAATTGATTGCTTTTCAATGTACCTATTCCACTCTTACAGCTGGTGGACCACTCACTGCCCAAATATCTCAGTAGTAATGTCCCCGACTGCAACATTGAGTGGTATGGGTTCGAATCTGAGGGGATATCAGTTCTCTCGAGGTTGCAGATACACTTTGCTGATGAGTTCTTACATGCACGAAAACTAGATTACGAAGGGTTTCCTGCCGATTGCCTTCAAGCAGCTAGGTACTCACTTTATAATACCTAAGGTATTTTATGTTTCATTTCAACACAAACAAGATACAACACGGACACTAATAAACAAGCCGCTGGGCGAGGAAAATGATCTCATCATAATCCTTACCGTAGAGTGTTAAATTATAATTTATACCTAGGCTGAGCTCTTCCAAGCTGTCAGGAGGAACTAATATTACTTTGACAACTTTTATTATTTTGTAAATTCGAATCGGCCGCTTTCGCGCCTTTTCTTACTCCTTGATCAGTGAATCGGTTTGTTTTCTTACAGTTTTCTGAGTTACTCTCTTATCTTAATGTGTCATGCGTTCTACTGGTTCTGAATGGGACAGATAATAAAACCTCTCTGTCCAAACCAATTCTTTCCTGTTTTCCGTATGCGCTCATCAAAGTTTGCTCTACGGAGGTTCCGGAACTCGCATAAAACATTATTGATTCTCTTCCACACTTGAAACTACCGTTTTCGAACCCTTTTCTCCCCATTCCAAGTAGTTAATTTTTCTTGTTCCAAAGCAAATCATTGATTGACTAGCACTTACTTTTATAATACCAATATTTCTGATTCTTTACGAGATCACATCTTGCACGTGTTTCAGCTTACTTTTGTCTTCCTTGGAGAAATAAAAGTCCTCATCCAGATCAGTCGTCTTTCTCACTTTGCATTTTCATCTACGGTGTTGGAGTCAGCGGTATCTGGTATACGAGTCAGCCGTTAGATAAGAGTGTGCATACTATTCAATCAGAAACATAGCAGTTATTGTTTTCGGAAAATTGAGTTAGGTGCTTAGATCACTACATATTTAGACGTACAGTAGACCATAACACATACCAAGACAGGCGGTATCGAAGGAGGGAAACCTGAAACCGTTGACTGCAAGTTTTATTCACAGGGTAGTGGAACGGCTATGAAAATCGCGTTCCTATGTTTGCCTGCTTTCAGAATGCATCCGTCAGTAAAGCGATGCCTTGAGATTCGTTAGTGAGTAGACGCTATTAGTTTGTGAACGTTTGTATCCACTTTCTCCTCGCTTTTTCCTATCTACTTTCCAGTCAGGCTACTGCTCCATTGGTTCAGGTGTATTACTTTTAATTATTATTTTATTATTATTATTAGTCCCTTGGGTTCCTAGTGGAACATAGGGCTTCAGTAGCACGCCTCCAGTGACCTCTGTTCTCTGAGATCTTTTGAACCTGGTCCCACGACAGCCCAGAAGCTCTCATTTCCTCCTCGCACGACCTCCTCCATGTCACCCTTGGACGTCCAACTCGTCGCTTCCCATGGGGATTCCACTCGAGGGCCTGACGCGTGATGTCCTCAGTCGGCCTTCTCAGTGCATGGCCAATCCATCTCCACTTCTTCCTGCATATTTGTTGCGTGATAGGTTCTTGGTTGGTTCGTTCCCAGAGTTCCTTGTTGCTTATTCTTTCTGGCGATCTGATCTTCAGTAGTGAGCGTAAGCAGTTGTTGATGAATGTCTGTAGTTTATTGGAAATGCCTCTCGTGACGCGCCAAGTCTCTGAACCATACAAGAGCACTGACTTGACTGGGCTGGTGTTGAAAATCCGTATCTTGTTCCGCATGCTGAGTGCAGAAGATCTCCACACTGGTTTCAGGCTAATAAACGCCTGTCTTGCTTTTCCGATTCTGACTTTGACGTCTTCGTCCGTCCCGCCTGTAGTTGAAACAGTGCTTCCTAGATAAGTGAAGGAGGTTACTTCCTTTAAGTTTCTCCCGTTGACGGTGATTGGAGTTTGTTGTTGTTGTTGATGGTGGTGGTGCGGTATCTTCATCACTTCTGTCTTCTCTATATTCACCTGAAGTCCCGTCTTAGCTGCCTCTTCTATCAACTTGTTAGTTTTTGCCTGCAGATCTTCAAGTTTATGTGGCATTAGGCACAAGTCATCGGCGAAATCCAAGTCTTCTAGGTTCTTTTCCGTCGTCCAGTGTATCCCCATCTTCTCGCTGCCTACTGTTTGCTGCATGATCCAGTCCACCACAATAAGGAATATCATGGGGGATAGTAGGCAACCTTGTTTCACTCCTGTCTTCACTTCAAAGGCATCACTGAGCTTCCCATTGTGAATTACTTGGTATGTGGCATCTTCATATAGTTGTTGAATGAGGCGGATAAAGGTTTGCGGTACTCCGTAGTATTGAAGCAGTTTCCAAATTACTTCTCGGTCGATGCTGTCAAAGGCCTTCTCAAAGTCGATGAAGTTGAGGTAGAGAGCTGATTGCCATTCTATGCTCTGTTCTATGATGATGCGTAGAGTGGTGTTGCAATTTGGTCTGCACATGATTTGTACTTCCTGAAGCCTGCCTGTTGCGGTCGTAGTTTTGAATCCAGCGCATCTTTAAGCCTCTCCAGGATGATGCGGCTTAATATTTTACTTGGGGTGGACAGGAGAGTGATTCCGCGCCAGTTCTTGCAAGCACTGAGGTCTCCTTTCTTCGGCAGTTTGACAAGGTAACCCTTCTTCCAATCAATAGGCAGTTACCTTCTCTTCCTTCCACACCTTCTGCAATAGTGGTGTGAGCATGTCTGCTGTTGTCTCTGCATCTGTTCTCAGTGCTTCTGGCGATATTCCATCTGGTCCTGCTGCTTTCCCGCATTTCAGTAGCTTTATGGCGTTCAGGACTTCCATTTTCGTTGGGGGATTAATGTTCACTTGTAATTCAGCGGCTGCAGGTGGTATTTCTGGACGAAGTGCAGGTGGTGGTCGATTCAAGAGCTTTTTGAAGTGGTCGGCCTATCGTTTCCTCTGTTTCTCTTCTTTTGTAATTAAATTTCCTTCTTCATCTTTTATTGGTTTCATCTGTGTTGGTCTCTTCCCTGATAGCAACCTGGTTATTTGATACAATGTCGTCAGGTCTCTCTTACCTGCAGCCTGTTCTGCTTCACTTGCCAGTGTTTCGTAGAAGTGTCTTTTGTCTTTGCGTGCACTCTTCTTCACTTCTTTATCCAGTGTTTTATACATTGTGCTCAGTTCCTCTTGTCGTTGAGCATCCTTGCACTGGTTTATCTTCTGCTTCACCATCCTCCTCTCCCTGCTCTATCAGCTTCCATGTATCCGTCGAGATCCATTCCTTATCTTCTTTCTTCTTCCTTCCTAATACGGCTGTGCAGGTTTCTTTCCACATCTCTTTCAAAGACTTCCAGTGTTCTCCCACACAGGTTTCTTCAGGGATGTTCCTCGATATCTCCCATTTTGTCTTTATGGCTGGCTGGCTGACGTGAAGATTTCCTTTGTAGCTTCATCCTTCAGTTTCTGTTCTGGGTGTTGAACTTGGACTGTGGCCTATCACCAGCTTCCTTGAAGGCTTTTAACTTGATTTGGAAGGTTCCTTGAACTAGACGACAGTAAGTGGTCTGAACCTACATCTGCTCCTCTTCTTGACCTTGTGTCAAGTAGGCTGCGTCTCCATTTTCTTGAGATTGAGATAAAGTCGATTTGATTTTTAATGTGTCTATCCGGTGAAATCCATGTCGCTTTGTGGATATCTTTGTGCCTGAACACACTGCCTCCAATCACCAAATCGTTGAATGCACAGAATTCTGCAAACAATTCTCTATTCTCATTCATTTCACCTAGCGCCTCTTGACCCATGGTTAGTTCTCTTCCTGTTTTGTCCGCTCCGAGTTTGGCATTCATGTCGCCCATTAGAATTTTCATATCGCCAACTGACGTCTTGTCCAGTGTTGATTGAAGTTGTCTGTAGAAATCCTCCTTTTTCTCTTGCTCTGCATTATTTGTAGGTGCATAACATTGTATGATTGTGACCTTTCTTCCTTTTGAGTTGAATCTTGCTGTCATGACCCTGATGCTGGAGGAGATTGGTAGCCACTGCATGAGAGCCTTCGATGCTCTTAGGGACATCATGATAGCCACTCCCTCAGTGTGCTCGTGGTTGTCGTCTGGGTGGCCGGAGTAGATTATTGATTCTCCAGTTGACAGTTTGGAGAGTCCACTCCCATTCCATCTGCTTTCGCAAATCCCAAGCACTTCGATGTTATACCTTCTCATCTCCTTTGCAATCTGGGCTGCCTTACTGGGTTCAAACATCGTGCGGACATTCCATGTCCCCACGTTTACTTTCATCGAGAGAAGACACATCGGCCAATTGGCTTGCCGAAGGCTTTCACCAACTGGCGTCATTTCGCCTCTCCGATTCCAGCGAGGAATAATTTTGTTTTTATTTTTTATATTTTGTTTGTGCTTTGAAGTTTCTTTAGCGGTTAGATTTGTTTTACGGGGTAGGGTTGCTAGCCCTATGCCCAACCTTCCCTCTTTACCCGAGCTTAGGACCGGCTAGTAACTAGTAAACTAGTTAACCAGGCGAGGTTATTACTTTTAATTGATTGATAATAACTTTACTCCACTTACTTAATTTTAGGCAACCAAGTAACATGAACCCTAATATAACAGATGTGTACGGCTGGTAAACTAGTATTTAGACCTGTGTGTGATTGTTGAGTTTGTATTGTTAAACTGAGTTGGGTTTTTTTCAACTGTTTGAAAGTTTGAATCCAGCTACTTTTTTTGGTCTGTTCTTTATAGATCTTTGCATGAAGTAACTATTGTAACCTTCTTCATTCATTTAAATGTTAGAATCTACGCTTCTGAATCATATCAACTGTTTGGTTTGCTCAGCTTTTGAACCGTCTGTTGTTTATCGGTAAGTATACTTTGGATTCGTTGTCGCTTGTATTTCTGAAATTCTTCCTGCGTAAAGTATTTGTATTTTCGTTTAGATTATTAACTATATATTCTTTTTTTAGTTTAGTTCCAGTGAATGCTTACTAGTACTTACCCAGTCAAATGATATGACTGGATATCTAGTTCATAAGAAAACTATGTAATAATACAGCAGTAAAACTGGGACACTTATGGATTGTAGTTGCATTTTAGTTTATAAGATGTATCACGCTGTATGATGCATCTGATAAACGGTCTAAAATAGAGCTAGTCATTGACTTATTATGGTTTATTTATGAGGGTCTCCCCGCCATGGATACACCTTGTCGTATGAGACTCTTAGAATACGCAAATGACACAGTCCTGTTAAGACGCGGAAAAGATCCGAAGTTTTCTGGACACATTGAGTGGCCATTCGAGAATGTTGGGGATACGTTTATCTCCATTCAAATGCAAATGGCTGTTCCAGGACTGATATTCAGTAGTGTCTTGTCTAGCAATAATAAGTGAAGCGGTTGACTATGTTGACCACTTCACCTATCTGGGAATTCCGATGAGCTCTGATGAGTCAGTGACCGTAGAACATTTTTTCATGGATACAAAGGGCTCGATTGACTTCAACTAGTGACACTTTGTGCGCTGCCATGATACCCGATTGCCAGTTACCTGCCTCTGCAGTCTACTCTGTTCCATTATACAAGTGTGAATTATAGCCCTTGAAGATAGAAGGTATGATAAGGTTTCAGTTCTTCGACCACCAGTGTCTTCACAGTACATAGCGTATTCTGTGGTGCCACCACGTTAGTAAGTTAGGCTTAGAATCTATCTTAGAAGAGGGAATTTAGTTGATGAGGTTTCGAACCTCCATCAACTGAGGTGGCTGTGACATATGTTATGATTATTTTTTTTCCCTTGGGTTCCCAGTGAAATGTACGGCTTCAGTAGCACGTCTCCACATCACTCTGTCCTCTGCAGTCTTCTCAACCTGGCTCCACGACTGCCCAGAAGCTTTCATTTCTTCCTCACACGATCTCCTCCATGTCACCTTCACCTCGGAAGCCCAACTCGTCGTTTCCCATTCCGGTTCCACTTGACGGCCTGGCGCATAATGTCTCCGAATTGTCTCTTCAGTGTATGCTCAATCCATCTCCACTTACTTCGGCATATTTATTTATTGGGCGATGGATTCTTGGCTGGTTCGTTGCCAACCAAAGTGAGTTCCTTGTTGCTTATTCTTATTATTCTGGCCATCTGATCTCCATCTTCACAATCGAGTGGGCGTAGGTGGCAGCTGTTGATGTGATGCATAACTGTAGTTTGTTGGAAATACTTTTCGTGACGCGTCGAGATTCTGAACCATCGCATAGAAGCACTGGCCGACTTGACTGAATTAGTGTTGAAAGTCCGAATCTTCTTCTTTATGCTGAGTGCAGTGCAGTAGATCTCCACACTGGTTTCAGAGTAATGAAGGTCTGTCTTGCTGTCTTTCCGATCCTAGTTTTGACATCCTCATCTGTGCCTGTGCCACCTGTAGTTAAAACGATGCTGCGTAAGTAGGTGAGAGAGACTACTTCCTTTAGGTTTCTTGTGATCATGGTGATTGATGCTTGGTTGTTGATATTGTTTTTGGTTGGGTGTCTTCACCACCTCTGTCTTCCCTACATTACTTGAAGTCCCGTCTTCGCTACCCTGCCTCTTCTGTCAACTTGTTGGTTTTTGCCTGTAGATCTTCGAGTTTGTGCTATAAGACATTAGATATAAATCATCATCGAAATCTTCTAGGGTCTTTTGATTAGTCCACCCAGCATATGCAGCGTGACTGCAGAAACCGGTGGTTCATAATTGTGGTCAATATCAATATAGGACTAGGCATTACTGCATAACAGTTCAAGTTGCCACACTTCATATCAGCACACACAGCAAGAAGGCATTAAGATGAAAGATGAAGAAATGAAGAAGAATCGGTGGGAAACAGTAGGAAGTAGATGATGTGGCTCAGAATTGATCTCACTGGCGCAGATGCATCTACATATTATCTTCATGTCACTCGTCATACTAGGTTTTAGTATTCTCTAATTTCTCCTAAATTTCTTTAGGCGACTTCCATTTTTCATTACTTTCTTTGTTTTTCATCTTCGTGCATTCTGGCTTGTGTTGAGGTGGGGTATGGCAGCTTGGACTGTTACGCAGTTATGCTTGATCCTATGTTGACATTGTCCGTAATAACAGTACATTTATGGATATCTGACAGGATACGCTTGCAGAGTTAATGACCACAGCCACATCAGTTGTTTATTCAATGACGACCGAAGTTGAGACGAAAATAGGATTCCAGATTACTGTCTACATAATGTATTTGGTTCATGAACAGTTATCTTAACTTATCTACCAAACGAAAAATCTATTTTCAAGTAGAAACAGACACAAAAACCTGATAAACTGTAGTCAGCACATATTTGTCACTCAAACAGGATAATTCTATCACAAGTGACCAGTGCTACAAACACTAAGATTGATTCAATTCATATTCGTGGGGTTCTGGAGTTTTCCATTAATGTTTTTGTTTATGAATCCTAAAGTTCAATGAGTAAAATTGCCACCGTTTACTCCAACTAAATGTCGAAAATAGGTTATAGCTTTTAAGAAAATTATATGCTGATTTATTGCTTGTTTCCATGGGAAATTAGGTATTTACCATCAAATGTGTATATTCAAATGATCAGGTAACAATTGAGAAGCACACTAGCACTCGATTATTTTCACATACTCTACATTATTTTGTTTCAGTTGTCAAAATCCTGTTGGACTTACATAAAGATGCGCTTGTTATTTCCCTGCAAACTGTTTACATATGATTAACTACTAAAAAATTTTTTCAGTTGATAGAACATGTCCAAATAAAAGAATATTGAAACGTTTAAATCTTCATCTTTTTTCATGTTTTATGCTTTCTTGATTTCTCAGTCAAATATTTTTTTCTGATGTTTGTCAATCTATCTCATGTGTTTATAACGTCAGTTTTAAGTATGCAAATACTATTATTTTACGATGTTAAGCAATGGGAGCTAAGCTACATTTTACCTTCAAATAAACCTGTATACACTTTATTGCATTGGCGTTATCATGGAGATAAGATATCGTTACTCATTAATGAGAAGGTGTACCACCCCAGGCACTTAATCAAGGTTAACTATATAATGACCGTAGTTATGTAACCTTGGGTCACGATCTTTCAGGACTTCATTCAAACAATCAATTGAATTGACAGATATTGACTTCAATCATTTATCCTCTCTACTTATTCACTCACTCCTAAAAGTGACGGAACAAAGACTTGCATGAGCACACCCAAGCTAACATATATGTAGTTTCTTCAAACTACTTTGAAATGTTACTTTCAGAAAAATATCACCTGCGCAGTACCACTTTTCATTATGTTTATGTGTATATCACTGTAACTCAGTGCTACACATATCATTATGATCTAGATATCAACAGTTTAGCTTGCTTTTGTTAATTCACTACTAAAAATCTTGTAATCAGTTAGCTTCCTAATAATTGTTGAATGATTTTTGAATTTTGCGCTTTATTCGTTTCAATTTTCAGGAATATCTTTGAACCTGATAGCTTTGGAATGCAAAACCAATTACCTCTACCGTGTAGTATGGACTTCGATCATGTCAACTGTGCCTCAGTCGGTGATTTTAATGTAGATGGAAAGCCTGAAATAATACTTGGGACATTTGGGCAACGGTTACTTTATTATGAATGGGATTGCAGTTATCCGGAGTCAAATGATGGACACTACGTGTAAATGCACTTTACCTTTTGCTTTTTCCACTTCATTCTCATTGGTAGAGTTTGTCTGTGTGCTAATCCATGATATACATTTGTTGTTCGAGTACTACTGATACTTACTCCTTGGTAACCCAAACTTCATTCAACCATGTTGACCATTGTTTGAATGTCGTGCACTTGGACCAATAAGCTTCAGCTTTATTGCATAATCTTTGCTATAGGACTATAAATGAAATATATTTGTAAAATCCCAATAAGGTAGAAAAATAAATTTCTGACTTTTCGTGACTTTAACTCTATCAGGCTAAATTTTGATCCTGAAGTTGGTAAAATCATTTGCTATAAGACTTTCAAAAAGCTCTAAGTATAATACTGTGTTGCTCATCATATCTCTTCATTAATTCCAATTTAGTGAAAAATAATCAAGCTTTTTTCTATCTGTCAAAATTTCGTCAGCTACCATCAGGAATGGTGCAACCTACCAAATTAGTTCAGTTATCAATACACACGACCATTCTTGGATCGAAGTCCATTCAACTACCTTACGCCTATCCCTCCGGTAGACGGTGAGCCGCATTTAGTGTGAGAACTGATGATACTAACTGGTTACCCAAACCTCGGTAGGTGGAGGGGTGTTCGGACCCGCGACCCACCGGTTGAACGTCAATTCCCTAAACCAATGAGCCGCAACTCCACACAACCATTATACTGTTTGTTATCGAAAATGCGATCGATATATATCTGTCCTGAAGTAATAATTTGCCTGTGAGAGACGAGAAACGCATTCCAAACATTTGCAACTTGTCACTGAGTCGGTTTATTATCAGCATCATCACCTAAGATGATCGCACACCTTGACTGTACACAGCCTGAAAAACATACCTATAAATAGATAAGTATCTTGTTCTTCACTCTGTAGCTGATTTTTCAGCTATTTAAGAAAAACTTCATATTGTTGACGTGGTGAATGTATTACTGATACCTAACCTAACTGTTGGTCGTGGGAATTGTTATGTTTTTGCGTAATATCTCATTTCGCCATTCTAATTGATGGATTAGCTCTGTAATTCAGAAGTTGGTGGAAGGGACACTTATCAACGTTATCATAATATCCCTAAAAAAGAAACAATCCCTTCAAGTAGTGTTCATCGATAGTACTTTCAAGCGGACTGAATTCAATAATTATGACTGTTCTATTCTATCCTCCTACTTCGAGGGTTCTGTAATACTTAGAATCAGAGATTATTTACAAGATTCGCACTTCCAATGGGAAAGGAAAATGAAGTAAGGAGTTCCTACTTTGGTTTCATTTGGAAACTAAAACTATTCCGTTAGGCTGCTCTCAGATAATGGATAGGTTCCCAAATGTTCTACTTGTTGGCTAGCAGTGGGATCAGACAAGCCTTCAAGTAGTTTTTATCGTAGATTTATATCAGCTGGGTATTCGCTAGAAACGGAGGAACACCGGACGGTGTTTCATCTTTCACCTCATACCTATGACTCTCTCACTCCGCACACCTTAAAACTATGCAATTCCCCACAGACTAAAGAATGGTTATTCAGTGCAGACAGATGGATTGGTTTTAGCATAAAGTTCAAAAGGTAGACTGAACTGTCAACGAATTCGGTAGTGTAGATGAATATTAAAGGTTTTCAGTTGTGGCGTGTCACGAATTAGTGGAAGCTGGGAAGATTTGAAAGATTATATTTCAATCCAGTTGCTTGTTGATAGCATGTTTTGCATAAAACCATTGGTTCTGGACTAGATTTTTTCGAAGTCTATATCCCTTTGTTTTCAATGATTTTATACCTGACATCACTCCGTTGTCAAAAGACCCTAAAGATATAAATGTCAACAACAAAAAGTGTGTCATTTATTTAAGTTTGATGATGTGAGAGTACACTTAAAGTAGCAGTTCACTTGAGTAACCTAATCGTCAGGGCATGGGGAACTGTTGTGATGCCCCAGTTTTGTATAAAACATTGTTATTGATCTGAACATTTTAACTTGTCATTCCCACACCATTTTTACGGTATGACTAACAGTCTATTTCTGCCTCCATTGTAATGTAATTCGCCGATTGGTTAACTTTTACTCTTACTATGAGAATTTCTCCAATTGCGGACAAGGTCAGTTTTCATGTGTATACTTATTCACGCGTTTTGGATTGATTCATTATTATATTATATTCTCGAATTAATACACTGCCATCTGCCAGCTTCGGTTTTCTCTCCATTCGTCCCGCGGTTGCAGTCAGTGTCTCTTGCGTATCACGTTAGCTGCCAGCTAAGCGTGCGTATTCTATTCGTTCTGAAACACATACGTATACCATTAGCGTTTCAACATCATAAAAGGAACTGGCTGTGTACTGACAAAGATTGAAGACAGTCAAGTACCACTTCACAACTAAATACACCAAACACAATCGGAAAAGACTACTGAATTCAAATTAGCAATGTGGAACAGAAGCAGCAACTGAATCTAGTAATACCTATCTAAACAGCGTAATGAGAAGACGAAGATTATCTGAAACATATCGTGATGTATTAGCGCTATACATTTCGAACAATCTGATCACACATGGACTTGTCGAACTATTTATATGAAAATTTACGAAAAGGTCAATGAAGTTAGTGGGAAACATAGGAATAGGAAGGGATAGAAAAGGAAAACCTTATTCTTGGTATGAAAATTAAAATCAATACTACCAAGGTAGGTTCAACGTGAGTACAAATTGTTTTTGTATACATAAAGGGGGTTTAAATTTACGGATGGCAAGAGCTTCAATAAATTTAAGCACTCGGCTCTGACCACTTTTATGTAGTACTTTAAAGGCTATTTCCTTTCATGTCTATCCTATGATTAGTTTCTGGTATATGTTTAGCGATAGACGAAGATGGATGGATGTTTGTCACCTGCACTTATCGGATCTGTTGAGGTCATTTGTTTTTGTAGCCACTTAGGTACATGTTCAGCCCTCCTTAACTGCATATCACGATTACTCCTCCCTATATATGTGTGTCCACATGTAAATTGATAAACACAGTGGGATGTGATGTAATCGTTTATATGTTATTTCGGTTTGTGCTGTAACATGGACTTGGTCTTCTCTACAATGATGACCTTAGCTGCATAATACGTTTTACAGATGGCCGATCTAAATCTTATCCTCACAACAAAGCTATGTTGATCACCTCTAAATGGTAATGAGATGTAGACATTTTTCTTAGCAACGGAACACTGTGTACTTTTCAGTGGTACATAACTCATCAGAATGGTTTCACTTTATAAGAGATATGTTGATGATATAGTCATTATGTGTGAAAAGCCTGATGATGCAATGTAACTGCTACAGAAAATGAACACGGCCCAAAATCACATTAGCCTGACTTATGAACAAGAGACGAACAACCAGCTACCGTTCCTAGACGTATTGCTCAGTCGACGGGAGGATGGCTCGATCACGAGGTCGATCTATAAGAAACCTACATGGACAGAGCAATATCTTAACTTCCATAGCTATTGTCCAGTCCAATACAAACGTGGTTTAGTCAGATGCTTATTCAACAGGATAAACCGTATCTGCACCGATGACACCAGGGAGGAAGAAGCCAACTTACTGACGACAACTCTGATACAGAATGGATACCCGTTGAGATTTATCGACCGGTGCAAAAGTTATGTACCACTGAAAAGTACACAGTGTTCCGTTGCTAAGAAAAATGTCTACATCTCATTACCATTTAGAGGTGATTCACATAGCTTTGTTGTGAGGAAAAGACTTAGATCGGCCATCTGTAAAACGTATTATGCAGCTAAGGTCATCATTGTAGAGAAGACCAAGTCCATGTTACAGCACAAACCGAAACAACATATAAACGATTACATCACATCCCACTGTGTTTATCAATTTACATGTATGTGTGGACACACATATATAGGGAGGAGTAATCGTGATATGCAGTTAAGGAGGGCTGAACATGTACCTAAGTGGCTACAAAAACAAATGACCTCAACAGATCCGATAAGTGCAGGTGACAAACATCCATCTTCGTCTATCGCTAAACATATACTAGAAACTAATCATAGGATAGACATGAAAATAGCCTTTAAAGTACTACATAAAAGTGGTCAGAGCCGAGTGCTTAAATTTATTGAAGCTCTTGCCATCCGTAAATTTAAACCCCCTTTATGTATACAAAAACAATTTGTACTCACGTTGAACCTACCTTGGTAGTATTGATTTTAATTTTCATACCAAGAATAAGGTTTTCCTTTTCTATCCCTTCCTATTCCTATGTTTCCCACTAACTTCATTGACCTTTTCGTAAATTTTCATATAAATAGTTCGACAAGTCCATGTGTGATCAGATTGTTCGAAATGTATAGCGCTAATACATCACGATATGTTTCAGATAATCTTCGTCTTCTCATTACGCTGTTTAAATTTATCAAAAGGAGCAGTTGCTTTAAAATACCTATCTAGTTGATTTGGAAACATGTGTTACGCATGCCTAGTCACGTAATATTAGCTGAAGTAGGTTCACGCTAGGAAATGGCTTGGGGCGGCCGGACTAAACTGTGGCATCAGTGCATGAAGTTCGTGACTGTTGGTCTTAGCCATGTAGTGAAATACAGACTAGCCAGATGGGGTCCACCTAATAATAGATCATATTGGATGGAGGCTTTAGGTGATATGGTTCCGAACCGATGTCAGTGGCTCGGATGGATTCACGCTTTATCTTCATCTTAACCACTGTGCTGAATACAACAGTTTCTCATTTCTCCTTCATCTCTTTTGCTGCTTTTGACGGATTTCGCTCTTTTTCATCTTTTTTATAACTGCTGTGTTACCTGATGTACTGATATGTGTAGCAACTTGGACTTTTGTACAGTAATGCCTGCTTCTATTTTGATGATGGCATTTAATAATCCTTGTCCATTTCACGTACTAGCAAAGTCTATGTTATTATTTATTAATAATCGTACAGATTGAAAGCTCAACGTGAACTTCCTGGTCCAGTATTTTCTATATCTCCTCCTTTGGATTTAATTGGTGAAGGTCCATTATCTTTGGCTGTGTTAACTAGTCGTGGACTCCATGTATTTCAACATGATATACAACATCTGATTAAGGAAATTCATCGTAGACTGGATAAATCTTTCATTTGGTCAGTGTATTCAAACCTCCAAACTTAATGTCTCTTCATAATATGAATTTGCAAATTATGTATCTAACTGCACAGTTTTATCTTAATAGATATTTTTGTCTTGTATTTGCTTCCAAACAACTTGCTGTTCCTTAATAAACTGTTTATTTTGAAGTTGGTCGAATTTTAATACGAACATGAGCAATAAATTTTGCCCGAAACATCATCCAGTGTTCTATATCACAAACCGTTTAATATGATCTATAGTGCCAAAGTTTCACTCTTTGTTAAGTAAATTACGACTTTGAACATAAGGTTAGTGTATAGGTGAGTTGCGATGGAGATGGACAATTACTACTTTATTCATTGTGGGAAGTAGGTTCCTTGAATGAACACAGAGACATATCTTGGGACCTCGCACAGAAGTGCATCAGTTCAACTCAATAAGCAATAGGTACACGTGAATCCCATTCCCAACAGAATCCGTTTACATTCATTCATAAATTCAGTCTTAAAAAACTTTATTCAAATACTTGTAGACGGTGTAATGTTTACGAAATCACGTTACGTCTTGTGCATAGGATGCGTAGGAGTTCAGAAGTAAGAAAACTTTTTCTAGGCTGGTAACACTATTCATCTTGTACATCTACCTTTGGATTGGGAGAGATATGATAGTGTTCTACCACTATGTACTACAAAGAAATTGGTTATGATCTTGAGTTGACTAAAGTCGAAAGATATACGTAATTGAATATAAGACTAATCATAAAATGACACCTTTCCAAACAGATCAATATGTATACTGAATTAATTGTGAATGCATCAGTCTATACTGATGGGTTACCTCAAAGTAAAACGACTGCTCTCTGGTTCCGTAAGTGATTTCGTTAGTTTATGAACACCATCTCCAAGTTAACTAAGTATCTATAATCAGTCACTGAAATGCATCTGAATTTGTTAGCTGAAGAAATCTGAACATGAGTCTAAGTAAGAAGAACACTTGCTTCAGTTTTCAATGTTATGCCATGGCTTTTAGGTTAAATTCAATGTACTGCGAGCACACATTACCTGTGCGAAAGTTGAATTACAACATCATTCAGAATATGACCTATTTCATTCGAAATTGTCAATGCAGCAGTCAACATGGTAGCTGGGAGACCAGAAAATTGTATGGTAAAGAGATTGTTGTGTTCAAGCATCCATACTACTAGAGAATCGTAGAATAAAGCTACTTAAGATCCATATGCCGTTATTGACAACTTAACATCAATTTGTGATGATAACTGCCTTCGTTTTTTTAATGTCAATTGTAAAATTGCACTAAGGCGAAGACTATGACAAATATATAAGTAATAGAGAATGTGACATTTTTCTTATCTTTCTAATTTTTCCCGACATTAGAGCTGAGACTTATTGGTCTAGACAATTGACTTCCAACCAATAAGTCGCGCGTTCGGACTCCTCTCCACCGACCAAGTTCTTGGGCACACGGTTAGGTAGTATTATCTTTATCCCTCGCAGATTGGTGTTGCATGTGGTTGCTGATATAGTTGAGTTCACTGGTAGATGTAAGGGGCTTAAACATATCCTAACCATTTTTCGCCAAAAATACGTCAACAAGATTTGCCTTCTCTTCCTAGTTTTGCAAGCTCAACATCAACCAACTTAGCCTATCTAGCAGTTGTACTACAATTAGACCAAAGTCATAAATAAACTGGTAGTCAAGTACCTGCAACTGTATATCTGCATAAAGTCAAGCATTTAAAATGTTCATTCATTCATACCGTAGAACTAAATTATTTATCTTCAAGCAAAGTATTTATTATTGAACAGGGAAGTGACACAGAGGACAATTATGTAATCTAGTGATCTCATGTTCATAAGCACAATGCTTACAGGTTGGACACATCCAAAATTGATAATCCGTAACTGGTTGCCCAGTGACTATGCATACCGGAATTTTCGCTTCACTGTGGATAAATAAATAAATTTAGCAAGCATAAAGAAATATTTTACACGTGTACCATTCTAATTCATTAATGTAAACAAGCATAGTGTCATTTTTAAATTTTATCTGACTCAATGGCATCTATTAATCCTACTTTGTTTTAATCAGTGTTAGGAACAGTAGTGTACAGCGAACACTTATGTTGATTACTTTTAAAATCAGCGCTACAGGTAAAAACGTTACCATTAGGTAATTCGAATAGTCCTCACGAGTGCATGATTTGTTCATTCGAAGCACACCAAATGATAGCTGAAGAACAATTCATGTCATAATATTTAACCTCTAGTTCTGACTAATTTCTGTTAAACAAGTGCAGAATGCGATCAATAATTGACAAAATTGGATACTGGAAATATGGCTGGTATAGACAGTATGAAATCTGCATTCAAGGCTTTTTGCTGATTAACTTGAAACACCGTAAACCTGCTTTACACATTCAGTGTTTGAATTGCCACCCGTATATTTTGCAATTGTTCAGTATTCTCCGGATAATTTGAAAGCAGTTTCACGTTTAAGAAGTGATACTTTGCAATTAATTCCCCGCTAATTGGTAGATAAACGTTTGATCAGAATTTCGTTTGAAAAGATGTGTACGTGATGGAATTGCTCCGGTTTAAATAGGTGGAGGACCAGGTGCAACCCGAATACCTCAGTAACATCTCTCATACAGTAACATAGGCTGGAGTCTGGGGAACAGTATCATTTCCTTCGATTTTGTTTGTAAGTCTTAACAAGAGATGCATGTCAGCTGTGAGCTCTTGCAGATCGCCTTAACTAAGTGAACTTGTTTACAATAAGGTCAAATTACTTAGCTTAATTACCACATTACAGAAGTAGTTGATATGTCCTGGTTTGAAATCGACGACAGTTAGCATGGGTACTGGTTGTGCTTTTTTAACTGATGAGTGGAAAAAACAATAGTCTATAAAATTTCTGAAGCCTATAATTTATTTATTGCACATTGTAGACATCCAATTAAAATATATATGAGTTTCCTGTGAATGACAAAAATGAACTGAACAGGGCTAAACTGTCATTTTAGATGTATATCAAATCATAAGGATCAGAAAGTCGATTAATTTATACAGTATACGTTGCTTTCAGAGCTTTCACTCCAAAACTAATCAATCACAATTAGCTAAATTTCTGCTACCAAGTCATTGATTTCTGAGATTAATAAGGACTAATTATTGTTTACGATTTTTAAAAACGCTACGATTGATCTACCAACAGACTGAATATTTTAACTATCTGAAGTGGATATTAAGTAGAATCAAATGATCCCACCATTGTTTACCGAGTTGCAATTGGGCATGAGGTTCAACGTTGATTCTGTCTACTGAGTGAACTTGAGTTGTCAATTTTACTGTCGAACTGGTAATTATTTAGCCTATACTGTTTCAGTATTCGTTTACCAAAATGAGAAGAGAATAAGCTTTTCTGATGTTTTTGAGCCAACTATCAAGTATATAAAGCTTTTAAAGTTTGATTTTTACTATCTGAATTCCAAGAAATTGGGAGTTAAGTACTCCTTAGAAATTTCAAACTCTTCCTGGATTATGGACATATATTCAGATTTCCGACTTATAACTGTGAGTTCGTAGAAATGATGATCAACTTAAATGCATGGGATATTGAAGCTAAGTTTGAAATTCATTACATAGTCATACACACAATAGTTGTTTTCTGACCAACCGTTCTTCCTACTTTTTTCTTCATCGCTTCGCTGGAGAATGTGAGTTAGCATGACTGGATTCATTTTTACTGCCACTGATGAAAACTTCGATTTACTTAACGCACTGTACAGCACTCAAATTTCAATTATTCGATAGCGGTTTCTGACCCAGTCCACTTACCAAAATGTGGGCAAGCAGTTAGTATCAACAGTCCTCCCATGATATATGTGGTTTATTAGCAGGCGGTTTGAAATTTAGGGATTTTAAATATATCAAATAAATGAGAATACTCTTAAAACACGGTACTTTGGAGGTTGATAAATATCCTACTTTAAGTTTCTCACCATAGCTGTAAGCATCACATAATGCAACACAGTAAGCTTTTACAGCTTTATGTGCTGGGCTCCGAACCTCACATAGTAGTTGAAGGTTTACGATATCGCCCGGTTGAGCAAGTTTAGTAGACGGAACGATATTTCAAACCGGTATACATTAGTTGAAGTCAAGCGCCTAAACAAATAAATCACAATTGAGAGGAAAACTTGTCGTCCTAGCTAAGTCTATATGTAAAAATAATTCATCAGTAGACATATTTAAATTTTTCCGTCGTAAAATTCCACTTATTTTATTTGAATGGCTGTGAAGCGAAAGATAAGTAACCTTGTGTTGTAGAATAAAGTTGTATGGGTGATTGTACCAAGTCGTAATAGCAGTCAAGTATTTCAAAGTATGAATACCACACTCAGCGATCTACTTTTAAACTGTAAAAGAAAGGCATTATGAATCTGCAGCTTGAAAACAAACCAATCAAAGATAGATGTATTCTATGCGTATATAAAACAACACTAAAATCTCTTCTGTTCAGTGTCTCATTTTATTGGGGCTAATCAGCTTTTAGATTAGCTCGGCGAAAAATACTGCGGTGTGTAGAAAGTTTTCTAATATAAATGAATTTTACTCAGCTATTCATGTCAGTTAATAGTTAATTAATGAGAATAAACTCTTATGGTTATTTAGACTCTCTGGTATAACCCTATTTCGCAGACTTATTTTTAAGTACAGAGATGATAAACAGAACAAGAAAAACCCAGTTTAACGATAGCATTAGAATTTGTAGTCTTAATTTTAGATTCCTATAGAAACCCTATTTTTCTTACTACTAGATTCATCTGTGCGACAAATTGAAAGGATAAATCTACCTACCTTTCTAGCATGGAATCCATTTCGGGAAACGCTGGTGTGGTTTGTTCATTTGTAGGTTGGTGTCTAAGCAAAAAAAGGAATTACAGAAACAGAATCAGAATGTTTTTTTCTTTCTCTCTCCAATGTTTCTCACTTCAGCTGCACATTTTAAAAAATGCAGTTATCAACTAAAAGAAGTTGATTTTGATATTCTATAACGGTAATTTATTGACTATGGGGGAATTCGCATCACATATTGACAATAATGAAAGAACCATTGAAAAAAACCTGGGAGCACTGTGCGTTTCTCTTCTTAGTGCTAGGCTCCTGAGTAGTAAGGACCCATTAACCCGTGAAGGACCGAGCCAATGATCCTCAGGTCTCTCAAGAAACACGTTAAAACCCAGCCACATGGTTGGAATGATTTTCCCCACTGTTATTACTTGTGTCGATACGCGATATAGCGCAACCATCGTCTAATGTCATCGATGGCCATTAGTTTGAATCATGACTTAGTTGACCACACGCGGAACGACTTCCTGTTAGGAATTCACAAAATCCATATCGAAGTAGGACAATGAACACTGACAAGTGACTAAACTGGTAGTTTAAGAGAATTTATTGACGGAAATTCCCATTTGAATTAAGTTATGGTAATGAGGATTTGAAAGATAAAAAGCTCTGTTTACATAACCCTGAAGACTATGCCAAGCATAACAACGATTAATGGACAGCAAAAATATTTTACTCGAACATCAGGATTCATTTGGTTAGTAAATTATACGTGAACCCACGATTAACCGAAATTCAAAAGAATGACATCTAAATGTTATTGACGACATGAACAGCGACAAAACTGTGATACATGTGACGGGACGAATTCCAAGCAAGACGGAGAAGAAATCCTAGATTCTGCCTCGAACAGAAAATGGGTTGCTTGGTTTCATGAAATGTATGAAAGCATTGAAACTCGCGATCAGATTACAGGAGTCAGTTGAACTCGCAAGTCATTTAGTAAGATCCTTTACTTATTCCACCTGCCATCGTACAGCAGGAAAAATCACACATGCATTTATATCCAATTTACTGTTGATTTATCTTGGTTAAAAATACGAGCTGATTGGGAGAGATTTCAAAAACAATTGAATTTAAAAAAAGTAAGATGGTTTAACTGAATATCAGAATGCTTTACCACACTTTACATTAACATATAAAGGTCGAAATGAACAAAAGGAGAGGTAAGGAAGTTAAAAAGAATAAATAGAGTTGTTGTCGGAACCCAGAAGATAAACATAGTAGGAATTGAAGAAATAGAGAGGTATTCGAACAATTTGGTCATAAATTAACTTTTCAAGGCATTTTATATGAAAACTGGAAGTTCTTTTATCACGTATTTGTCACTTCCCCACTTCCAGCAAAATGTTCAATGAGCAAAAGAAAAGATAACGCATGGAGTATTATAGCCATTGAGGTTGATTTGGTACTATATACCACTAAGAATCTCTAGCCTTGAAATTCGGTTAAGGATCCTCATTGTGTAACATTTATTCTTAAAAAAGTGAACAAATTGTTCCGAAATGAATAAACTGATTTCATGTGAAATTGGTGATTGAAGTGAAATAAAAATCTGGTTAACAATCAGATCTTGTAGCTCAGTCGGTAGAGTATCGGGCAGGAAACACTGTGGTAGCTGGTTTGAATCCGGCCGTGGTCTAAATTTTCATTTCACCTTCAATCATCACCCAGTACAATAAATAATAACCAGCAACCTTAAGTCCTCTCAGTTCTATCAGATATAAAATCTTATTGAAGTAAATATTGAGTGCCGAATCTAAGAGACTCAAATCAACCAAATCACTGTGAAAACCAAAAAGCATAGGCTTCAGTAACATAATTTTACAAAAAACTCCAAGTCCGAAACGAAAGTCAAGTTTGTATTCTTAGAATATTCTCTTATGAATGTCGATAATAAATACATGGCAGAACAGATGAGACTTTTGGAATGAATGTACATCGACCGGGGCAGCTGGACTTGCTTGACGAATGTCCAACGAGACATTATGTTAACTAAAGCAGGACTGTGTCAAACGAAATCCGATACAGGCAAGTAACAAAATACCATTCATCTATGAGATCATTAATTTCTGGAAAAATACAATTTAGAAATAGTCAATGAGTAAGCACGACTGGCAAAAATGCAGTTTACTGGTACAATTGCATTTGTTCCTGACCTATTTCTTAACTTTGAAAGCTTCACTAGTTTAGACTTTTTTCCCCTTACCTTTTGTCCGATAGTTAAATGGTTGAATTCTGACATTACTACAATTTCACTCTTTCATCCTTCGTACTTCGTTTCACGGATGGGAAGTGTTACAAGGTGGACCAATACGCAATCATATCAAACACCAGGTCACTGATGTTCTCATTTCTCACCACTGGAGTGATTCTCTTCTGCAAGCTCCTTCAGAAAATTTCTGTTTCCCTGTAAAAATGAAGTGGAAAGAGCTTCTTAACGATATCTCTTGAAGGTTGTCTCAACCAGATGACCATTATCCATAAGTGATGAATCCGCATTTACCTAGTGTAAATGCCAAGGGCTCAAGTAAAACTGATATTTGGATAAAACAAGCAACAAGTGTTAACAAGGTTTATATCTCAGGTCAACCAGCATAATATCTAGCCTGTACCCAGAAGACTATCGTTTGCAATTCTGTTACATTTTGCCTTATCTTTCAGCTGTATTCATCTCTTACATCCAAACACACTGCCTCTTATGTAATACTTTCAACTGTTTCAGGGCAAAAGAAATGTGCAGTAAATGGATAAATTCATTAGAATAGGTAATGATAAAAACCCACTTGGAAAATATATCTAAAGCCAATTCTTTAATCGCATGGTGTTCTCCTTGTGAGATATCTGTTAAATTCTCCAGTTTTATAAATGCTTTAGAACACGTCGCAAAGTTTTTTGCATAGATGGAACAAAGAGCTATGAGAAAAAGAAATTCAAAAAATCAACAACTAAGAATGGTTCACTACGATAGATGCAATGCACTGAAGAGAACAGTCCTCTGGATTATAGCTTGTTTGAGCCGAATGTAATGCATAGTACAATTTTATAAAGTGAGTTAATTTAATCCAATGGGTGGATTACGTAAAGTACCGTGTACTGGCGCTATGCAAAAAGTTGTGTTGCTGTCAGAGTCCAGTATAAGTCACTTGATATATTTCAACTGACGGCTTGCTGTACACAATTCTAAATTTAGTATGAGGAAGATTTAGAGCACACGAAATGAATTCGATTCATCCTACAATATTTTTTGTTCTTTTTTTGCAAAAACATGAAAGTCTATTATACATTTAAATAGTTGAATTATACTGTTTATTTAGCATTTAAACAACATGTGTCGTTGTGTAGAAATTCATATTAAAGCGGTACGTGCAATTTCGGTATATTTAAACTTAGTAAACCAATTTGACTAACGATTATGCAGATTATTCGAACAAATAAATATCTAAACAAATACATCAAAATACGTTGGTCAATAATATTATATTCACACCTTCAATCGCCCTAAATAAACGAAATGGAGCTAACACCGAAAATTGTTGCTAAATTCTCGTGCAGTATAAGTTAGATCATCTTTAGCGAGATGTCGTTTAAAAATATCACGAGTGTATGGCTTAATTGCATACTCTAGAAGAATACCAGGGTAAGCTGAAACAGGTTTTGAATGACTGTTAGTTTACAAATACACCCAAGAAGATTACACTCCATGTCGAGAGTCATCTTTAGTTTTACTATCATTTGTATGTTAAGCTTCTGCGGTATAAAGTACATTCAATGAAGTTTATTAATGAATTAGGAAGTTTATTCTGCAGTAAATAATAAAACTCGATAGATTACCAATCAAACTATAGATTTTGTACGGATTAAGAATATCTTCATAATCTTTCAGTAACTGTGCGGTTCTAAAAGCTCGATTTACTGAACCAGCATAAAGTTGTTTCTCAGCCAACATCATATAATGATAAGCTTTAGCTCCTCGCCAAGGTTGGTCAATAAGTCGACCGATTTCACTTGTTCTAGCCAAATGCATATCGGTATTTGAATTCCTCGTTGAATTATGTAACTGTTGCGAAGGAAGTTGGTTTGTCTTCCCATCGGTTGTGGTGTTCTTTAGAATCTCTGACTGCTTGTGGACAGTACTTTCGTTTCCTTTCTTGTTCTCTTTGTGATTTGCTTTGGTATCTAAATGATTTACATCATTGTAATTCAATAATGTGTGCTCTTTTTCCGCTAATAGTAATCCGGCAATTGCAGAGCTGGCTTGCAATACACCCTGAAATATGCAGAAACAATGAAAACCGGTTGTACCAGTTAGCAGTATGCAGAGTGGATAAAGGTGTCCATGGATGACATGACAAATTGCTCTTAAAATGCTAAGCTTGGATAGCGAAGATATATTGAGGTCGTTTTCAAAACGTGATGATGGAAGAGCGTATCAACCATTTATCAATCAAATGCATACTTAAAATCAGCTAAACAGTCTAACTGTTGTTTCAAAGGCCGACAAGGTCATGCTTTGGTGAGAAAAAGTCATATAAGATGCTTAGAATATATAATCGCAAATGTAGGGTAATAACGTATATAGAGGAGTACAGTCATCTACAAAACAAATGGCTGACTGACTGGAAAAGTAGGTGAACTTCCGTTAAAGTAAATCAGTCCTAAGAGAAATGACAGAAGGAAACCAACAAGTATTTGAGGAATAAAATAAATTTTTTTTTGGTTATCTGCCCTAAGATACTACGCCGGGACTACACAAGTAAAATAAACCATATGCTATGAATCAATAAGTATTTATTTTCTACCAACTTCGCAGACTTCGAAAACTGGGCATAGTCATAGGTCATCATGTATCGAGTAGTCGCTAGTAATTCAAGCTGCATTCACATTTTTCTCGACGCTATATTTACCTTACATAAGCATTATTTGTCTATTTTACGTCATAAAAACAGCAATCACTTCCAAGCTTTTCAAATTCTTATCTTACTGTTTATCATGTTTCATAGGTGTAATTTGCATTATGGTTGGGCGGTTTTGCTAATCAAGCAGACAAACCATAGTATACACACATTAAATTTGAATTTTCTTTACGCCTAATGGTATCTACATCGAAAACAGACGGTGGGAGCTAATAACCCGCTCTGCAACGTAAATCATTCGAAAAAAACATACTCAATGCCAGTATTAGGTTTACTATTGTCAGCTTCACCCTTACTTCTGGGCAGAGTATAGGAAGATTTGGTTACGAATGCTCCAGAAGCATTTACTGCATATGATAAAAGTACAGAATGTGCAACACTCGAAGTTGGTCATAAGGCTCAAATTCAACAATGTGGCATTGCGTTTGAATGCACTAAGGTGGCTAATGAAATCTTTTATAGTTGACGTCTACTGCAGTAGGAGCAGAAGCACTTCTGGATGAGTTTTATCACCCTTTAAGGTGATAGCATCAGGTTATTTGATTCCGAAATGGCATTGAAAAAGCGCGGAACTAAATTTTGCATTTCTATCAGTAACTAGATAGTAATATTTAACAACTTGTTTCATAACTAGCTTGTTTTTCTTGTCATAATTGTCTAACGTTTGATAACCATAAGTATGCTTATTTCCATCCCTTTTACTTTCCACTTGCTGACTTTCTCTTGTTATGCTTACATGAGATGAAGTCACTTAGTCCAGTGTACAACTCTGAAATGTAACATTAATATTATTTGTCCCTTGGGTTCCCAGTGAAATGTAAGGCTTCAGTAGCACGTCTCCACATCACTCTGTTCTCTGCAGTCTTCTCAACCTGGCTCCACAACTGCCCAGAAGCTTTCATTTCTTCCTCACACGATCTCCTCCATGTCACCTTCACCTCGGAAGCCCAACTCGTCGTTTCCCATTCCGGTTCCACTTGACGGCCTGGCGCATAATGTCTCCGAATTGTCTCTTCAGTGTATGCTCAATCCATCTCCACTTACTTCGGCATATTTATTTATTGGGCGATGGATTCTTGGCTGGTTCGTTGCCAACCAAAGTGAGTTCCTTGTTGCTTATTCTTATTATTCTGGCCATCTGATCTCCATCTTCACAATCGAGTGGGCGTAGGTGGCAGCTGTTGATGTGATGCATAACTGTAGTTTGTTGGAAATACTTTTCGTGACGCGTCGAGATTCTGAACCATCGCATAGAAGCACTGGCCGACTTGACTGAATTAGTGAATTGGTTTGTTAATGACAAAACTGATATCACCAGGCTGTCAGATTGTTAGAAATCAGAAGTAATCAATCGGAATAAGACTCAGGTAATAACGATACTGAAAGCAGTTATACACCAGAATTGAATACAAATAAGACTATCTCCCCTCAGCACCTTATTCTTCACTGAGTCACACAAATATCAAGAGACAAAGGTTGACCTGTGACTGCAGTATCGACTTTATTTGGTAAACCATAGACTATACAATATACACACATAAGAATATCCCAGGCCACAGATAGAATAAAACAATCTTATTAACTACATCACGTATGGAATCGTTCAGTAGGATTATTTTGTTCACATATAAACATAAATCAAATACTGAAACAACAACACCTCTACCCGGATTGCCGATGATTTAAAATGTTGGTTTCCGTTTCTGATCAGCTCTTATCAGCATCTTACAGTGGTTTCTCAGTGACTGTGATTGAGTTTTAGAAAGCAACCCATTTTCAAAGCCACCACAAATTAGATGCTAGACCATAATTTAATGTCATCTGACCTTAAAATAGAAAAAAATTTAGGAATTTTCTCCAGGATTCATGAATAAACATAAGTGTAGATACTGCTGTCTGGAAAAAGAATAATACCTCAGGACCTAATAATCCATTTCGTAGAACGTAAAACCGTTTAAATCATCCACTTGAGCTAAAAATGTCCTCTACCGTATCAAAATGAATTTATCACAGTTTTGCAGACATAGTTGTCTCAGCTTTGCTTGAACTTACACATTGTTACATAGTGTTCACTAACAAAACAAAGGTAATACCTTTATAAACTCACTTCACCACATGTAGTATTTCTGGGTTTTACATTAACCTGTTGTTTAGTTTGCTCATAGTATTGCTCCATTAATAGACCAATGAGAACATACATTTTTTTCATGTATAATGGTGGTATATTCGAGGTTGTTCTGGCCTTTTGGGCTTCCTAGTGAGTAGTATGAAAAGGGTATTAAGGGTTAGACTATAACTAAGAACTAAGTGAGATAATAAGGAAATCAATGGAATTTAGACGACCAGAAGAACATAATGAAATGACGTAAACTCGTCAGTGAATATTAATTGAATAAGCTGGAATATGTACTAAAATTGTCGAATAATCGCTTATTTTGACATTGCTTTATGGCTTATTGGGGATTAGGTTAGAAAAAATCAAGGGTAAATTACCTTAAATATCTCCAATGAAGGAATCTTTTAACTGTTTGTTCGAAGTATAAATTGCTTAGCCAATGATATCAGTCAAAAACTGAAAACAGGTGATGTTACAGTTCAAAATGCTTTCTTAAACGTGTTCATTTTTTCCTCAAAATTTTTAAATCCTGTTGTATGTGACTTTCTGGTTTTGCTTCATGTTTCCCTGCTCTTAATACTTTGTCACTTGTGTTGATCTACCCTTTATGCATTTTTGGAACACTGTTGTACTTTTGGCGTGTTTCTATTTCTTCTGGTTATGTATTTAAGAAGAGATAAAATTCTGTCAGAGGCTGTGAAAATGTTCTACAGGATATCATTTTATTACTTGTGAATTTTGACTGAACAAAAGCTTAGAGAATATTTGTAAAGGCACATCATAGTTAAAAATGACCTTCTTCCTTCTTTCTGTCTCACGCCCTTGAACGTTCATTTATCAGGAAGCAATACAATAAGGCTTTTCAGAAGTTGATTTGTCATTACAAATCATAAAGTTTAAATTTGAAACCACTTTCCAGGGTGAACAACATTTACCAAATAAACGCTAATCTTGTTCATCTTGCTCTGACGAAATAATCGAGGGAACACTCCGTGAGTATTCTAAAGAAAGATCTCTCAGCAATCCGTAATTTACTTAAACAATGAGTGACGATCCGTTGCAGAATGGTTCAAAAATCTATTGAGGTCTAGCTTTACGAAAAAATGTCTTCAGACGAACTGCTTTTCTCCTTAATTCTTCAAGGCTTTGCGTTCGTACAAGCTTTCCCTGCATAAACATAATCTTGCACGAATCGCCAGTATCCATACTGAATCAATAAATCACACGATTTCCACAATGAAGTCTGCATCACACAATTTTGATATGGTGCTAGATAACTTGAACATTATATTCAGAATTCAATTAAACAACCGCATCCAAAATCCTCACTTGAAAGCTCCTAAGAAGCTCGAAGACACTTCTCGGAAGTTTTTGTATTAAAAGGAGAATCGGATGTCTTACTCCCGAAAATTAAGAATAAGAGCCATGAAGAGAGATGTAGACTACCCGGCTAGAGTCGCGGAGACGGAAGTAATCAGTGGCTGAAACGTTGTCACAGTGGCGTAGATGTATTCAATCTTTGACCCTTTCTGAAGCCTGAATATCTGACCAAACTATTATGCTCAAATTGCCTATTCATTCATTTTTTTTCATCTGTTTTTCGTATACTACTGTGAAGTGTGGTGACTTGAAGAGATGGACTTGTGCGCGAGGTTCTATAACGATTTTGTCAGTCTGTCTATCTATTTCCAGAAAGTTGAAACAGATTTTTGTGCAACTTATCAAATATTAGGCGTTAAAAATTTCGAACCGAAGCATCTCTGAGTTTCCAAATTCATATTCCTAAGGGAGTCAACTGCTTTCACGATGCAGTCAAAAATTGAATACTTTTACTGGAAAATCTATGATTTACTGCCAATGAACGGTGACAGAAGTTGGTTAAGACTCAAAATTGATGTCACCAATCAATACTTGTTCTCATCGACAATGAAATCACACACACTTTCCAATAAAAACATAAATGCTGACAATGTCTGTGAAAGAAAGATCTACTTATAATGGGACCGGATGAAGGTTTTGGGTTAATCCTTATGAAAAAGAAGTGTTGTTTAAATAAAATGTTCACGGTACTCGGTGATTCGTGAAGACTTTTGTCTGAAAAGATAAAAAAAAGGATATAACATTGGCTCTACGAAAGAGTTATAGCCCATCCGGAATATCGAAAAAAGAAAAATATGATTGACAACCATACTTTTAATGACCTGAAACTCAGAGGTTTGAGTCTACCTATCAAATACGGCCTTCTGAGGACCTACTATATGGATGTCCCACTGAGGCCAAAATTATCAATCGTGAACGTTCCATGTCACAAATCCGCCCGACAGTTAGTAGAGAAGCTAAAACCAATCTGTAACAAGCTGTCGCTTTATAATGTGAAAGATACTTTTAAGTTCATCAAAAAGCTAAATAATATGAATATTGTAAAAACGTCTCTTGGATCCTTTGCTATTTCTTCTCTGTTCACTGAGATATCCATCGACGAAATTGTTGAGGTTATTTGTGAACAATTCGAATTGCTTCCTTTACCCAAAGAAGACATTAAGCAACTTTTAACCCTGTGTATTAGCGATGTTCATTTCCAGTTTAAAAAGGAATTAAATCGATAGATCGATTGAGTAGTCATAGGAATCTTACTTGGTTCAGTATTTACTCAATATAGACAAAACGCATGAGCAATAACCTTGAAATTCCACCCTTGACGATCCCTCAGTGTCTCCGTAGGGGGAAAAGGTGGTAGGATAACAGAAGGTCTATTGCAACGTCAAAAATACACACAAAATACAAGGGTTTATATATATTTACAATGGCCTTGGCTAATTTAAGGCCTTTCTAAATTTGAATGTCCTATTGACTTTTATCCCTCCAAGCAATCTGATATTTACACCTTGGTCCATGCGCTTTCTGTCGAAATTTCGGTAAAACACGATTAGTTGTAAAAGGCTCCAGAGGTTTACGGCTTCTTACGGAGATTTCATGAATATTACTGCACACTTTACATGCTGCAAATCTTTTCCTTCTTGATTTGCTGATTTGAAATCTGTTTGGTGATATTTTTGCGTTAGGCTGAGGATGAAACAGCTATCCAGTGCTCCCAATTTTTCCGTGGTTCTCTAACCGATTTCATTCAGTGACGAATGCTATATTGAACTAAGTAAAAGCCCTATAAGCTTCAAACCAAACTACATATAATCATCCAGAAGCCTTTTTATCAGTAAAATAAGAACTAAGGGAAAAACTTGTAATCACTAAGGTGTTTCTTTTACGAACCATGAAAGTGCTTCAAATTCACAACCGAGAAACAACATATGTCCGTATATTATGTAACTGACAAGATCTCACTACTAACAGCAGAGTTTTCATTTTACAGACACTTTCTTTTGTTTCACTGCTAAACACAACCTAGTGTTGGATACTAGCCTACTGTGATCTAATGAATCTGGATTTCTCTCCCCTTAGAACCGCCGATTTGATAAACCTGGCTATCAATAATGTTTTTGGCTTGAATAGGGCTAGAAAATGCTACTTATAAATTCAATTGCTAGGACCTTTTTCAATGAGGTGCTAAGTTATGACACTAACCTATGATGCATAAAGCATATTTTGACACAATGAGATATAATCTATAGTCATTGATCCCTTTTAACCCTGTTTTTTTAGTCTAAACTAATCAGCAAAAGATTATGATACATAATATGTCCGATGTGGCTACACACGATGCTCAGAAAGTGAAGGCAAACGGAGACCTGGTTTCATTAGCTGAGTTTCATAGCTGGGTCGGTAACTTGGAAGCCACTGGTCCCAATTATTCTACTTTTCATGCTTTAATTTTATTTTTAATTGTCATGTTCATATATCCATATTTCTTTCAACTTACCTTATACAGTAATTCAGCAGCTTCTAAAAATCGACCAGCACATTTATATAGTTCAACAGCTTGAATTACTTTGCCTTTTTCAATAAAATGATTGACTGACTGATTTAAAACATCATCGATCTTCTTTTGTAGTTGTTTTAGACCATATTGTTGTTGACTATTAATATCTTGTGTATCTAAACGTTTTGCTAATTCGTAAGCAATACGCCAATGGTTGAATCGCAAACATATATCGATTGCTTCTTTACGATGATTACCCTGAATAAGTCAAATAAAATTTAAGAACTTATACTTTCAACATATTACAACCGACAAGGGAAATTCAAGGTGAACTGACAATCTTTTACAGATTATGTGTTTAGCAGTAAACCACAACGTTTGTTTGACGTCTTGTAATGACTACTGCGTAGGTGTATAAACCAAGATAGGTGGAATGTATCAAAACTGGTCCAGAGGTATTTAGTTAGCAGGTGAATAGAGCAATGAACTACAACTCGGTATTTATTAGACAGTCAAACAAAAGGTAACATACTTAGATCTCATGTTTGCTATCACATATCAGTTATGCTTAACTTTAGTCTTGAAAGGATTGGTAGTTTCTGAGAAAGCCTATCTAGCATTAAACAGCACTTTAATCATACGAAAATATATGTCTACAAACTACCTCAGTTTCTCCATAAACATTTCAATGCAATACTGACAATCTTTCCTTGAACATGTGTAGCATAAGTTACCATGTGTAATAATTCAATTTCTTAAATATAAAAAATATGACCTCTTGTTTTTTTGAAGTAGTTTTAAAGTATATGTATCCTGGTTCATTATTGAGGGTTTTTGCTCATGACATTGCTATTGATTTTTAAACAAACAACATGATAGGTTGACTGTCGACATGACCAACATACTACTTAATTACCTCATGTTACTGTGATTAAATGTACCCCTCGTTTTAAATGTAATACTCAATTCTTGTTAAGTTTGAGTTGTTTTACGCTCATACAGTGATGTAGGACGTTTTATTCTTGTTGTCAATAGTGTTCTTACCATAATGGCACTAAATCTCGCTTAAAAACACCTGAAGGAAGCCAGTAACCATTTAGATATTTCCACCAACCATTTGTGTAAATTACTGTACCAGAACTTGAACCTAAGCACTTAACGTATAAAATAACTGATCACTTTTCTTTAGAAATCTCCTCTACCACCACCAACTTTTGTTTTCAGCTAAGACGTGTATTCTGTAAACAGTAACACTTAAAATTGAATTTTTCAAAACTTGGGAAGGACAAAAAAACTAACTTTCATTAGTGAAAATACAGCTTCTTGTATCATTCCAAGACTAGCAAATCTTAGGCCAAAATCGTGTAGAGCATTGTGACAGTCTGGCATTCCTTCGATAAGTCTTCCAATACCTTGATAGTCTTCTAATTGGTATAAGCATTCAGCAAATTTAACAAAATCATTGCCTTGTTGATAATAATCAGCTGCTTTATCCCTGTGAAAATTATAATAAGATACAAGTTCCCAATTATGAAACTAGTATTCACCAGTACAACCATATGTATTAAAACATTCAAACGCTGTTCATTTATTTACTACATTATTTTTCTAAAATAGAAAAAATAACCTCCAAATGAATACTGTAGCCAGCAAATTCACCTGAGAGATTTGGATTTCTTGAATCCTTTCATTTGTCATGATGAATAATTAAATATTTTATTAACAGATTTTTATTTCTTAAATTACTGATGACGATACTGATAAGTCTGTACACGAGTAAGTTTAGGTACCGACTCTCCATGAGAAAATAATATGATGGGTCTAGATAGTTGGTCCATTATTTGTTTCAAGTTGTTATTCGTCGTAGACTGACATCAGTTGGAGGAACAAAGGAAACCTGGGAGCACTAGAAAGCTGTTTCGTCCTAGTATGGGACTCCTCAGCAGTGGGCACCCACGACCCCGCCAGCGCATTACCATTGAGCCACTGGGTCAGAATCCAATGCTTTATATTCCCAACTTCTGTTAGTTCACGATATAGCGCAACCGCCACCCAATGTCATCGTTGAGTATCTGTCCTCACGACCATCAGGCTTTGACTCCACCGGTCACGACTCCTCATTGGAACTTCGGGAATACTTCTCGAAGCTAGTTACCAATGAGCACCAGTTCAACTGAATTTTGAGGGAGTTGTGGAGATTTGGAAACATTTCAAGTTGTTATTCATCGTAGACTGACATCAGTTGGAAATATGCAGCATTGGATTCTGACCCAGTGACTCAATGGTAACGCGCTGGCCGCGGAACCTGAAGGTCGCGGGTCGATCCCTGGAGGGGGGTCGTGGGTGCGCACTGCTGAGGAGTCCCATACTAGGACGAAACAGCTTTCCAGTGCTCCCAGGTTTCCTTTGTTCCTCCAACTGATGTCAGTCTACGATGATTAACAACTTGAAACATTTCCAAATCTCCACAACTCCCTCAAACTCATTATTTGTTTGTCTATGAAGTATAATAAGTAGTTTTATGTGGATACTGATGCTATTTTTTTCCTACAACCTCAGGTTATAATCTCTTTTGCGAAAGTTTCACCCAGTTCAGACATAAAAATAAGACAGACAGACAATAACAAATAATCTCATACACAAGAAAATCAGTAAGACCACACTAACACATTATTCTCAATTTTTAAGAAGACGAACAGTTAATTGATTCATATATGCTATTCCTGTCATCTTGGAGCCACATTGCTTTCAGTTCCCAATACTTCAGTGTATCACAGATTTTTCATAAGTGAAACTACCGAGTAAGTAAGTCAAACTGTCCTTCATTCCACATATCAGATAAAAGGAATCTAGTGTTTATTAGTAAATACACTCACCAAAACATTTGATCCCGAAAATGATCACCCATTGCATTCCATATTTCAGATTGTTCTACATCTTTCACTAATATACCAGTATCTTTAGTTAGCTGAGCTACACGAAACCAATCACCCAGACGTTTTCTTAATTCCACAGCTAAATCAGGACGATCATTTTTAAGCAACAGTGTTTCTGCTTCATCATATCTTTTGAAATAGGCATTTATTTCTGCCTTTTAAAAAAGCAGAAATCATAAACATGTAGGCCGATTAGTACTTGGCTTCCATAGTAGTACAATAACAAGAAAATTAAAATTTGCCGCTTACCAAGTTTCCCTGATGGCACCGATAAATATGAACACACTCTGTAGCCCATTTGACCAGTCGTCTTGCAGATGGTAAACTAAGTTAATTCGAATGAACCGATCATACCATTCAGTCATTTCAAAAATCTTGTTTTCAGTAGTGGCAGCCAAAACGATCCTACTTGGTTTTCTCTTACTTGAAAAGTCAATGTGGCTGCGAAATATCGACACTGCATAATAAATAAGTTTGTAATATTTAGATAATATGCATTTTGTCACTTATCATAACACTATATGAGTGCTCACGTTGTTCAACAGTTTCAAACGCTATTGGTCGTCTATACAATACAATCTTATCAAAATTCAAATACAGGTTAGTTACAAATAATTATAGGGCTTTACTTTTTGAGGCGTTGACTTCAATATCAGTTAGTCAATCATCTAAGGCGCTACTTCATGAGGAAGTTGTAGTGTATATTTAGTGTACATTTTTGGTAGCAAATATTCTGCATCATAAGTTCTCTGTATTATTTTACAGATAATAACGTGAAATGCCAAATGAACATGTTGAATTTGTAGACTGGGAAGGTGGATAGGTTGTAAGTAATGAATGATGCAACTCAAAATCATTTGTGGGAAATAACCACTATTAATTTCAATTCTTGACAAATTCACAATATCATAAATTAGATTCTGTGACTAATCCTTATTTTATAACTAGTTCCTTGGTCTATGTGGTAACACTTTTATTGAATATACTTCAAACTGGCTTTTCAAGTCAAGACAGTGCATGAGTGTATCGCATTCTACCAGTATTATTGATAATAACGATTGCCTGAATGAAGAATTCTTCCGTACTGCTGAGGAGTCCCATACTAAGACGAAACAGCTGTCCAGTGATCCCAGATTTTCAATGGTTCCCTAACTAATGTCAGTCCATAATGAATACTACTTCTAAATGAACAAATTTCTGAAGATAATTTTCACTCAAAATCTACAAGAAATGGAACAACATCGAAAATCCGAATCACTAAACAATGGGTATATCTAAGCTTGTAACTGCTGAGCGGTTAACACAGGATCGAGTCCGAATCTCATGATGACTTCATCACTGGGTTGAAATTCGACCATTCGCATTACCGGCATCATCCAACTATTGAGATAACTAAATCACCACTTAGTGCCACTGTGTTGTTTAACAATCCAGGAAGTCTGCCTTTCAATGATCCATCTTAATATCAACCAAATCTGGATACACCACTAAACTGAATAATAAATAGTATATAGTATTTACTAGTCACATACTTCAAGACTGATTTTTATGAATCTCTACTGCTAAATTGTGATACGTAGAATCAGCAAATAAGAAATTCAGAAGACTGTTAACAGATGAAATCGAACAATGTTCTCATTGGTTTTCTTATTGATTAAACTCGAAAAACAAGAACCCTTTTATGATGGAATGATGGATTAAAAACTACGTTATTCTAATGCCAACTCAAAATGTTTGAATGCGTGTTGCTGACAAGCTTCAAAATGCCTATTTGCCTGCCAGCTGCTTAATGAATCCTTTCACTAAGAAAAAAGACATATCCATTTTTAGTAAATGCAGCTGAGTAGTAGCTAACGCATCTAGTCTTTTATGGAAATATGTAATATTAAACCTTTGTATTCGCAACACAATAGAGATGAATGTATATGCTGTGGTGAACAACAACTGAGAAATAAAACTATGCACTGAAATTTACTTTTCTAATTAACTTCGACTGAATATTTCTCAATTTTTTAATAAACTGTATTCCAGAATATTCTTGTAGATGAACGAATTGTAATTCAGCCATATCCAAATTTTGCTTCTCTAAACATGCTTCAATTAATAAACGTCTGTCAAAAGAAGGAAAAAAAAATAATTAATCTGACCATTTATATGTATAATTATGACAGAATGAAGTTTAATAAAATTAAACGACTCTTAGTGAATTTTCCTCTTTGCAGAAAAGGTAAGTGAATTCAGATGAAAACCAGGGTTGTGATACGGTTGAAGCTAACACTTTCCGAGTGGATGGCTTTCTTTCTGCCTCAATCATTATTTCTGTACATTAGAAACGTTTTGATAATCAAAATTATCTGTTGTAACTGTGAACTGTAGATGGAAGTGACTTTAATTGTCTTCGGTCAACTGAACATTTGACTAAGTGGTCTGACTAGATGATTTAACCCATGAAACAAAATGCTTCATTTACTATAACAGAGTGTTGGCTACCTTATGGTTGGAGTACATGAATATTGGATGATAAAATCGGTGACCTATTGATATGTGTATTTATTCCACCAATATCAAGATTTCAGAACTTTCTAATAGATGAATTAAACATTCATTCGTATAAAAGTATATGAGCAATAAAATATAATTATAATCTGATTTTCAGAAGAGAATAAGTCACTTAAGAGTCATATCAAGGTTGCTAGTTAAACAGAAAAAAATATGCAACTAATAGGTGTTTAAGACTGCATTTTATTTCCTCTGACAATATCTCTACCATATTGAACAGAAATAGTTTTTTTAATGGAAGAACAAAAAAGTGTTCTACTTCGCTAATTTCAGTAATTTAGCTATCAGTTACATAAACTCCACTTGTTTTTATCAGATAATTAAACCAGTCACTATCAGTTTGTTGCCTTGTTTTAATGGATAGTAACTCGGTTTGCAATACCACACATCAAGACTCAAGGGACAAGACAAAAGATGGTGACATGGAAATGATGGGATAAATATTATGGAAAATCATCCGACAAAGGGAAGAGCATTAACAGATAATAACTGAATATTATTTAAAACTTAAGACGAAGATTAGACATAAACGCAGCAACACCACTATAATTGATTGACGGGGCTGGTTAAAATGGTTGAGGTGTACGTGTCATACAAGTAGTTTCTGAACTCATCAGTAAGCAGAAATGTAAACGATAAATGAGAAATTAAGTTTTAACGAAAATACTTTACAAGTCTACTAATGTGACCAATAAATCGAAGTGTGACTGAATAGTTGATGTTATAATTCGAATAAAAGATTTTACAGAAGAAGAGAAAGGAAAACAAAGCCTAAAACCGTACTAAAGATACGTTTACTACTGCACTCAAACTACTATAGTCTGTCAACTAATATCTACGAGTATGAAAATCACTTTTTTTCACCGTTATGATCAGCCTGTTATTACACAAGATTTTACCAAACTTTACCATGCAACTAAATATAGAGCCATTTCAATTCCTTTATATGTATCCTTGCACAGATTATTTCTTTTAAGTCTTGAAAAAAATACTTTAAACATATATTATAAACTATTAGTTCCCTTTGTGGATTTTGATAAAACAGTAAGGACAGTAAGACTAAATTGAATGTCAAAATATAATGAAGATCAATAAAGCTCAGCTGATAGACCACTTGGCTGGAAACCAAGTGGTCGTTGGTTCAAATCCTGTTTGGGCCCGAAGTTTCATTTCATCGTCAGTCATCACCCAGTATCAATAGTAGTCTGTCAAACCACGGCTCTCTTACTCGGAAAGTCAAAATGATTAAAAGTTAGTGATACAATAATCTTGAGCTGAAAGCCGAATTTATCAAGGAAGGTTTAATTGATAACATATTGTTTGTGAATTCAAAAAGATGACTTAAACTTCCTTATGGTTAATGCTGCAACAAATTTTGAAATCCCTCCCCAAAAGGTATTATAGATGGGCTTAAGTGACGTTTGTACATCCATTTTATGCCGTTTTCATAATTGGTTTAGCCACTGAGGTATAGGTAAAAGATTAAGTCACATCTTAATTTATCTGCCAATTGAAATGTACGTGTGGTCACACATAGAGGAGGGCACATCATCACCACGATATTAAAGGCCACCCTAGCAACTGATGAGATAGCCAATTATATCCTTTATTTGGTGGCGTTCTACTTTACCGGGTGAAGTACTTTACCCTAATTGGTTATCACAGTGGTTGCTGAGGCGGCCTTTAAAGTCACTCCACAAGATAAGGGCCATAGAACACATTGCAAAGTGGCTTCAGAAACAAGGTCATTCTAGCAACGACTGAAGTAGCCAATCGGATTTTTTCATTTCGTCTGGAAAGACAGATTTTTACAAAATAGAGAAGTCTAATTGGGTTTTTTTTCAGTTGTTGCTAGGGTGCCGTTAAAGTTATTCAAATAGTCTTCTGACTCCATTGATGCTAGAAACAAACGTCCTAGCTGCTCAATAGCTAAGCATACTATTGAAACGCGGCATTAAATGGATGTACAAACGTCATTTAAGCCCATCTATAAAGTCTCTCAGGGACATATTTCAGAGTTTGCTGAGAAAACTGGATTATAAACAAAAGCGTGCAAGAAGCTTAGATCTACAGTCCACCACTATTGGCTATCCCGTATACTCATATAGACATTTTTTTGCAACCTTAACTGATGGAATCTGATTACAAATCAGGCTTATATAACGTGAAAATTAGGATGTTTGCTCTCTCATAAGCTATCATCAAATATACATACTTTTTGAACACATTTTCAATTCTCTTATCATTGTATGTACATTTCATATGAGAACAAATGTCTTTTTCGTGTAATTAGTGGCGATCACTGGAATCCAAGATGCACGTTTCATCCTATTTAGGACTCGTCTACTGGATGTGCTTGCTTCCCAGTGAGGGATACTGATCCTACCGAAACTCCAACCCATTAGTCACCACTTCAAACGCTAAAACGTCATCTACTGTATCACTGAGGCACGAGGGGCACATTCTATGCAATGACTAGCAGTTGCTAATTATTGGCATTGTTAACTTCCAATTGCTAGGCTGGATTGAATTACTCAACCCCTATTGGAAAATACGCTCATGAGTGGAGGTCTTGATACTGCCTGAATATTCATCATGTTGTAGTATGCCTTATAACATCATTAAACATTGCATATAAACGCATTTAGGCTAAGGAAAATATTGACTAACATTCTTTTAAAAAGAAATTCTAAAAGTAACCCTCACTGCTGTTACATGAATTATTTATTGGTCAGTATTTGAAGAAAAGCCTTATTAGATTTTGAGCAACACTTTTAATTTGATAAGAATAAATATCGCCTAGATATTTAGAGGTCTAAATTACTTTTAACTATTCAGTAAGAAAATTTGCACAACACTCACCTAAGTCTAACATGTGGATTGTTATTGACAAATTCTGATGCTTTTTCAAGTCCATCTTTTTCCAGTATTTGTTTGAAATCTCGAACTTTCTATTAAGTTATTTTTTAATGTGAATTTGTTTTCATAGAAGAGCAAACAGAAAAATACTTTAAAGTAACATAAGCCAGTTTCAAATATATAATTCGGGTAAGCTACACATACGTGATGTGCTTCATATATATTATTATTATTATTATTATTATATCAACGCCACTATAATCAGTATAAATAAGCAAAGTAAGTAGAATGTAAAAAAAGTTTCATCAATCTACTTGGAAACTGAAAAACTTGCTCAAAGTCCATAGTTTAGGTAACTATATAATGATATCAAACACTTGAATCCCGAAGCATTTTGAAAAATAATTGGAGATTGATCAAGACAATCTCCTGGTTTGTGATAAGAGTAATATTCATGCTGATAAGACCCAAGTAACAACTGATTACTTCATTATTAATCATGGATTTCGAATTCTGATTTATCTTTACATATTTAAAGTATGTTGTGTCGTTATTACTACGAATATTTTATTTCAGTTTTAGGCTACCTGCAGCTGATGAAAATCCGTGAAGCCAAATGAGCTCACTTTATTCAACAAATATCGTTGTTCTTACTTTATTCAAACTTACTATCAGTTGAATGACAAACAATACTATTGAAACTAAGATATGACACAGTATTACAAAGACTAACACATTTAAAAATAGCTTGAGGGTCAAATCAGGTGTGAATCTTGAAATTCGTTCTCAAGCACATTCTGCTGATGACTTTTAGAGAATAGGATGTATTACCTGTGACAATTACAGTGTATAGCAAAATTAGAAAACTGATCGATATAAATGCATTGCTTTCCTAATGTAAACGAGAAATTACATCAATTACTGAAATAAACTCCTTACTGCTTAAACAGCCACAAGAAACATGAGCAATGCTTTTTCAGTTGAATTTACAAACAAGTGTTAGGTAGAACAGTGAAATAATAAGCTACAAATCATAAATATATGCAGAAGCGTATTTTCCATACCATTATCCTGAATATTCAGCGTTTCCTTCATCTGGACACTAGTCAGTCGGCCTTTTTTAAAATCATATCCTTACACATTCTGAGTAGAAAGATACAGTTATTGATATAAATGTGATAGATTTAGCTGAGAAAGGTAGGTCAGATGCAGAGTAGTAAGTTGCAAATGCATCTCTGATCGATTTTCACGCCATGCCACTCAGAGTGTCTAACTACTGATTCCTATTATCTCAAATAGAATTAGAAACAATTAAGCAGTCTGTATTATCACACATAGCTAGAGCTAACCGTCAGCGACTTCTTAGATTTTCGCTACATCTTAATGTCATACAGCTTTTCTGCAACCTAACGTCACTCATGCTAGCAATGAATATCAAGGTAGGCTGTGCACAGTGAGGTGTCAGACATATTCCAGTCACATTAGTTAGCATGCGTTCATAATCACATCGACAGGCTTATTTTCATACAACTCTATATCTAACTTGAATACTGTCAAATTTTTGGCCCCCAAAAATGCATTGCCAAGAAGACTTTTGTAACTGAATGCCTGTAGCTTTCATATATCTTCCTCCATCAATGACTTTATCTCACAGCTGTAGATGTGATATCATACATCATTACACAATGAGCTAAACCTTCTGTTGGGTAGTTGAATATTTCACTGACCCAAACAACAGACATAACTTTTATTTCATGGTGAAATTCCGCTGCATTTACTTAGATAAGTGTGGCGGTTAACACATTCAGGAACACATCTCCTTACTTTCTTAAGCATAAATTTACATCCGTCCTTCAACGATTTTAAACAATTTAAAGTAAAACACTCTGAAATATAAAGAATTGGTGTTTGTACCGTTTTTAAATACGTACTTTGATAGGTGTCTTCATAAGAAATTCTTCATTCGGTTGGTTTGTAGCAGCAACTAATTCATCCAGCAGGATACCTTGAACTTCCAGATCTTTAAATTCATACAAGAAAGTAGATGCTTGAACTGCTGGCTCAGCCTGTAGACCATCAAATATATACATTCTGGTTTTTTCCATGATAGCAAATATATGAGGATTTTCCTTTCATTTATGGATGAATAAATAAAACCAATAAATAATTACATGAGTGTCTAACTGAAGTTACTTTCAAACCGTTGACCATAAATTATCACTAACAAAAAGTAATATAAAATTATTTCAAATAATTTGCATTACCAGAATTAGGCGAATTAAAAGTGATGTGTCTGCTCAATTTTCTTCAGTCGAGGTTCATCATCAGAAAGAAGTAGTATTTGCAACTGTTTGTTTTGTGAATAACTGGAAAACTGAAAAAAGCCTCTTGATCATATAGTTTGAACAATTTTGTCCAGTGACTTTAAGGTGGTTAAGACGAACTGACAGACGAGAAAGCTATTTTTCTTGTGAACAATATGATAGAACTCATGAGTTTTCTAAATCCTTATGGATGATTTAGGTCTAATCCTATTGTTTGATATTAATCTCCCCAAGTCTACCGATGTTGAGGCAAACTGACTAACACATCTGAATCAGTGGTTTGCAAATTATTGAAAAAACTAGGTGGTCTGCACTGAAGTTTCTCACTGTTGGATAGTATGTCAGCCTCCTGGCTGTTGCACCAGACAGATAAACAGACAAAATCAACATAGAATCTCACACAGAAGTCCACTGGTTCAATTTGCTATGCTTCACAGCAGCATAAAAAAAGAAGTGGATAGAAAAAGATCGATGTCAAAAGGGTTTGACAAAAAGCATGAACTAGACAAAGAGAGACAACATGGAACGACTTGGTTTGATCTGATGATTTTGTTAGCCAGATAAGAGTAATCTAAGCACCAGACAACCACTTTGCTCATTTTGTGCTAATGTGATCACTGTTATACTCGGACAAATTCAACTCAAACGGTTGAATTGGTTAGATCCACTAAATATGGCTAACTGACTCACATGGACTACTAAGCTTTAAGAAGTATCAGCATTGACCATGCAATTAATAAATAATTTTTAGACTGACCATTCAGTTCATGGTATTCTGATCATCGAGATTGTCCTGGTGTACTCCTGATGACCTAAGCCGTAGAAGAGAAAAAGGTCTGTCCGATGTTGAAATCACTCTAATGTGGCTATCAAAACCTGCAGATTAATTAGTAATAGCGGTTTCCGACTGATTAGTTAGTTCAGTAAAGTATGACGTATGCATTTGTCGAACTCAGTAACCAGTCCTTTTACCATTCTGGTTTCGTACTGGATCATTTTTTAACAAAATGTGTTGCTTGATCGATAACCTACATTATTAATTATATCCAACCAACTTTTCTTTGAATATCAAAAACTCGTTATTGATACACATAAAGATGAGAACCAGATCACATGAGAAATGAATTTTTGCCAAAGACTTTTGATGAAACTCATTAAAATATCCGAAAGTTTAACCTACTCAGTTAATATGCATTGGAAATTCTTGAATTCATTGTGCAGTATTTCCAAACATTCTTTTTCAAAAATCTAAACCTATCATAAGTACTGTTTAAATATTTGGTAACCATTCAAACAGTCACACTGTTAGATATAAGTCAAACAATCCAACTTATTCCTGTTTATCAACACTAATGATTGGGGAGAAAAAAACCTGGATGTCACGCAAGTCACGCATTAATATATATTATCTGTATGACTTTTTGACATAGATATTCAGCCCTCGAATGTTAGGTCAATAAACCGAAATCGCCAAACCTAGTTCAACGTCTTCAAAAGCCCTAGCAGACTACGTTTGATTGGTAGCCTATTTTTAAAACTATATAGGGTTTCTTTGTTGAGTAAGCAAAATGTTGACCTCATTCTTGCGTACTTCGCAACCCCAACATCTGCTTGATCCTTGTCTTCTTTCCTCATGCTTTATAGGAGCTTGTGATACGATTTACAGCTGTGACAACTTCGATAATCAGTTTAGAAAACAACCGGAGCCGTTGGGGATTATCAGTCAAGTCCACTTTCGATCTTCTTTCATAGTGTTGATAAAATTGTGGTATGAATCTACTTCTATTATAGATTATCTTCAAAACTGAAGAACTCTCCTTAGCACAGTTTCATACTTCATTAGACAGATTTTAGATACTTTTCACAGTCTAGTTCTCACTAAAGATGCGAATAACTGTTTGAACCAAATGACCTAGAAAAATACTGATAAATAATATAATTTTAGCGGTCTGTTATCGAAATGCTTGAACTTACCTCCTCGAATTTGACATCCCAGACGTCTTTCCTCATGAAATTATCAATATTTTGGAACTTCACAGATGAGGGAAGATTGTTAAAAGAGTCAGGTATCAAGTGTAACCGTAGTATTCCTGATTCATCGACAACAGCTAAACACCTGAACCATACAAATACAAAATAGTTGGGATAAAGTTTCAACAGCAAGATACTCAAATTAATACCTCCAATAAAAGTTATTGAGCAAAACAAAAAGCAGTATCTTGTAAATTTGTTCCTTAAATCACAATAACTAACACAATTCCATGACTTGATGAAATTTAGAGTAAATCCAATTAGCTGTGTTGTAAGTGCATTTTGAAATGAGCTTATGAAGTAATTAGAAAGGTAGAAAAGGGGGAAAAACCATACAGTCGATGAATTTGTGGACGAAGTAAGACAACGAAACACTCAGATTAAAAGTTTTCCTTAAATAAATAAGGTATTCAGGAGTGAATATCATGATCATGAACATAATTTTCGACAGTTTATACATCAATAAGTAGAATTTAGAATGTTTTGAAGAAACTAGCAATTAAAGTTGGTAGCGAACGTGAAGGAAGGAAAATTTAGTTAATTTGTTGATTTCATTTGATATCCCGAGCTGAACACCGTGCATACTTGACAAAGTAAACAATGATCCAATACAATGAGGAATATTACTCAGACAAATGAAAGCTGAATAACCCAATTTACCACCAACATGTCTGAACAGCTGAACAAATCTACTGAATCAATTGGTCAGTGGCATATCACACCTCATGTCAGAATAAAAAGGTGGAAGGGGTTAAGATGAAAGATAGGGAACTGAGAAAGAAAGTAGTCAAAATGGTAGAAAATCGCCGAAAAAGAACAAAGAGCAATGAAACAGAAGTGAAATTCGACTCGATGAATAGGATGAAGACAATGAGTGGTTTTATCTGTGCCAGTGAGATCAACTATAAGCCAATTCACCTGAAGTTTCCAACTACAGATTTCAGCTTCCACGTGGACCCCAACTACGAGGTCAAAGACAAACAGTTAAAAAATTTATAGATTGATACCATTTTTTAGTCTAGTTGTTTCAAAATGTTTCCTAGTCTAAACCTACTTCAGCTAACATTAAGCGACGCTGATTAAGCATGCGTAATAAATTTCCCAGCCACCTGAGTCAATGAAGGTTCACAGCGTCATCAACTGACGTTCCTTTCCTCCCTAAAACTTTACACCTGACTTTTACATTACTGACGCTATGACACCGCGAAACAGGGCCCACGCTAAGAAGGCAATGGTGTTCAGATACCTGAAACTTTCTCATATCCTCTATCTTTAACTACTATGGTTCACATCCACATAGTAGAACAGAGCGAGGTGCAGTGAAGTACAACCAACCGATAATAGGCAATCGAATATCACACTACCCCCGTAAATGTTATTATTCGGTAAGGGCCAAGCGCGCTTGTTGTATCCATGCAGAGATTTCGTTAGCCACTGACTGATTAAGGCTAGCAGAACTCCTCAGGTAAGTAAAGTGGTCAGCCTGCTCAAACACTCCACTTCCTACTGCAAGATTAGGCACTAGAGGAGACTGGTTGTGGAGCAATACATTGCACTTGAGTGGTGAGAAGTTCATCCTGAACATTCTCAAACTACTACTGAGGGTATTCAAAAACTTCGTGTCTTGTCAGCGTCTTCCCTTAACAGGATTATGTTATCCGCCTATTCTAGGTCAGCTTAGGAGTCTCCTATGACAAGGTCTATCCTTGTGAAGCAAAACGACAACATGAATACCTCCATGAGCATATCCATAATAAAGTTGAGCAAGAATGGAGAAAGTGAACATCCTTAATGGACACTACTCACCTGATAACTCGCCATAGGTTCTAACACGCTCATAGGTGTTTGAGTACGGAGCGTTTAACAAGATAATATACTCACCAGACACCTTTGTTTCAGAGGGGTACTAACAGACCTTCCAGTTTACGGAATGGAACGCAACCTTTAAATCGAGAAATATAGCTAGTTTTGGCCATCGCCATCTGTTTCTGTGTCCCAGAAGTTTGCATACAGTGAACATCTAATTGATGTATAAACAGTGAGGTCCGAAACCCTCTTGAATATTTGGGTCTCAAGTTTTTGATCGCTAATTAGACTTCTGATAATTATTGAACCAAGGATCCTAGACAATATTTTCATCAGGCTGATTTTCCTTCGTTTATTACAAGGGAATTTTTACCTTTCTCGAAGACTGCGAAAATCAGTGGTTGAGACCAGTCGCAGGAGATTAAATCTGATTCACATACTCTAGCTAACATTTCAGTTGACCTCACGAATAATCTGCGATTATTTTCCCCGAAATATCTCCGGTACTAGCACATATGGTGCGGCTTCTCTCTCTCGCTTTACATTACTTACAGCATTCTCAACTTCGACAACTATCGAAGGCCCTATCTCAATGTTCCATTCAGGATTACACTTGATAGGTTAAGATACCGTAAGATGTAGGACATGATTATCAAAATGAAATGAGGTAAAACAGGAAACATGTGCATGCATTTATGGCGAAGTAGAAATATTACCCTGGCACATTCTAAACTGCCACTTTCTTTTGTATATACATTTTCAACATCTATGAGTTAATCCTAGAGGCTTCAAAAAACTCAGACAAATTTTTTAGTTTCGTTGCCCATGAATTATCATGAAAGAGTTGAGGGCATTGATAGCATGTGCGTTGTGCAGTATGTAAGCATTGTCTGATTACTGGAAAGTTACTAATTTCATGTTATTCGGTTTTAAGTGCAGATCAAACTCTATCGATACTTTACAAAGTACACCGTTCAGATATGAAGCTATAGGTAAATTTATGAACCTATGAAATCCTGTTGTCTTCATTTATTTTAAATTCATTCGTGCCAGCAAATAGTGAAAGACCTTACATAACTCACTTACTGAAAGCGACTATCCAGATGATTTCAAAGAGCAACACATGAAGAGGAAAGTAGAAAATAAGTGTATTTCAACTGTGAACAAGAAACTGCTCCACACAATTATACAATTTAGAGGTAAAATGCAATGAGTGATACTGATTCAGGAGCTATAAAATTTATCCAACGAAGTTTTAGTGCGAAAAAATTGCAGCTGGTGTCTCCTACACGCTCACTTGTTTTAAACAGGCTACAAGGTCAAATACTCAGGATGACTACTTCTTGTTGTATACGTCAATTCAACTGTTCCTATGAAGCCAGTTATATCGACTAATATTCCAGGACATTTTTTGTCTCGTGAACGCTCTCTAGAATGGCTAACTATAGGGTGTTAACATACATTTATTTTTAGATGAAACAATAGCGACAGATAACTGTTACGCTTGGGGAAGAAGTGATAGGAACAAATATTCTTTGCTCATCGAACCGTCCTTCAAAACTAGTACTGTTAGAGTAGTTCTATTCACTTAGTGACTAAACGATTTCCGAAAAAAAGAATATTACCATATTGTTGAACGGCGTAAGTAATTGAAATGCAACAGCTTTCTGGGTCAGAATTATTTCATCAGTCGGACAGAAACATAAAGCCAACATAGAATATCGCAAACACGTACATCGCTTCAAGTCGTCACATTTCATAGTAGTATAGAAAGAACAGGTGGATAGAAAAGACTGCTTTCAAGGTAGACAAAGGTGTATGAGAGAAGTAATTTAAGAATTAAAGTTAGTCAAAATATTCCAGTTTCAGAAGAAGTCGGAGAGTGAATAAATCTTCAGCATTATGATTGATTCCCACCCATATCATTAGGAGTCATCAACCACTTGTTCCTTTCGTCTCCGCGACTCCAACCAGGCAGTCTATATCTCCCCACAAGACTCAGACCAATGGTCAAGAACTTCATTGACTGGTGCCACGTCATGGTCTAGCCAACCTAAACCCTTTTATGGCCTAATCCAACTTCTCTTAACATGGCGCATTGAAGTAGGTGGTGGCTCCGCTTGTTTAACAAATGGATAAGCCATTTCAATCAACTAAGGTTCACTGACTAACTTCCCTTACTTGCCTAGTATCTTTCTCCTGACCTCAAAATTGTTATAACATGGTGATTCCAACATTCATGAACAATGCTATGAAGACATCTATATTCAGAAACCGGTAATCTCTTTAGATATTCTATGTATTCCATGGAGTAGATGTGTGGGTATTTTAAAAGTCAGTCATATGATCAATACAGTTAGCATAACACTCTTCCTCTCGAAATGTTTTTCGTTAGACAGTATATCACTGGGCTGCTGATTTGTACTACGTTGTTGATAAATATATTTGTAGTCAATGTTTACACATAATGATTTTATTTAAAGCAGCTGGTCCCTTTGATAAATTTAAAAAGCGTAATGAGAAGACGAAGATTATCTGAAACATGTCGTGATGTATTAGCGCTATACATTTCTAACAATCTGATCACACATGGACTTGTCGAACTATTTACGTGAAATATAAGTGTAAAACTTGGGCACTGTGGTAGAATGTAGTTCCATATTAGATTTGCTCTAAACGTAATCAAGTAAATAATACTGTATTTATGTGAAAATTTACGAAAAGGTCAATGAAGTTAATGGGAAACATAGGAATAGGAAGGGATAGAAAAGGAAAACCTTATTCTTGGTATGAAAATTAAAATCAATACTACCAAGGTAGGTTCAACGTGAGTACAAATTGTTTTTGTATACATAAAGGGGGTTTAAATTTACGGATGGCAAGAGCTTCAATAAATTTAAGCACTCGGCTCTGACCACTTTTATGTAGTACTTTAAAGGCTGTTTTCATGTCTATCCTATGGTTAGTTTCTAGTATATGTTTAGCGATAGACGAAGATGGATGTTTGTCACCTGCACTTATCGGATCTGTTGAGGTCATTTGTTTTTGTAGCCACTTAGGTACATGTTCAGCCTTCCTTAACTGCATATCACGATTACTCCTCCCTATATATGTGTGTCCACACATACATGTAAATTGATAAACACAGTGGGATGTGATGTAATCGTTTATATGTTGTTTCGGTTTGTGCTGTAACATGGACTTGGTCTTCTCTACAATGATGACCTTAGCTGCATAATACGTTTTACAGATGGCCGATCTAAGTCTTTTCCTCACAACAAAGCTATGTGAATCACCTCTAAATGGTAATGAGATGTAGACATTTTTCTTAGCAACGGAACACTGTGTACTTTTCAATGGTACATAACTTTTGCACCGGTCGATAAATCTCAACGGGTATCCATTCTGTATCAGAGTTGTCGTCAGTAAGTTGGCTTCTTCCTCCCTGGTGTCATCGGTGCAGATACGGTTTATCCTGTTGAATAAGCATCTGACTAAACCACGTTTGTATTGGACTGGACAATAGCTATGGAAATTAAGATATTGCCCTGTCCATGTAGGTTTCTTATAGATCGACCTCCTGATCGAGCCATCCTCCCGTCGACTGAGCAATACGTCTAGGAACGGTAGCTGGTTGTTCGTCTCTTGTTCATAAGTCAGGCTAATGTGATTCTGAGCCGTGTTCATTTTCTGTAGCAGGCACATTGCATCATCAGGCTTTTCACATATAATGACTATATCATCAACATATCTCTTATAAAGTGAAACCCTTCCGATGAGATCGTCAGCCATGTTTTCAACATATGACATGTATACATCAGCTAGCAACGGTCCTAATGGACTGCCCATCGCGACACCATCAATCTGTTGAAAGTGTTCGCCCTCGAATGTGAATTCAACTTTATCAGTGCATAATAACAATAAATCTTTTAAAAAATTAATAGGGATAGGGAATATAAGACTGTTAGAAGAAATATAGTCACATAAAATATCAATTGTTTTTACTAGAGGTACATTAGTAAATAAAGAATTTACATCGAACGAGTACATAGTCTTATCCTTGATATTAATATCATTTAAACAGTCAATAAGGTCAAATGTATCTTTCAATGAGGACTTACATAAATGGCTTCTGACAGGATTCAAGAGCTTTGCCAACCATTTGGCTAGATTATGTGTGGGTGATCGACACATAGACAATATTGGACGCAGTGGGTTGTCAGGCTTATGAGTTTTAGGTAACCCATATAGATGTGGATGTTCAGATCCCATAGGTTTTAGACGATTAAATTCCTCCTTATTGATTAAATTCATACCAAGCATTTTCACAAGTTTAGAATTTACTCTGCCTTCCAATTTACGTATCCCTCACAGGGGGCATCTGACGTAAATTTGCTTTCATCACTGAGAATAGATAACATCTTACTTTTATAATCAGACGTGTTCATAACGACCACACCTGATCCTTTATCGGGTTTTAGTACGACAATATCAGAGTTATTTCGTAATCCTTTCAGTGCTTGGAAATGCTCACGCGTTAAGATGCTTTTCTGTCTTGGACCAGGATTATGAAACCCATGAGCGATGTCTACTAATTTAGCTCTTAGCCAGTTCTCATTGTCTGGAGAAGTTGGGACAAGTGAGCTCAGTTGATCATACAGGTTTTCAAATTGAGCATCGGTTGTTAAATCAGAGTTTTGTGTTTGAGGGACAGAAAAACTGAACCCAAGGAGAGCGCCTCTTTATCAAGAACAGATAACTGAACGGATGATAAATTCGTCACAAAGTTGTATAGGTTAACTGGGAATGAATTCACATAGTCGCTCGTTTCCAAAAACAATTTGTACTCACGTTGAATCTACCTTGGTAGTATTGATTTTAATTTTCATACCAAGAATAAGGTTTTCCTTTTCTATCCCTTCCTATTCCTATGTTTCCCATTAACTTCATTGACCTTTTCGTAAATTTTCACATAAATACAGTATTATTTACTTGATTACGTTTAGAGCAAATCTAATATGGAATACATTCTACCACAGTGCCCAAGTTTTACACTTATATTTCACATAAATAGTTCGACAAGTCCATGTGTGATCAGATTGTTAGAAATGTATAGCGCTAATACATCACGACATGTTTCAGATAATCTTCTTCTTCTCATTACGCTGTTTACATTTTATTTAACATTGCTAACCTATTTCGAGCAAAATTACTGCTCGTGATCACACTAATTGCTGAAAACATTTGTTCACACGTTTACGGATAGGATTAATATACATAATGTTTTCATTTTGCCAGTTTGCAATTATTTTTCCCCATTGGTATGTTGCTTGTTGTTTGGATTTACGTTGTACTAAGTATGACTTGTATTGAGCCAACAATTTAGTTTTCCATTTCTTCATGTTGGATTTTAAGATGTCAATATTGTCCCAATCAATAGTATGTTTTCACCCCGCACATGTGGTACTGTCAATGAACTTTTATCCAAATTTATATATTCTTGTGTCACCATGGGCTGACCTTTGGTTAATCGTCGTTATTCATCCAGTCTGATTTTCAATGATCTCGAAGTTTGACCTACAGAGTTAACTTTGCCTTTGGCACAAGATATTTTGCACATGACATTGTTTTTGTCCAACTTTTTTAATCTATTGGATATTTGATTTGACTTGATTTATTTTTGATGAGGTTCATTGACTTGAATGCGGTTCGAATACCTGTTCTTCTGAGACTTCTCTGTATTGACTCAGGATTACCTTTCTTATATGGCAGTACTACAGTTTTTTAACTATTCTTTCTTCTTATCGTTTTCCGTTTTTCTTTCCCATGTCTTTTTTGTTCTTGATATTATCTCTGTTGAGGATAATGATTTTCAATAATATTTTAATAACTTTTTTTCAGATCACCCTACGTATTCTTTTTGATAGACTCTGTATAAACCCTCTTTTTACACCAAGCAGATGCGCTGTGTGGTAATCCAGAAATCTTCCTGAATGCATAGGTTTTCCATAGATCGTGGTCTTCAAACTTTCATCCGTCATTCTTTGTAGTTTACAGTCTTATATTGGTACCAAAATTAAATGACATAATTATGTGTAAGCATTCATTACAAATATATTTACAAGAAATTGTTTCTCTCCACAATGCACAAATCTTTCATGGATATAAGTGTACGACATTGGGTGTTAAATAATCTCGGAATATTTTTTTAGAAAATATGGTAAGTGAACAATGAAGAGAGTGATAAATACTACACATTCCGAACACATAAAACAGCCTACAGTGAAGATATATCTATCGATCAACTAAGAGATAGTTGGGAGTTTTTGTCTCTCACTCTAAAAGCAAATAAATCGGTTTTGTATGAAATAGGAAGCACGTCTTTTTCACGGTTTTCAGTTCCTTCTTAACGTTGTTTAAGATGAGAGTGAGGTTCCCACTAAAAATTTTCAACTAATATCAGTTAACATCCACTTTATTGTATAATCTAGAAAATCTTAGGCAGAATATAAAAGTAGTCTTATGACTTGTGTTCACCTATACAATAAATAAAACAATATGCATTTAAATGCTTCACCTACGTAGCATCACAATTCACGTATATCCGATATGGACGATTATTATCTATTCGAAACGTCATTTCAAGGTATAAATCAGGTAGTCTGTGAAATTGTATTGAACCTGATTCTCGAGCAATAAATAAGCGTCGAGTTGACTGACTAACTGTTATTGTACATATTGGATCAGACGAAGCAGGCTGTTTCAGTATATCCCAATTCACTCCTGTCTGAAGTACTGATGGAACGATATTATCATCATCTAAAGATGTTGACGTTTTCATTGAAACTGTATCAATATGATAAAGTCTAAATTTATTTGAAATTTAAAAAATAACAACCTAATATTATAATCATAACGTTAATATTGGTATGTTATAGAATTTATGTCTCATACCTATGAACAAAAATGACAGAAACTCATAGCTGATGTTATACAACATTTTGATTTTAGGCTTTGTTAGTGCCGGTCACACTTATCAGGTTACTTAGTTCCATGCACTTATTTTCTACTGGTTAGCAATCGATTAAGAGTTAATGCATATTTCCCTCCATTATGTTAATAATCAATTCAACCAGTTCACAAATGAATTCGGCACATTCCTCTTCTTTATCATTGTCCAAACTAGATTCCTCCTTAGCTGGGATTAATGAAATCAGTGTTCTGGATTTTGAAAAAAAACATTACCAAGTAACTGAGCTGCATGTGCAAACGAATCCACACCCCGTTTTAAATCTCATATCCAATATTTTGCAAAGGTTTATGAGACATTTAGTTGTAACATATTTGTTTTGCATATTTACCACCAGAAATATAAAATATAAAATCCTGCTAATAAATACAACAGATAGTGTTTGGCATGGGTTGTTCTCCGATCAGATTTAACATGATTCTGTTAAGGTCGGTCTGCATCAAAATTAAGTCACCTTCTGGATGCACGTTGTTGCTGTAGGTTTGCAATTTTTTTAATATCTCGCTTGACAGTAGGAAATAAAGTGGTTGATCTCGCTTACAACTTCCCTGACTCGTACAGTCCGCTCAGCTCTTATGGACCAGTAACCAACGTAGTTTCGGTATGCATATAAAAGGCTCGACTGGCTTTTGCCTTGTTCACGTCACTCATAGCTTCCTTGAGAAGTTTGGTTATTCACTAAGGCCCAAATTTACTGCTCGTTTGTACTGTCCTACCCTATAGCTGTTAAATATGAGTGCTATATGAGTGGAACACAAGACGGTTTCAAGTGTGACACGGTAGTTTGTTTATTGGCATTAGTCATATTTTCTGCAGCAATCATATGAGTTATGTAGAGTTTAGATGCATAGTCATCAATAAAAGAGGTGAGTCAGTTGATGAAGTTTTAGACATCAACCGAATTTTTTCCATTATCACTCCTAAACTCTTTCAAGTAAATATGATTTGATCACCAGTGGTTAACGAAACTTCAAAACAGTACCTAAGTTGAAAAAACTATGCGCAAACAAACTGACTTTTGGTGAACAGAAAAAATTAGTGAATTAATTTTTTTTAGACATACGACATCGGATTCTTCACCTCCGTACTCCTAAAACTCAATAAGTTCAAACTTTATACGAATTGGTTACAAGTGGGTAGTTGAGGTAGCTCTCTATTCCGTAGGGCTTAGCCGTGACTGAAGTCTGTATCGAGGTATATATACAATGATTAGGGAATTGATGTCCTTTCAATTACACACCGTATTGATAATTGCCAACAAATAAAAAACCTGCGTATACGGTTTCCAGCTGATTTAAACTCCAACAGTTAACACCAAAACTCAAATTATCTTTTGCATTGTGTCAAGCTAAAAAAATAAAACTTAGAACAGTGTTACCAGAATCTAATAATAGAAAGAAAGCTGCGACTGATAAACCTCCTCTTATCTAAGGCATTTTGGAAGATATCATCAAATTTAATCAGTCCTCCACCACTTCATTCTAAAAATTCTAGACTGTATCAAACATTGTTTGGAATACAGTGATTAGTATTACTGTTATTAGATTCATAGGAGTAGGTGAAATCAATATATATATTTCCAACAAACTACAGACATTCATCAACAGCTGCCACCTACGCCTCGATACTGAAGATCAGATGGCCAGAAAGAATAAGCAACAAAGAACTCTGGCTGACCAAGAACTCATCACTCAACAAATATGCAGAAGAAAGTGGAGATGGATTGGAGTGGGCATATACTGAGAAGACCGTCTGGGGATATCACGCGCCAAACCCTCAAATGAAACTCAGAGGGGAAACGACGAGCTGGGGATCCGATGATGACATGGAGGATCTCGTGTGAGGAAGAAAAGAAAGCTGATGGGCAGTCGTGGAGCTAGGTCGAGAATACTGCAGAGAACAGAGTGAAATGTCGACATGCTACTGAAGCCCTGTGTTTCACTAGGAACACAAGGGATAAACAATAACTATATATATATATATATATATATATATATATATATATATATATATATATTCCAGCCAGAAGCACTGAAAACAGACACAGAGACAACAGCGGATATGTTTACACCACACCGCTATTGCAGAAGGTGTGGAAGGAAAAGAAGGTACCTGCCTATTGATTGGAAGAAGGGTTACCTTGTCAAACTCCCGAAGAAGAGAGACCTCAGTGTTTGCAAGAACTGGCGAGGAATCATGCTCCTGTCCACCCCAAGCAAAATATTAAGCCGCATCATTCTGGAGACGCTTAAGGATGCACTAGATTCAAAACTGCGACCGGAACAGGCAGGCTTCAGGAAGTACAAATCATGTGCGGACCAAGTTGCAACGCCACTCTACGCATCATCATAGAACAGAGTATAGAATAGCAGTCAACCCTCTACCTTAATTCAACTTCATCGACTTTGAAATGCCTTTGACAGAGTCGACCGAGAAGTTATTTCGAAGCTGCTTCAGCACTACGGAATACCACAAACTTTTGTCAGCCTCATTCAACAACTATATGAAGACACCACATGCCAAGTGATTCACAATGGGAAGCTCAGTTATGCTTTTGAAGTGAAGACAGGAGTGAAACAAGGCTGCCTACTATCCCCCATGATATTCCTGATTGTGGTCGACTGGATCATGCAGCAGACAACTTGGAGGAGCAAGAAGAGGGAGATACGCTGAACCGCGGGAAAGAACCTAGAAGACTTGGATTTCGCCGATGACTTGTGTCTGATGTCACACAAACTCGAAGATCAACAGGCGAAAACTAACAAGTTGACAGAAGAGGCAGGGTAGCGAAGACGGGACTCCAAGTGAATATAGAGAGGACAGAGGTGATGAAGATACCCAACCAACAACAACAAACTCCAGTCACCATCAATGGGAGAAACTTGAAGCAAGTAGCCTCCTTCACCTATCTAGGCAGCACTGTTTCAACTACAGGTGGCACAGGCACAGACGAGGACGTCAAAGTCAGGATCGGAAAAGCAAGACAGGCGTTCATTAGCCTGATACCAGTGTGGAGATCTTCTGCACTCAGCATGAAGCGTGAACAAGATCCGGATTTTCAACACCAACGTCAAGTCAGTGCTTCTGTGTGATGGTTGAGAGACTTGGCGCGTTACGAAAGAGATTTCCAACAGACTACAAACATTCATCAACTACTGCTTACACTGACTTCTTACTGAAGATCAGATGGCCAGAATAATGTGAATAAGCAACAAGGAACTATGGCTAACTGGCAACGAACCAACCAAGAACCTATCGCTCAACAAATATGCAGAAGGAATTGGAGATGAATTGGGCATACACTGAGAAGGCCGACTGAGGACATCATGCGTCAGGCCCTCGAATGGAATCCCCATGTGAAGCGACGAGTTGGGCTTCCGAGGTGAAGGTGACATGGAGGAGATCGTGCGAGGAGGAAATAAGGGCTTCTGGGTTGTCGTGGAGCCAGGTTCGAAAGATTTCAGAGAGCAGAGTGGAATGGAGACGTGCTACTGAAGCCCTATGTTCCATTAGGAACCCAAGGACTAATAATAATTTTATATATATATATATATATATATATATATATATATATAAACCGTTAGTGATGAGCTAACTTACCTTTCAATTCCATCACGTTGACGAAGAGACGATGAAGTGAATGCAGAGCCTAAATCAAGAATCTGTTTTGGTGTAAAACACTGCCAGGCATAAATAAAACTTTTGTTGACTAAAATTATCTGATTTGCAGTCATCACAGTTTGAATCGGTTCAAATTGTACACGTTTCGACTCTAACGCAACGCCTATTGCTGTACATAGAGTCAATAAAACCTGAAATAAGTAGAAACAAAGTATTATGTGGATGGATAAAAAGTACCATGGTAAAGTGCATTAGGATAACTAAAAACTACTTTATCACAATGGAAAAGAGCTATTTAGTTTATGTCAGACTTCAGTATTGATTCTATCGCACATAGGTAATACTGAGAATGCATTTATCGCAAACTGAATGTGAATTTTAGATGTCACATACTTTTACCATTCATGTTTTACAGCCTTACAGTGCGACAAAGCGGAGCGCTAAACAGCAGTCTTGTCTTTATTAAGATTTCAGGCCCATTTTTTTTAATTTAGAAGACGAATAAGAACTATTTGTCTTTAATTGTTACGATAAATAATAGGTTCCCTAATATAAGGTTAATCAATATTCCCACTAAACAATGTCAAGCTATTAAAAAAGTAAGCTAATAGTCAGCTGATTCCATCAGATACGTAGATAATGTTTTTCTATAGTATATATCACTCTTTCATGTCGACACGTATTTGTCAGGAAAGCCAAGAACTTCATTCGACTAGATGAATTCTAGGGAAAACCATATTAACATCAGAAGAAGGACGTGAAAAATACTACTTGACTGGAAGAAAAACAAGCATAATCTTTCATCGAAAAATTGCATATACTTTTTCTACGGAAAACATATCAATATGTATAAGTGGGTCAGCCTCACTTTACGCATTGCAATCTCAAAATGAAAAATAAAAGCATTTCTGGCAGTTATTTGATAATTTCTGTTACGTTGAATGTCAAACAAGTGCCATTGTCTTCTTCCTGAAAACTATGATTTAAAGTTTATGAATATATGAGATCACGCAGAAAATGACCAGCTTAGTAAGTAGAAATCTAACCTTAACATAGGAGTAAAACTCGGGCACTGCAGTAGATTGTAATTCCATTTTAGTATTTTGATTGGAAATGTCACACTGAAAAAGAATCATTTACTGGATAACGTGTCGGACACAATTTGTTGTCCGTATTCATATCAGGTAACTCCACAACTTTGAGACAGTTTATATAGTCCTAATTTTCTCTCCTTTGTGATAGGGGTAGTAGAATTTCCCATATATCTGGAAGAGGTGGAGAATCATTTCTATTCCATGTGTTTGGTGTTGATTCGATAAACAAAGATTCAGTTACCAATCTCTTCCTCCACCCACCCAACTAAGTTAATTTTAAACACTATCGCATTATCCATTTTGACTGACCTGGAAACGGTTTCATCTGGCACATCAGATCCCCTGTCGATTTCTTAACCTTATTCATCACACTATTCACTGACTTCTGAATTTCCTCAAATGGTTCTGCTCCTATATGCTCATTCGCTTTGTAGATGAAGCCTTACCTAGGCTAGTCAAAACGGTTTAATGTAATGCCGAAAACTAATAATCTCAGTAGAGTGTATGGTGCTATCAAGATTCAAAACCCAGGTTATCCCATAAGGCCTATAGTAGATTTTAGAAACACTCCGACTTACAAGTTGTCTAAATATTTAGCAATGGTGCTAGGCCCAATAAGAAATCACTCAAAATCTCGACTTACTAATTCCTACGACTTAAAGCAAAGATTAGATGATATGCATTTAGATGGCAATGAAAAAATGGTTAGTTTTGACATAACTAGTCTTCACACTTTTATACCGATCGATATAACTCTAGAAGCAGTTAGAAATGAGCTTAAGGATGACAATGAGCCGGTCGATGAAATCATGTTACAAGTACGATTGTACCTAACATCTACAGTTTTTTAGTTTCAAAATAAAATATATAAACATACTGAAAGGGTTGCCATGGGATCACCAATATCCCCCTATCGTAGTAGACATATTGTTGGATAGTTAAGAACGGGTAGCCCTTCAAGTATTTAGTCCTACTCTAGAGATATGGTTTCCATATGTAGATGATACGTTTACAGTACTGAAATCAGAACACACCAGTAGGTTCGTGGCACATATCAATTCAGAAGCGAATGATATCCAATTTACCTGTGACTTAGAAAGTGAAGGAGTGCTAGTAATATTCGATGGCAAAATAGGGCGAACACAAGACAGAAGTTAAGAGACTAGTGTCTATGGGAAACCTTCCCATTCGAATCGATACTCAGACTCCAAATCCTCCCACCCCATCTCAGTTAAAGTAGGCTTAACTAAGTGCTTAAGTGGTAGGATGGAAGAGCTTACTAGTAGGTCAAAACATCTACGACAAGAAATTAGCCACATCAAGAATGCCTTGCTTCTCAGTAACTACCCACCTAAATTTATGGTAATGATGTTGACAGCATTGAGAGAGAATTCAAAGCCTCTGTTATGTTACCATACAAGGAAGGCACCTCAGAAGCATTGTGGAGAATTCTCAATAAGGCTGGGATTAAAGTGGCATTTAAACCAACAAACTGGCTTAGAAATAAGCTTTGTAGGTTAAAAGATTCAAAATAATTTTGTTCACCGAACCCCTTGCAATGATTACGAGGCCAAAGTAGTCGACCAGGGTCAATTAGAAAAACTTAGCTAAATCAAGATTAGTAGATCCTAATAAGACAAGAAATTTAGCAAAACACTCGGCTATAGCTCTGCGTGCAATTACACACGAACACACAATAGGGTGCGATAGAGCGACGGCATCAAAAACTTAGTTGGGTGGGTGGAGGAAGAGATTGGTAACTGAATCTTTGTTTATCGAATCAACACCAAACACATGGAATAGAAATGATTCTCCACCTCTTCCAGATATATGGGAAATTCTACTACCCCTATCACAAAGGAGAGAAAATTAGGACTATATAAACTGTCTCAAAGTTGTGGAGTTACCTGATATGAATACGGACAACAAATTGTGTCCGACACGTTATCCAGTAAATGATTCTTTTTCAGTGTGACATTTCCAATCAAAATACTAAAATGGAATCAGAAATCTAACCACTTTCAAATAACTAATATTTTTTTAAGATATGAACAGTTATTGATACTTTTTGATACGCAAAGTAGAGATACAAATCTGGATAGCAGCGACATTCAGCATCAGCGGCCTCCTGGTTACTGGCCCATAGCACAGAAAGCATGAACATTTTGTTACGATATGGATTAATAAGACATTATTATTCGATACAATATTTTAGATACTTATTGGTGCAAAGTGACGTCGATTACACAAAATAGTTTTTTCCAACTAGTAAAAAGCGAGCATCGATCAAGAGTATGGGACGATTATTTCTTAATACTTCAAACTTTTAGAATTTTTGGATGGAAGTTCACTTTATCTGTATGCATATTGATTTTAAATTTAGAGAAGCAGATTTCAGACGGAAGGGAATAATTCCCATCCAATATTGACTGATTCAATCATCTTTCTCTTTACTCAATTATCCATGTGACCCAATCGTTTTCGATGAATACATCTATATATATGCAATGACTTTATTGATCACTCTTTAACGATAAGAAATTTTAAGCACCTTTTGTTTATTCATAATTGTAGGCAGGTTGTGTTTTTGTGTTGGAGTTTACTAGGTGGCTAGCAGTGGAATCCAGAACGTGAGTTTCATTCTATTTGGGAATCATCAGTTGGATGTACTTACACCCTAGAAGGTAATGGCGTTCTCACTGACACTGGAACCAAGTAGCCGTCGCTTCAAACACCAAAACGTTATCTACTAAGTCACTGAGACAAAAGAACTAATTCTTGTGCAAAGGGTATCAGTTATTTTTCATTGATTTCTCTTTGCTATACTAGGTGCGTTGGTAGATGGGCTCCTACGCGGATGCTTCGACATATTTTTATGATGGAATTTACTTTTTGGTTCTGTTTTCATTGCTCCTGAAAGAAAGACATGTGGAAATCACTTAGGACTGCAAAACCTGTCGGATTCTGACTTTTATAATTACAGGTCTTGGAAAAATAAAGTATTCACATTCATAAGCCTGAGTAAAGCCAACGATAGCTTTAAATGGATATGATTTTACCGATATTATAGGTCTAGTCTTCAATATATAAAAAAAAGCTGAACTGATTGAATTATAGAATTGCCCTAAAAGTGGGTGTAGATTTCGAGTAATTTGCAAATGAAATGAACTTCCTGGGGAATCAGTAACGTGAGTCACACTGGAAGATAAGGTACACTTTTAGTAATACGAACTGCCTAATTCAAAAATTTCAGATAGTGGAAGTTTCTGCCGGCGTTAAACGTTACTTTTTAATCATAGTACCTAAGCGCTTTAGTTTTATTTTGAGCAGTTCTACAGATGCATTTTATCAACGGGGGAAAAACTATCTTCATAGTTGATATAATAATAAATGAACAAAATAATTGTTTTGCCAATTTATATTCATTGCACCGAAGCATATATTCAAGATTGAATATCAAACGAACAAGAAAAAACTCATAACACCATCTAATAAACCTACCCCACGACCACAATCATTAACTTTACAAACCAAACAAACATAATCTTCGGCAGCACAAATATGCAATAAATGACGGACTGAAAGCATTTTAGTCTATGAAAAAAAAGAGAATTATGGAGATGTAGTAATGATTTGTGCAAACATCAATATATCATAGATTTTCGATTGTTACGTACCAAAGATAATTCAGTCAAGGGCTTTAATTCTGAAGTGATAACTGTCACTCTATAAAATTGTGATTACTAAATATGTGAATTTGCTTTTCGGTTAGATATATATTTAGCTAAAATCAAGTGAGCACAGGGGCCCTCAATAATTATCAGAAGTATAGCACAAGGTTCAATGAAGCGTAGGTTGCAATTGATTTTATTGATGAATCTTTGTTCACAAACGTAACGGAAATCCCTACGTCTCAGGAGAGTTCTACCCAATCCAAGGATTCTAAAAAGTTAGGCCTTTTATGAAATTGACTTTCTAAAGTCCGACGCTAATGAAATGATGAAAAAAATAGTAGAAAGATTCTAGGCAGTAGGCAAGCTGCCCGAACGTTCAAAAGAACGAGTATAATGCGCTACAGTCCATTCTGTCCTGATTTTCGGCTGTAAGGGATCACCGTCAAAAGTAGAAAACACAAAGCAATTACTGGGTTTCGATCACAAATGTCTTCGTAACACTGCTCACATTTAGTGCAATCACCATGTGAGTGATGATGAAGTCAAGGGAGAGGGGTACTAGACAAAACAACAAAGTCAGCTGATGATGTTGTGAACCTCAGTCCACTGAGATGACTTGGACATGTACTGAACATGTCGAGTCACCGCCTTCTTCAACGTACAATGCTGGAGGAAAAAGGATTAAGTTTGAAGAGGGTTCAGACAGGTCAGGACAAGACTCGGCATCAGTAGATGAAGTCCCTAACTGTTAGTCTGAGCCAAGTGGACCAAGTGAGACAAGTGAGCTAAGTAGACTGCTTGATCGAGGTCTCCGAGACAGCAGGAATCACTGGTTGAGGACTCTTAGTGAAATGGTTTAAAATCGGTCACCGTGGCCCAGATGTATTCCCTCCTTGACATCTTCTAAAACTTGAATATTCGCACCAACCGTTATCTTCAGATTGTTTATTCTCTCACACTACTTTATCTTTATTGGGATCAGTCTTTTTCCATCCATTTGTTTTTTAGATACTTCTGTGAAGTTCAGCAAATTGAGCCACTTTACCTGTGTGCAAGGTTCTACGTTGATTTTGTCAGTCAGTCATTCAGGGAAGTGAGGTAGACAGTTACCTGACAGGCGAAATACATTTCCTAGGCACCCTAATCAGTGGAAATGCATAGCATGATCAGTTGATTCATTTTCTCCTTTCTTATTAATGTACTACTATCTTCAATAAAGTGACAGTGGTCAGATGTATAAGGCCTACACAAGGTATGCATCTTAAATCACAATGTTTCTCAGTTATATAGTATGGCGAATCGCGATGATGGAGAGTACGCTTAACTGTTGACAGATATTCAAATGTAACACAAGTTAGACAAGCCACATTTGCTGACGGAAGTTGGGTAAACAGCTTTTAATCAATGTTAAAATTTTTTACGCCACTAATTCACACAGGTTGTTGCCAAGTGACAGTTAAGTGAGGTAATAAACAATTAAAATCATTTAGCTCTTTATGGTGAAAAAGGGTATGGATGTAGACCCAATGCTGAAGCAGCTATTGTATCCCAGCAATAATTTTCGGTACCGACAAAAATCATCACTTCAAAATAATCATTCGTTGAATGAAAAAGGTATATAATTTAAGAGCATAGTGTACATCTAAGAGAAAAACTTAGGCATTATGGTAAAGTATTAGATTGTTTACCGCGTATTAAATTGTTTATTTGATACAGCATACGGTGACAGTAAAATCTACTGGATGATATTTCGAGCAAAATTTGTTGCTCAGAGAGAGATTTTGAAGGTTAAAAGATCCAGTGGAGCGAATAAGAAACAATATCGTAATCCATCAAATATCACGAAACGATTGTGAGGTCGAGTATATCAGTCGAAGCAGTCAAACTGGTCATTCAGAATAGCAGAACACAAAAATTTAGTGAGACCTACAATGGTAGACCCTACTGAGACAAGTAATTTTGAAAAAAAACTCGGTTATTGCTCTGGATGTATGACCCATAATCACGCTACAGAGTGGGACAATGTGACAATTCTAAAATACAATAAAGCCAGGTGGGGGGATAAATTCATCATCAAATCTTTATTCATTGGATCCACACCTAACACATGTAACAGGAATGACTCATCACATGTTGAAGATATCTGGAAGATTTTACTACCATTAAAATAAATGAATGAACTGTTGGACTATATAAAGGAATTTTGAAAGTCGTCTGATTACTATAATATGAATGAGCAATAAATTCTTTTCCGAACGTTATCCCGTAAATGCTATAGTACCACTGTGTGCAATAATCAAACAAACAATCTAATATGGAATACGGTACTGCATTCTGCTTACCTTCTTTGTTTTTAAATTCCAGAATACGACCGAAGTATCAAACGTATGTCGTTGTGAATAACTGTAAACTATTGTATTCGTTGCTGAACTATACGCCCATTTGTAATTTGGACGTAAATTGGCAAAGTAAATGAAAGAGTCCACGGTCAAAGCTAATCTTAACGAACCATTGCCTTCCCATGCACATGCAGTTAGACATTTACCGGGTAAACACAATGTACGCAAATGCTGCAAATTAATTTTTATTCAGAACGATAGAGATAAACATTTAACGTAGATGAGCTTTTCTATATGATTTAGTTTAATCATTTTATCTTCAAACAGTACTGAACTAAGAGTCTATGAAAAATGCTTCAAAGTTTTCTTTATTCTAAGTCACATTCAATAAGAGAGAAATATCACAGTAACAAAAAGAGCAAATACCAGACTTCAGCAAATTGCTGATTATTGATGTTTCTTCGTTTAGGTCTGTTGATCAGATACATAGTATAAAACTGATTTGGACACGCTTAACAAGCTTCTGATTTACTTTTTATTCAGCTAAAGATTACAAATATTTTGTTAATGGTTTCAGTGCTTACTGCTTTGTGTTATCTATCCATGTATCGTACATTATTTTTGATTAATTTTTAGTGATTTCTGAGAATTTGTTTGAATAACTTCATCGAGACAAAGTCCGTCTATCCTAGTTTAAATATTTCATGTGTGGTCTAAAATCATGAAAAACAAAATAGAGAGTGCATACACATTCTTTTGGAACTTTCTCAGTACTTAATTTCTCAAGCGTTATGCTGTCTAGAATTACATATATGGAATTCACTACTTAGCTTTAAACAATAGAAAGAAATTGCTTGTTTTACACTTTATTTTAGGTGCCTATTACTAAAAATTATCTTAACTTAAAGAGCTGAAGTGATTACTGCTAATGGGAATAAATAGTAATGAGGAAAAATTTAATTTTACCGTAAATGCAGTGTAATTTGCTTGTAAACACATTGTGACTAGCTCTGAGAATTGATATTTCTTTCGTTTCCTTTAATCCTCAAATCTCTCGAGGTGAGGAATAAATTTTACCGTAGTCTGAACTACCGATTGGAATCGTTACACCACATAATTTTAATGCATCAATTTGGTTAAATTTACCCCTACAACATCTAAAGTACAATTTTTTTTTCTTTGAATACTGAAGAGAACTAGCCTCATTTCTTAGTAAGCACTCCCTAACATACATTTCGTAAAAATTCAAAGAGGCAATTTCTCGGCTTCGTCTAAGGGTACTAACTATTATTGACTTTCTTGTCATCGAACTTTTTCTTCTCGAATATACTCATCTCTTCTTTTATAAATTTTCTGGTACTTACTACCTGTATTAGTAAACAGTATTATTCACACCGGAGCTTTTTTCACTGCACACACCTTATTGAACATCAGTAACTTGTTATAATGAATTGGTTCATCCACTTATGTTTTTAACTGTATTGCTTTCTCTCCATTCATTTCATATAGTGTACGTGCCTTACCTCAAATGATTTATTCATAGAGGTAGGTTCTGTTCTCATGGTCACTTATTATCGAAGGTGTTACACAGCTACGTTCTGATCATTTACTTCCAGCGTTTTCTGTATCTTTTTTGTATTGTATTTACTTGAAGGTTGCGTTCTAATTCTGTTACTTTACTAATGGCGCAGCAAATAGGATTAAAAGTTCATACATTCAGTTACATTGTATTAACGTACTGAAATATAAACATAGTTTTCCAGTTGTATAGTGTTCTATGCATCACTTATACGTTTCCCATGAGCTCATAAGCGCAATGTATAACAGTAATTTCATTAGGTATCCATTACTGACTATGGGCTTTTAGAAGCGATGAATTTTATAGATATATTAGTACAGTGGTTCACCCATAACTGAGTGAAATATTCAGAGTTAAAAACTGATACTATATGAATGTGTAATATCCAATACGAAGTGCTGGATAAATACTACGTATTAAGTTTGCCTTATGGTAAAAATTATGCAATGAAAACTGGTAACGTACATCACCTAGAGGATTGTAAAACTGTACAACGTTTATGTCACGATCATTTGACTTAGTACCAGGTGTGGTAGTGAGCTGAGTGCACTTTTGTGTTCCTGCTACAGCCAACATTGAACCATCTTCATTCCAACAGGAACACGTTATCTGGATGCCTGTGTCCAACAGAACTGGATCTAAAAGAACGGCATAAAATCCAGTGTAGTGGCAACACTAAATCATGCACGAAACTTCCGCTTTCATTAATCAGTACTCACCTAATAACCATGGTGGAAAATAGTCCACTTATAGTAATGAAAAGTCAGAAACAAGATGAATATATATGTACATATACTTAAATAAAGTAAAAGGATATAGAAAGAGGAAAATAGTTGTGCCGACCTAAATAGAACTGTTTAAAATCTCTCAAACGAAAATTAGCAAACATAGGTGCATCACTGTGGTAAATTTCACCAAGAGTCTCCAGTTGCTAGTCCATATTACTCCGTGTATCCCAGCCAAGCACTACATACCTCTTCATGTAAACCATGTAGCAATAATTTGATGCTCAACGTATTATCATCCTTAGGTTTCTAATAGGCTAGAACTTTAAATAACATTCGTAACCGAAGAAAATGGGGAACCGGTGTGTATAAAACATGCATCAAGAAAACTAGTTATCTATTTCTACTGTTCGTAAGAGTACACCCATCATACCATCAGTTTAAGTTATTTTTCCTACTGAATTTTAAACATACTATTCTAGTAAATAAAACTGCTTGTGAAGATAATTCTCATGGACAGTGCTGAGGAATTTAGAAAACTGGAAAGAAACATTGGTCCATTAACTCCCGATTTTCAGTGGTCCCATAACATCATTTCATTCTGACAATAGTCTGCAGGTCAATAAGCTAGCTACGTACTATTTTAAACTATTCGTTGCTTGTTACTGATTGGCTTATAAATGGACTTCAGAAATTTCAAATGGATGGATTTGACATTAAACCAACCAAGTTTGGAGTTTATCGGTTCTTTATTGTGACAGAATATCTTTGGTTAAATGAAGTTAGATACTCAGTAACTTCCACTTTACGCATTGGGACTGGACAGTAACCTGCTTAACTTGATTACTAACATATGGGTTCTCCGTATTGCAAAAGCAGCCAAATGCTTCTCATATTTTAAGTAGTCCTTTTTGACGTTAGTAGTTCACTATGAAAATTATTTTCAAGTTAGTCGATTCGATAAGTGTTCTACTTTTCTTCAATAAAAATCTTTTTGATTCAGTTTTCGTCAACCACTGGTTGGTACAAGATACTTTACAAGTACACACTAATGTTGAAGTTCATTGCATATTTTTAAAAATTCTTTTGAGTTACATGAGAACTTCTCACTTCCTATCACAGGTTAGTGTCATCCGAAATCTCCACTAGAACGTTTAGATGTTTTTGTAATTTCAACGTAAATCTACTCAGCTAATCAATAGCATTCTCTTCAATACTTTGAAGACAGTCTTCTTCGGCCAGTTTCTACATATTCAGGATTCCATTCAACTCCAGAAATAACAACGGTTGATTTATTTTAAAAACTTAGTTCTTAATTTCAACAGTTTGTACTAAAGCTGTAAGCATAGAAGAACGAATAAAGTGTTTGATTTGGCGCCAAAATACAGTTTACCACTAATACATTATGACATAAATTCTTCCCAAAAAGAATACCTCATACAAACACACGTACATATTAACATACAAATAAGTATGATAAAACCAACTCAACAGCAAGAAAGCTTTCTAGAGGTGTATCAATAGGTATCTACACACTTGAAACCTTACCTGGATCATCGTGACTTCTCATTATTTGACAGCGTCCAATGTCATAGCATACAGCTAATGATGGCAGCATCTGTAAATCATTTCTGTTACCTCCTTTATACCAGTCCAAGCCTACAAGACGAATAGCTCCATATACATTGTTCAGACAGTATATCAATATTTTAGACTGAAATATTAGAAAATATTTAGAAATTAAAAGTTGCTAAAGCAAAAGTAATCATCTATTAAGGCTTTAAAAATACCTTGAAGAATCCCGTAAAACAATTATACGTTCGATGAATTCTGTTCAGTGTTCCAGTCATAATATTCAGAATTGAGGGTTAACTTCGCCAGGCTAGGGAAACTCATTTTAGTGTTAGCAGTAGATTATCTGGTATTTCATATTCGTTCAGTTGGTTATTTAACTAACAACAAGCGTGGTATAAAAAATAATTGTCATTTAACTAAGATAACGAAGCATCCTGATTGGGGATGAAATAAATATAAGGCTAATTTTAATAAGATATAGAATGAAATCCCCGAGATTCTCAGGCACTGCAATTTCTTTTCTGGTTCGTTTCACTCACTGGTGACGCAATCTATGATATGCAAAATAGGGATTAGAAATTTCAGTAAACAACTCACTGATATGGAAAAATATGGTTACAATATGCCCCGTTGTCTTTCAGGTGACATATTTACCATCTGAATTTTAAATAAAAACTTGTCTTTTTGAAGTATGTTGAAACCTACAATAGTAAATATCATCACTGTCCTAAGTTGAGGATGATATCATCATATGGATGAGACGCAATTAAATGATATCGCCACTTAGTTCACCTCCTCATGCCTCCCATCAAGAAGAGATTCTGTGAACTGTCTGTCTTCAGAGTATCAATTTAGATAAGAATAATGTTCCTTTGTAACTGTGTCAGCCTATTTTGTTACTTTTAACAAACTATTGTGATCGAATCCTCACAAATTACTTTTCTGCTCCTCACACTGGTTTAGGGGTCTACCACTGTTAACTTAAGGGTGGATTTTGGACATCTCTTTACAGCAACCTGCCTGCATGCTAAACGCGAACCTACCAATGACTGTATGTTATAACATGTCATTGATAAATTTATTCCATATTACACACTTCTGTATACCTGGTGAACACCATTTTGACCTTCAACATTATCTAAAGTGGAAAAACTAAGATAAATGTATACACCTTCAAGAGTAGAAGTGAGATCAGACAGATCATGGTCTGCGAAACACGTATTAAAGTGATCAATCAAACTGAAGCAAAACACGGCTGTGGTTATCTATGGAGTGTAGTAACTAATAGTTGAGGACCTGTGTGAGAAATACACGCACGATATATAACAATTGAACAAGTTGTCAGTACAGTTCACACCAGGTGAAAATAAAGTAATAGTGACCAACAAGCTACTCCACCCACCTCATTTCACAATGATCAACTAACGACAACTACTGATCGTCAAATTCATTTGGTTTTTACCTTTGGCCTAAATCTCCTATAAGTAGTTAACAGTAAGGAAAAATTTAATTCTTATAATATTTCGAGCAAAATTATCGAGACTAAATAACAACATTGTTTGTAAACATTCACTGCAAATATATTTGTAACTTAATTAATTCTCTCAACAAGGCACAAATTTTTCATGAATATAAGTAGAGCAAAAGTTCACAGGAAACTTCTACCATTGCGAAAGCGGATCCTGAACTTCATAGTGGCAATAAAGGGGGCCAGTATGTGCACTGATTCCTTTGTCATCGCGCAGCAACACACTGCGGATAAAGTTCCTGACTACTGACGCATAAGCACTGATAACGGTTGCCAAACAAAAGTTTATCAGGCCAGCTCCACTAAAACTGGAAGAGCACTTCTGACACTATCTACATTCCAAATTACCTGCTTTGTTACCCTCCGTTTAGATGCCCAGTATCATTAAAAACTCCCCTGGGTGAATCTATAGCAGTGTGAAGAGACTGACGAGAAAACTATTAAATTTTAGATTTATATGTTTCTATTTGGAAACAAATGTCATTATTTTGACAGAAAACTGAATATCCATCCACTGAGCTTGTGAACACTGCGGTTTTGTCTTTCCGTCACTCAGGTTGCGTTTCGCCTCTCATATGAAGAAAGACATAAGCGATGGTTGCTTTGAGCTATTTTTAAGATCCACGCAAAGGGACATTACCGCCCCTTCTGTAAAATTAAGATAAAACGATTCAACATCACTTGGAGCGTTTGACTAAGTCAAACTAAACAGCACTAGAGAGGCAGGACTAAACAAAAACATGTAAGACCATACAATATGTGGTTTAGATTGAATACAGTTATAACTGTACTATGTCCTTATTAGCAACCATCTGATAGTACAGATGGAGAACTTTCTTGGATGCAGTGATCATACAATGGTCGTATGTGACTTGTTTCTAGCTGAACAGATTTAGTGGGACTATTCTATTACTTCCCTCTACCACAGTAGGCTACACTATTCAATGATGAAATAGTGTTCCTTACAAACTTGATGACCTGAGGAGTAAATCTCCCTTATATTAAAAGAGGACTTAGAGCTGATAAAAGATATAATCCATGAAACGATCAAACATAACTTCCTTTTAGAGATAATAACCACTGAAATACGGACCTTGTGACTAAAATTGGACTGTGAGTATCTATTACATGATAAGAGTAGAAATTGGCACAAATAGAGATCCTGCAGGAAAGAGTGCTATAACTTTTTGTGTCACTTTCTCCAGATAACTCAATTACTTTTAAGTGAATCATGTGTATCGGAGAGTCTAGCGACCTCCAGCTTTATGAAGTAAAGACAAGATAAATACGCAGCATATAAATCCTAGCATCTTTTAAAAGCTTTGTAGGCCTCTTCACAAGAAATTTCGCAGATTTAACGGTATAAGGTAACAAGATCTGAAACAAGGAGCAGAATTTTGAAATAATCGGTTCTAAAAAGCATTTTAAAACCCACTAGATAGACAGAAGTTCTCAGAAGAATGGCATCGCGCCATTTTATTCTCAGGAACAAAGATTGGCGGAATCTTCAATTGCTACCAACCCATAGTATCACTGCCAGTTGTTGAAGATGGTGAAAAGCTGGTCAGTGGTCATATTATAAAACATTTGGATACAAACAGCATCATGAATGGACTATGAAAGTGTTCTAAAACTGGTTCATTATACGTCTATAAAGTGCTATCAGCCTAAAACGACCGGAAGGTATATTCGAACTTTATAAGTCACGTAAGTGTTGTTTTTCTAGATCTCTTAAGGACTTACTTTAACCTTTCTGTATAACATTCTTTAGAAAATCACTCACAGGTTATTAGCAACCTACCGCTGTCCTGGATAAGAAGCCATTTAGATGGTGGCAAATTTCACTGCAAGTGTTACACCCTATTGATAGCTGTTACCTTTGCGTTGTAGTCGGGCTTGCACATCAAGATGACCCAACGAGCTATGCTGGTGGAATGCTTGTTTTCTCAAGGTTCTACCATGCCAGAAAGGTCTGTTGAATAGTGGTTAGACAAAATGCAGTTACTATTGTGGTGCAAATTACCGCACTATGATGGGGTCTGAAGGTGAAGTCACACAGCTACTAGCTGTATGTGATGTGACAGTAATAAGGTGTTTCCCTTGGATCACTGGCAGGGCTACGTTAATGTTACTTTCTCAACGAAAGTGGAGTTAGAAAAGGTATGCCCTCAAATCAACACACTTGACTATACCTCACGGTCTCCCGGTGCCGCAAGTATGGGTCCTCTCTATACGGCGTTAGAACAACCAAACCTCAAAACATTCAACAAAGGCTGTGTGTGACATACCTCATGTAGATGTCCATGGACTTTGTGGTAGCACAAATCTTTTTCTCTTTCAAGTACTTAACGAAGAAATAGCTTTCCACGGTTTGGGTAGCCGAGAAGTGTCGACCGCCCGCAAGCTCCCAGTAGTGCACAAGACCCAACCAAATATAAGCTATCCTCTTCAACTCCGTCTCTTCCTTTTCCTTCCCTTGCTGATAGTGCAAGGCCTCTTACGCCTTACTCAACCTCTCACTCTTCAACCACCGCCAACGATCTGTGCCACCGAAACCTCATTCTTAGTCTCCTAAGACCCTTCCATCGATTTCATGTTGAAGACTTCAACGTCCGACCTCTATGCTGAATCGGACAGCAAGCACCGCTCGTAGGAACTCTGAAATCCCTAAACATGGATGTATGCCATGTTTCTGATACACGTATAAAGGACCCGAGTGTGGTTGGTTGTTAAAGTGACCTCACCTAGCCATAGTAGTGAGTATTCAAAATTCGCTATCAGAGTATCTGGAGACCCAGTGGTCAGCTCTTGGACTCTCTGCTGTAAGCATAGAACTGGATTATAGGACAGAAAGTGCGCTCCTCGACTAAAAGTCAGTAAACACCCGTCTATGTGCTATTCGTATGAAGGAATCTATAAAAGCTAGGAGGGGTTGTCAGACTACGCGATGCTTAATGATACTTTCCACTTACCCACCCACCGGCTGCAGTTCGGATGATGCAAAGGATGAATACCATAGAAAGTAAGACGTTCAGATTTAGTCGTAATGGCAGGTGACCTTAATGCCCAAGTAGGGAAGTTGAGCCAATCGGAAGGGCATCTTAGAGGTATCTATGGAATCTGATACCTACGATTCGACAACGGTGATCATCTGTTGCAATTCTGCTCTGATAATCACGTGTTTCTGAACAGCACCAACTTTAATCATAAGGAGAGACACTATCTCACATAGAGTTCGTCGACATCAAACCAACGATGGACACAGATAGGTTACATTATCATAATCCATTGTTGTAGAGGATTGGTGGAGGATTGTCGCTCTTTCTGGAGTACTAGTCTGGACTTCGATCACGTGCTAGTATAGACCCGTGTATATCTGCACTCTACTGGCTGAAAAAACAGGAGAGAGTGCTGTTCATCTGTTCTCGATTAGTAGATAAGGACGCTCGGTGCACATTTAGAGAGGAGTTAGCTACAATTCCGTTTGGACGTGGCACCAACGCTCATACTGAGGAGACCTGGCACGAATTTAAGTCTGCTATACAAATGTCAGCAAAGAAAGTTGGTAACCTACACCCAAAGATTACCAAAAGTCATTGCATCTCCTCAATGTCATCCGAGCTGATTGATGTGAGAAGACTGACTTCAGTGGCTGTAACCCCGATGAAGTGAGAAAGCGGCATAAACGTAAGTTGACCACAGTCTTTGCAGAGAATGCGAGCAGTGGTAGGTGGTGAAAGCGAGACAGGTGAAGAAGGCTTCAGTATTGTATAAAACTCAGCAAATATTTAGGTTTACTAAATATATCGGCAAAAAAAGACGACAGTTAGTAAAACCATCACCAAAAAGGATGGGACGCTGAAAACATCCCAAGATAGGAGGCTAGAACATTGAGCAAAATACTTTGAAGACCAGTTGAACTGGCCCTCAGTAACACTTCAGTTGCCCAACATCCAGTCTGAGTCTGAATGAGATGTAGATGGCGGACCTCCTACTTTCCTTGAAGCATCGAACCTGAAACGATACAAACCATCAAAACCTGACAGTTTGACACCTGAACTCTTCTGAGATAGAGGTAGGAAATTGCTGACAACAGTAACGGAGGTACCAGGTAGTGTATGACAATCAGAGGTGGTCCCGTCAGGCTGGTCTAGTTCACTGACCATCCAAGTTTATAAGAATGGGAAGGAATTTTCTTGTGACAACCATAGGGCAATAAGCTAGACTAATATAGTGTCCAAGAACCATAAGATTCCTAGTTATCCGACACCTAACAGGAGCTCGAGGAAAGCAAGCAGATTACAGACCTGGACGAGGGTGTACCAGTCATACTGTCACCCTTCGACGGGTTCTGAAATAGGCATACTTACCGACGGCCGACGCTTGCCCTATTTCTTGACCTGAAGGCACCATTTGATTGTCGAGCTTGAGGTGTTGTGGTAGTGTCTGACTGTGAAGGAAGTACCAACTCTCTAATTTAACTGATGCAGGCATGTATTGGAAGGGCTTAAGAAGAGCTGTCATCAGAACTGACGACAACTAGTGGTATCCACCAGGGTTGCCCACTGTCACTGTTCCTATTAAACTTCGTTATAGACGTACTGGTGGACATATTCTTAAGTAATTTGCCTTCACAGGGATTAACCTACTCCCTGGAGGCTGCCTTGTTGACCTGGAGTGCGCAGACAATATTGTATTGCTAGGTCAAGACGATCACAAAATAAAAAGTCTTCTGCAAGCCTTCAGCAGATATCTATGATGCTCCAGGACTGATCTGTTGCTATTAATCCCATTTTAATGATAGGAAGTGAAGTGGTGGGATGCGTTGACCACTTCTCTTACTTGGGAATTTACATAAGCCCAAACGGGTTGGTTTCTGAAGAAATCTCAGCCCCATTAAAAAATCCCCGTTTGGCATTTTGCTATTTGCGTCACCTGTGGTGACAACTAGCAAGATATCCGACTAACTTACAAAGGACGAGTATAATGCGCTACAGTCCATTCTGTCCTGATTTTCGGCTGTAAGGGATCACCGTTAAAAGTAGAAAACACAAAGCAATTACTGGGTTTCGATCACAAATGTCTTCGTAACACTGCTCACATTTAGTGCAATCACCATGTGAGTGATGATGAAGTCAAGGGAGAGGGGTACTAGACAAAACAACAAAGTCAGCTGATGATGTTGTGAACCTCAGTCCACTGAGATGACTTGGACATGTACTGAACATGTCGAGTCACCGCCTTCTTCAACGTACAATGCTGGAGGAAAAAGGATTAAGTTTGAAGAGGGTTCAGACAGGTCAGGACAAGACTCGGCATCAGTAGATGAAGTCCCTAACTGTTAGTCTGAGCCAAGTGGACCAAGTGAGACAAGTGAGCTAAGTAGACTGCTTGATCGAGGTCTCCGAGACAGCAGGAATCACTGGTTGAGGACTCTTAGTGAAATGGTTTAAAATCGGTCACCGTGGCCCAGATGTATTCCCTCCTTGACATCTTCTAAAACTTGAATATTCGCACCAACCGTTATCTTCAGATTGTTTATTCTCTCACACTACTTTATCTTTATTGGGATCAGTCTTTTTCCATCCATTTGTTTTTTAGATACTTCTGTGAAGTTCAGCAAATTGAGCCACTTTACCTGTGTGCAAGGTTCTACGTTGATTTTGTAAGTCAGTCAGTCACCAGTTTAACACTGTAAACTGGTCCTGTTACATGTTATTCCTTGGAATTTGACAAGACACCATCCTAGGCCACTTATTATTTGGATTTTTGTCAGTGATATTTTGCGGTAAGGCGTTTCATAAGGCTCACACTCTTAATTAGAATAGGTTAGACTTCAGCCCTCGGATGTACGATGGTGTTGGGGCTTTCTGATGATTATGGCTATGCTGCAAGTGAGGTTAGTTCGTTTGCTAGACTTCCCTAATGGATGATCCTATAGGCCATAATAAGGTCAACTCTCTTTTTGAGATAGCCCGAAGTGAATAAATTAAAGTGTTTCAGTCTTTTAAGGCATGCTTTACTTCTTAGTCCAATAACAGACTTTGTTTCACATCTTTTTATTTTCTCAAGAAGATTGGAGTTGCTATTAAGTGTTAGGGGTGACATCGTATTGAGGACTTCCAGGTGAGATCGTACGTAGGATTTGAAAACCATAAGAAACATTCCAGGGGCAAGACCACCAGGCTGTTTACGCAGAAAGTGTAAAGTGGAGATCGCTCAGACTGTCATTTCTTTGTAGCCATAGCTGGTGTTGGAGAAGTTGAGCCTCAAATCTTTTGGTGAAAATGCTTTTATGATAGCCTGGTTACTCAACCTGTATTTAAATTCATCCGTCTTTGCTTCATGGGTACTGATGTGCGTTACTTCTCATCTTTCGAGGTTGACGCTCAAGTCGTTTTCTGACAACCAGAGTTCTAGTGGGTGCAGTTCATTTTAAAATGCTATGCAGCTAGCCTCTTCGTTCACCACCCTCCAAATTTTCATATTATCAGCGAATAGTAGGATGCGTGAAGAGACTTTGCATAATTGACCGTTGACAAATAGGGAGAATAGAAAAGAGTCCCGGGGTCGCTTCCTGAGATACTCCTGATGTCGATGGTTCCCACTTCGACCGCATTCTGTTTGCTTTGGGGCAGAACTGTCTACCTTCTAGATATGCTCTGAACCAAGAAATCAGAGGTCCACTTAAAGTGACTAATGCAATCTTGTTAAGTAGGAGTGTGGGTGGGATACAGAAATAACATGTACTGCTTTTCTGTTGTCCCAGCTAAAACTTCGGTCACCCAAGACAGTTCTCTTGAAGTCACAACAAAGTACAGTGGAACCAAAAGCTATTTCGGGGTATAATCAGGTAAATGACTGAATCTACTTCATAGAATGTCACTAAAGACCTGAAACCGTTATGCGTTAATAAGAATCGAACGTGACGAAATAATTTTCTTTGCACTAATTCCTGAGAAAGATATTGGGCTTTGAATACATGTTAATTAACTTGCCTAGGGGTTGATTAACCTGCTCGCAATGCAAAATAAACGATAAAAGTATGTCTGCATGCATTATTTAGATAAAATAAGGAGTTACCACATGCACAAAGGCTAGATATGGGCACCTACAATAAAGTTCCCACAGCTGTCATAAACATAGACTTCTCCCGTCAGAAGACCAAACAGGAGAATAAATCCATCCGGTGACCATTCGACGGACGTGAGATTTCCACATTTTAACTCCTTCCCCCAGATTCTATTGCCATCAACAGAACCAACAATCGCGGCTCCATCCTTGTATACTATGCATATTCTCTGACCTTCATGGTCCCACTATATGACATATCAACATACAGGTTGGTATTACCTTCATATCCTGAACGGAAGATTTGTTTCTGTTATTTATCATTTCTTCATACCAAGCTCCTTTGTAGAGCATCCAAACTACTATAAGCCCATTTTGGTCTGATGACGTGACTTTCCCGAACTTCTCATTCCACGTGATTACCTGAACAGTACCTTCAAAATAAAGTGAGGGCAAGAAATCTATTGACAACTTGTATGTCCTTCTAATGTCTGATTCATCACTAAATTTGTTTGAGCTGCGAGACCTTTGAATTTGTCATCGCTTTGCATTTCAAGCTTGAGAATTTTCAGCAGACCATCTTCTCCTCCACAAGCAATGTATCCATGACTTTTGCTCCATGAAATGGATTTCAGTTTTTTATTATCTGGAATAGCAATCTTTTTGCTCAAGTATGAAAACATTTTCGAAACTGTGATAGTAACATTTGCTGTCCAGCTTGAAGATATAGAACATTAAAACACTTTCGTTTTGTTATTGAGAGAGGGAACCTAGTTGCTATTTAATGCACATATCCAGTTACCACAACTTAATTCTCGTCTGTTTATTGCGGTAAATAGCCTACAGGGTTGTGTTGAATCTAGATCCAAGTCCGGAAAAGGATTGAGCATTGTCAGTGTCAGCTGAAAATTCAGATTCAGATTTGTTGTTTGAGGATGGGAGGCAGAGAACCTATAACACTATAGCGTCACACACTTCCTCAAAATCAATAGCCTAGGGTTTGACGACTTTTGACATTGATGCTGACCTTGATAGTTTAACTGGACTCGCTAAGCTGAAGGCACCCGGTCAAGCATCCTCGCCATTTGGCACGCTGTCGTGTTACGTTGCATTGCTCGTATTCGACTCTCTAGCCAGTTGGTTGGAGCGCATCGGAATCTTGGCACAACCATCCAAATATACTATTCCATCCGACTACGCTATCGTGTTCTTCCTTGGTCTCGTATTCGTGGGTATATAGCAAGTCCGAATAACTAGTGACTGATCTTTGTGCATGTCAAGTTCGCAGCAGGACAAATCCTAAGTTGGTGAGCCCGACGTGATCACATATCCCGACCAATAACAAGTATTGAATTGGTGAGCCTGTTCCATTTTATACTTCCATATTGTTTTCATTTTGATAACATTTATATATCCATATACAACTCTTTCTCATGCCCGACCATACTCCTAGGTTATACGTATTAGGCCGACTACGAACACTATCCAACTCGTGCCACATTGGCCAGACAATGCAGAAACATGGTTTTTGTATGCCGAGGCAGATTTTCGAGAACGGGGTGTCTCAGATCCTCAATCTCGATTTCTTGCTGTCATACCTTCACTGCCGCGAGAATTAAACAGGTATGTTACAGCACACATGTTTAATCCTGAAGTAAGTGATCCTTATGCACTTCTTAAGGCCGCAATGTTGAAGAAAAGCGATCTCACAGATCGCCAGCGCCTAGACGAATTACTTCGTAACATCGAGCTAGGCAGCCACTCAGCTGCTGAAGTACTCCCACGCACGCGAGTAGTAATCGGCGCACGAACATTTGACAATGGCCTTTCCCGAGAACTAATTATCTCAAGACTACCACAACCGGTGCAAACCGTGTTGGTGACACTGCAGTCAGTCCCACTGAATGGCCTGGCAGCCTCAGCAGATAAAATACTGGAGATTTCCAGCAGACCCATCTCCAGCGTATATTCTGTCCGCGACAAACCAGAGAGCCAGGATTCAGAGTGAGCAAGCTGTGCAACTCGGTTAGGTGGCTGCTACAAACCCGGAGCCCTAGGTCACGTAACACATCACAGAAGCACATCTCAGCGTATCGCAGCAACTTACATGGTTATCCAAAACTAAGCCTGATACGGTGAAAAACCCCAAGTGGTACTAATTTCACAACACCTACGGGGCGAGCCAGAAAGTGCCGGAAGGCACGCAGTTTCAACATGGACACAAACTCGGGAAACTGTCACGCCGGCAGGCGGTCATGGCAGTCGCAGCCGGCGGAAACAATGGTTTGCTTTACGTCACCAATATGAAAACGAAAGTCCGCTACCTCATCGACACCGGGCAGAAGTTAGCTTTCTTCCCGCACCGACAAAGGCGTGTCATCATGACCTATTCTTCAATCTCCAAGCAGCTAACGTAAGGCAATCGTGACATTTGGGAGACAGTATGCCCACCTCAACTTACGTTTACACAAACCCATTCACTAGATTTTCCTCCTGGCTGACGTTTCCACGCCAATCGTTGGCATAGATTTGCTAAACCATCAGGACCTACTCGTAGATGCTCATCGTCGACGACTGATAGATAGCAACACAAGGCTAGCCATTGGCGGCACCGCCTACGTAGGTCCGAGTTTAGTCAACGTCAGAATTAAGCGATCAGGCGACGTGCCCTATCAGGCAGTTTGGAGAAATATCCAGAGTTGCGATAACCGACGCACACTCTTCCGTGCATAACCAGCAATGTTATGCATCACGTCACAGCCATAGGTCCACCTGTGGCATCCAAAGCTCGCCGTCTAGCCCCTGATAGGCACAAAACGGTGAAGAGTGAATTCGACCACATGCTCGAACTGGGCATTATCAAACCGTCAAACAATCCTTGGGCATCACCATTGCACATGGTTCCCAAAAAGGATAGCAACAACTGGCATCCAACCAGTGACCACCGAGGGCTTAACGCCAAAACAACTCCGGACTGTTACCAGATACCTCACGCTTACGATTTGACTGCAGCCTTATGCGCAATGAACATTTTCTTCGAAATCGATTTGGTCAAAGCGTACAACCGGATACCTACGACAGCAGAAGATATCACGAAAACAGCAATTATCACTCCTTTTGGTTTGTTTGAATTCCCGAGCATGCCATTTGGTCTTCGGAATGCAGCACAAACATTCCAAAGCTTTATGGATGATGTCTTCCATGGTTTAAATTTTGTCCATGCCCACATCGATGACTATCTCATTGTGAGTCCAGATAAAGAAACTCACCTTAAACATTTGGACCTCATATTCGAAAGACTAAAACAACATGGCATCACAGTCAACTTACAGAAATGTGAAATAGGAGTTGAATCACTCAGCTTCCTTGGGCATACCATTGACAACAAAGGTGTACGCCCATCGAGAGGTGAAGTGGCGGCTATCACGAACTATTGACAGCCGACGGCTATGGAGCAGCTCCGCACTTTCAATGGTCTGGTAAGTTATTACCGGAGGTTCATTTCCGACCGTCCCTCTGTAATGAGACCACTCACAGATCAACTTCGGGGGACCGCGAAGTGCGTTACTCTTGAGCAATGTGACTAGACTTGCTTTCTCTAAGGTCAAGGAGGCCATTTCGAACGCAACCACGCTCATGTATCACGACCCAATGCTCCCTTGAGTATTGCTGTTGATGCATCTGACTCAGCAGTCGGATCAGTTTTACAACAGTTGACTGACAACCAGCGGCAACCTCTAGCCTTTTTCTCGAGGCGGCTGCAAGAAACGGAAACAAGATACAGTACATTTGTTAGGGAATTCCTGGCTTTGTATCTTCCTGTACACATTTTCGGTATTCGGCGGAAGATCGTGACTTCATTATTTTCACAGACCACAAACCGTTAACGTTTTCCCTCAGCTCGGCGTCTGACAAATACTCCCCTCGTGAGTTGCCACAGCTTGACTACATTTCCCGGTTCACTTCAGACATCCGCCACATTTCTGGAGCAAATAACTCCGTAGCCGATGCACTATCACGAATAGCTTCGATAAATCATATCGAGGGCGTTGATCTTGATGAACTAGCTCGGTGTCAAAAAGAAGACCCTGAGCTGCATCATGAGTTGTCATCCACAACTCTCAAGCTGAGACTTTGTCCGGTTGGATCAGACAAGGATACGATTTTGTGCGATGTCTCTTCTGGTCAACCACGCCCAACAGTTCCGAAGGCATGCCGACGCAACATCTTCAATACGTTGCACAAACTCTCTCATCCAGGTGTACGAGCCACCATTAGGCTTATCGCACAACGTTTCTGCTGGCCTGGAATGAAAAAAGATGTTAAGGTGTGTGCTCAGTCATGCTTGGCTTGTCAGAAGTGCAAAGTCACACGGCACATGGAAAGCCCTTTAGGCTCTTTTCTAGCCCCAGACACGTGTTTCAACCGCGTCCGTGTAGACATTGTAGGACCACTATCAGAATCTAGTGGATGTGGTTAACTTTCCGCTTGCGTGGATCGTCTTACGGGACGGCCAAAAGCGGTACCTATTGAGGATGTTACTGATGAAACTGTCGCTCTTGTTTTCGTCGAAAGATGGGTCGCGGACTCTGCAGATAGGCGTAAACTTCATTTTCGGTATATTTATACGTAAGTAATCCCCATTTGTACGAAAGGTTTTGGTGGTATTAAAGACTTTTGTTCATATTCCAGGTGCAACGAGCACTAAACGGAGCGCCAAAGGAAACCGAGGACCGCACTCGACATACAATTCGGTTTATTGCATTTTATTTCTCACTTGCCGCGACAACCTACAGTAAGTTCAGACAACCAGGGGCCACTTCTCGCAGTGAGCCCATCCGAAGAGTTTACCAGTGGAGAAAACCACTGGGTGTTTACTTCCGGCTGGTATCGTCTTAGGGTCCTCACGAATCCACTAGGGGAGGAGTGATCTGTAGCGTCACACACTCCCCCAAAATCAATGGCCTAGGGTTCAACGACTTTCGACATTGATGCGAACAGACTCTACCTTGCTTTATTGTCTATCTGTGCTCAATGCTGCCATTAGTATGAAGTGCATTCAGCAAACGGTAATCCGTGGACTTAAGTATATTCAGTGATAGGAAATTCAACACTTACCCAAGTATGTCAAATATAACTTATTTGTATGATTCTGCTCGATATTAGAGCACGGATTCTGGACAACTTGAGATTCGCCACTAACTTACAAGCTAACCAAGCGGTGCCATTTCAACAGAGTGATCATATAAGTTTAACCTTCAATAGGTGTGAGAATTACTACCCTGTTTACTAACTTCTGAAGGGATAAATCTTCTGGAATCAGCTGGCAGCAACTGGCTGTGTGGTAGTGGAAGGGTTTTGACCCTTCTGACGCTGCCTGACAGGCGTCATTAGCTTGCTACTCTGTATCCCAGTGTAGTTTATGCACAGTATCCCACTAACCAGCTCCTATTTGTATCCTTTTATCTCTCATTTCGAAGAACTGGTAAGTCACGATTATGATACAGTTAGTTAGTGGCTTGTACACGCACTCATCACGATCACTTTACTTCGTTTATTGACGTCTCCAGTGTTACAATTCAATGGTAAGAACACGATTTAGAATGAAATTTGGAATATCTACCATAAAACCTTTTCAATCCAATGTGCTGAATTCATTTCAGATTGATAAGATAACTTTGAAAACTCAAGAGGCATGTGAAGTACGCTTATGTTGTCCTGCTTAGCCAAAGTGTTTTCTGAACTCTACTGATAAGCGCACTTCTTAATAGTGACGTATTTTTGCTCGTCTGCACCCATCTCGACAAAATCCATATTTACGGTTATTCACTGGGAGCTTTCAACTCCCCATTCAACGTCTTTGCAACAGTCTTGCTGTAGAAAATACCACTGCTTACTTCCTCACCACTATTACGCTCCAAACGGACAGCTGTTTGGTGGGTCTAGCTGTCTCGAGCAACTGTTATAGCTCAGATTGTTGTATCTGCAGCAAAATAGATCTCACTAACTTCTACGTCCCGAACTTGGTAGTTTTTAACTTCGACAGTGTTTCAGAAACAATTGAAGCAAGGTGGTAAGTCTTCCGTTTACTTGCTGTGCGTTTTCATTGTTCTGCTCCTTTTATCTTCATCTGTTTGATAATATGCCTGGTAAAAGTGTTCTGACTCCAAAAAAGGAAAGGAGTAGAAATGTTATGAGTACAACCTCGCCACAGTTACTGACCTCCTCTTTTTCGGTAGTTACTAGGGCTGGAGCCACGAGACTCCAAAACCTGGCACAGAAAGCGACTGAGGATACGAACGCACCACCCAGGCCCACCTCAGCCGAACGGTCACAGCCACGGCTCGCAGCACTCGAAGTTAGTCATGCAGCCAGTCCTCCCGGCACTGTAAACGTCATTATTCCCAGTCAAGTAAACACAGAGCCCCATGCTATTCCAATTACCTAGATGATGCCTCAAAAGCGTATGGTCTACTACACTTTGTGCATAGACAACTGGGCGCCCTCACCCTAGACCTACAATCTCCAAGCTAACGGAGGATACGTGGTGACTTAATAATGGCTCACAAAATAATGAGTAACCCAATTCACCTAAACAGGGGAATCCTACCGAGTGGCCACTACGGGGATCCTCGAGGAAACCCTGACAGAACAGCCCACCAAAGGTCAAAAACGCATATGCGCTCACGGTTTTTCTCCCTTCGAGCCTGCGGGTACTGGAAAGCCTTTTCAGCAGAGGTGATTTCTCCCCAATTGTTGAAAGCTTCAAGAAGAGGTTAGATAGTCACGCAAATTCACGGTCTACCCACGCATAGCTGGAACACGAAGTGATGTCAAGCCACCCCAACCAGTTTCCCCTCTGTTATAACCATTAAAACCCTTTTCACCCCTTCCACTCGCCATAAGTTAGCCTAACACACATGAGTTCTTCATATCTTTGCATCCCTACTCACTTTACTTGGGTGTAAGTAGGGTACTCCATTAGTTCACTTTTCTTCTCCTCTTTTACTCACGCAGACATTTTCTAGGTTTTCTCTTCACTATCCCTAACACTCTCTAGCAACCAGTCCGAACAACTGTCTGGCAACTTAACATCTGAAGAAGCCAACTGCACCACAGTCCAAGGCAAACAAACCAACACTTAACTTCCTGTTCTGTAAATCAGAGCTATAGCAGACGAGTGGCTGTATCTGCTGCATCAGAATCCGCCAAAGATCTGGAACCGTTCCGCAAGACCAAGAAGCGAGCAAGAAGAAATCAACTGGTTTACACAAGCTCGTTAAAAAGATATTGGATATTGTATAAATTTGTTCTTATGAATAGCTGTCAAAGTGACTTGTAAATAGCGCCGGCTTGAACTCAGCTGGCATCGTAAAGCCTTCGGTTTACGTGGATACAATGCTGTTTGTTTTACTCGTCCGCACATGCTTTTTACTACTCTCCACCTCCGCATATGCAAAAGCCCACCTATTTACTCTTATGACAATGCTTTGTTGATACTTTTTCACTCATTCGATCCTAAAATTCAAAAGCCTTTTGTTGATATTGCACACTACATACAAAATTCGTTTGTTGATATCAGAACCTTTCTAGATCCGGATAAGATTAAGAATAATGTTGTTTTGAACAATTCTGTGTGTGTTAAGGATGTGACTTCCATCATATACGGGATCATTCGATTGAACAATGAATCGACAAAGTGTAAGTAGATTGCCCCCCGATAAACTCTTCAAAAGGGTTAGATGCAGCTGGGAAAGTTGTGCCTGGTGTGTCTTCAGGCGGTATCAACTGGGTGGGAAGCATGGATCTGTGTCGGAATATCAGTGATTTTAATTACGGTATATCTCAACATGTGAGTGGGAAATACTGCACAGCATTTGTCAAGCTCCCTACACCAACCGATCTTCCTCAAAAATTGGTATGTCAGATTGTCTTATGATATATTTGCCAGTCTTTGGAGTTAAATTATGGAGTATGCATTCCTCACTCTTGCACGAAAAACGACTTATTTGTGCTACTCGACATGGGTTTGTTGAACTTAAGCAATGAATTTGCACAGTGTTATCTAAAGTGAACTTGTCTTTAGATAACTCTACGAGTTTCTGTCATGAAGATGCCGGAGCAGTACCTAAAGATGGTTGGTACTGGGTTTCGATGTAAGTTAGATACAGTGTTATTTAATTTGATATTTCATGGACAGCAGGTTAATTCACTCTTGATTCCCTGCAATACGAGGTGTCGGCAAGTGAAACTCTTTCCAGAGTTAGCTACTGTTAAGTGTCTTTATTTTCTAGGTGGAGATACCTATCAGTACAGCTGTGTGCCGAAGCGTGAAATTCGGAAAAGAACGGCTCGTCATCGCAACGAAGTCAATGCCTGTTTAGCACTTGCTGCTCTGTAATAATAACGGCGATAGTTAAGGGCTTAAATAGCTGGATAGTTTAGCACGTTTCTTAACCAGCCACTTGGCGGTTTCTGGAAAAAGTGAGCCCTTTTTAACTCAGGGATTTAGAAGGGAAGTGTATGAGAGAATTTTTGGTGGGAATTATTACTAGAAAGGTATGGCCTGTTATATAAATGGTATTTGAACTTCAACTAGCCCAAATAAGGAAGCTATGTTATGTTTACCTGTTTCCTTGAAAGGAACGCTGGACTTTATTTAAATCACTCTCGTTTGTGTTCTACATTTTGCAACTCCCCTTGAGGTTTGTTGATGGGTTGAAAAGCAAGATGTGAATTATTTCTAGGTCAAGATATAAATTAACTACTAGTATTACTTTCTACCGGTAAAAGATTTCTTATGCAGATGTTTCCAATTCCGTCATCCAATAAATCCCTATTTGCTATGTTTGGCCAGAATAGTTTGTGCGAGGGATAAGATACTGTTGAGATTTCTAAATCAAAGCAGGCGACTGTTTTATACGCCAATACTTAAGAGTCTGATCCACTAGGTAGCACGGGGGCGCTAGATGCCTCACTTTTAATGTTACTGTTTAGCAAAGTAGGTTTCTACTATGTTCTGCCATCTTAAATCCTGGAGCCTACCGTTGATTTGGAATCAGGGTTATGGAATTGCCATAGGTGCACATTTTGTATTCATTGACCAAGTGATAAGCACCGGACACTTATTTTCAACATCTGATTTCTGTAGGAACTATTATCAATACCGTTTGTGTTATCACTACTATTGCTAGTATTTTCTTCCGACCTTATAAATCTGCCTATAAATTTAGGTGGATCGTTGTTGAGACGCAAGGTATTCTTTATGTGTCTAATTTAAGAATAAATTCGTAAAAAATGTATGAAAATATTAACATTAATAGTGGTAGTAGTAATAGAGGTGTTATTAATAATAATTCTACTACTAGTAGTAATAATGGTGGCAGTGTTGAGGGGAAATTCAAAGCCTCTGCTATGTTACCATACAAGGAAGGCACCTCGGAAGCATTGTGGAGAATTCCCAATAAGGCTGGGATTAAAGTGGTATTCAAACCAACAAACTGGCTTAGAAACAAGCTTTGTAGTTTAAAAGATCCTACTGATGCAATCAAGCAAAATATTCTTGTTCACCAAATCCCTTACAGTGATTGGGAATTCAAATACATAGGTCAAGGTAGTCGACCAGGGTTAATAAGAATAATAGAGTACAAAAGCTTAACTAAATTAAGGTTAGTAGATTCTAATAAGACAATAAATTTCTAAAGAAGCTCGGCTATGAATCTGCACGCAACTACGTACAACCACACAGTAGGGTGGGGTAGAGCGACAGCATCAAAAACTTAGTTGGGTGGGTGGAGGGAGGGATTAGTAACCGAATCTTTGTTTATCGAATCAACACCAAATACACAATGGAAATGATTCTGCACCTATCCCAGACATATAGAAAATTCTACCACCCTTGTCTTGTCAAAAAGAAGGAGAGTAAATTAAGATTGTATAAATTCTGTCTCAGAGATGTGGAGTTACCTGATATGAATATGAACAATAAACTGTGTCCGAAATGTTATCTAGTAAATTATACTGTTTCACTGTGATATTTCGAATCAACAAACTTAACCTGATTTACAATCTGCCAAAGTGCCCACGTTAAGCTCCTGCATTTGTGTGTAATTTTTCTTCTCAAACTGTGTCTATTCTTTTGTCTACGGATTTCGGTGACACTTTTGTTGATAAAATTTGTAGGTTTCGAATTGTCTCGCCTGATTTTTGGCAGGAGAAGAATTTCACGATCTATATTTGGAAGAAGCGAAACCTTGTATCCTATATGTTCTTAATTTATGTTCGATTTGGTAGCAGAACTGGTGGTATATGTTGATTAGTACTAAAGCTTTAAGTTCGTATCCTTAATGAATTTTTATCAACGGTAGCACCGTTGTAGTTACATCATGTACTTGTCCCCTTCTCGAAGTTTTGTCGATTTGTGTGTAAAGAACTACCCTCTGAAAGTTTGGTCCGGTACTAATGACTTAGGCACTTACTGTTAATTTACTTGAGCCTTCAACACCAAGGCATCATGCTGTTTCCTTTTGTGTGTAGTTGTTTTTGCTATGTGCACAAGTAGTTTTGGTAAGTTTAACCACCAAAGCAGTAGGGTGCAGATATTCTAATTACCATTGTTGGTTCCAATATACTTATCGCGTGTAGAATAATGTCGTCCCTCCACATTCGATGAACTTTTTGCTTCACGAAGATTTCGACAGTATTCTGGCAGTTTTCCTAGTGCATTCAACTATCTTAAACTTCACCGTCACTCTAATTTTGTTGCATGTGGAAATAAATTCAGACACCATAACGTCGGCAGATAGTGTATCTGATGCAACTATTAAGTGGCTTATCAGATTCGTACGTACTGAATGTGTGGTGGCAGGTGTTTGGTTTGCAACACTTGATAACTCAGTTAATGCTAAGCAATGAGTAAAGGAATATATCATTTACCCACTGGAAACAGATTCGCGTTCTTGTAGTTAAATTTTCACATAGGCTAATGAACACTTCATATTGTTAGATTGCTAAGGTAATATTGGTCGAAGTTCTTTTTCTTATTTCGATAGCTCGGAAATCATAAATTTCCCCTGGACCCTTCCAGTTTGACTTGAAATAAACAGTTTCGTCTAACTTCAAAATGTATGGACTCGGCTTGCACTGAGGTTCTATATGTTATAGTTTTAGTGAAACCAGCTTCTATCTCATATGTCGGGGTCTTATTCATGACACAACTATTTTTATTTCTTATAGATCCCTATTGCTAATTGTGCTCTCTCTCTTGCTGAGTGGAACAACAGTAGATATAATCATATGGGGCATATGGAAGTATCACTTGTATGCTCAATCCTACGACAGACTGGTAAACAACTCTATCTCAGAAGAAACATCAGCTACTTCAAACGAAGCTACCGTAGTTATTGAGGAGGACACCGGAGATAGAAATCTAACCGAACGAATTACTGCTGTTTACGTAAATCCATATGAGCTATCCTATTCAGAATACCGATCCAGTAAGCCAGCTTGTATTGCATTGCTTCCTGAGGCATTTTGTTTGTGTGATAACAATCCCCTGAGAGGCGGTGTATAGGTCAGTTTTGCTTTTATTAATAACCGGATATCAAAGAGGCTCCACTTAAATTTGTGGCGAAAAATCTAGTCCCTACAGTGCATTTCTGAATAAAGATGGAAAAGCTTTCTCTTACTGTGGGATAGTGAAAAGTGATCACAGGCAATATACGGAGTGCATCGTATCTCCAAGCCAGTTGGTTATCACTGGTAAAGTATTTCTGTGCGGATAATTGATTCACACTCTATAGAAATTACTTCACGTCGGTGTTGGCACCCCCGATTGGAATGTCGAGGTTAGACACACACTATCGATGCGTACTAACGCGCATGATATCTGAGTACAATAGCCTAAGTTACTTCTTCTAAACGTGAAGCACCAGTTTGGCTTATTTGACTTCCAGTCACACTGTCTAAGGACTAGCCCACTATCGTGACCGACAAAGTTTTATCAGTATTGATAGGTGAACAACATAACTATGGTTAGTAATGATGGGCAGTGGCTAGCAGTGGAATCCAGGATGCGCATTTCGTCCTATTTGGGACTCGTCAGCTGGATGTACCTGTCCCCCAGTGAGTGATGTTGTCCCCACCGGGACTTGGACTTGGGAGCGATCGCCTCGAACGCCAGAGCGTTATCCACTACACCACCGAGTCCCGATACCCACTTCTTGTGCGACGGGTATAGGTTTCAGTGTTATGATTGGATTACGTAGTCGTGGCTTGTTGGTATAGTGGATAAAGCTCTGCCGTTTTGAAGCGGTCGCTCCCGAGTCCGAGTCCCGGTGGGAATAACAATACTCACTGGGAGGCAGGTACATCCAGCTGACGAGTCCCAAATAGGACGAAATGTACATTCTGGATTCCACTGCCCATCATTACTATAAATGGTTAAAAGACAGGCAATATCGAGGCATCCGCAGAGGAGCCCATATGCCAACACAGACTGATCAATTGGGTCCAATCAACGACGGTGTAATACAAGCAATAACACTATAACTACGGTTGCTCTTTTGTAGTTAGTCAGATTGTGTGACTCAGTGAATCAGTTCGCTTTTTACGCTCCTAAAACTAACGCAACCACTCTGATCACTACTGATTTGTTAAATGGCGATCAGAAGATCACATTTTAGGCTCCTTTTTAAAGTTTGAGCATTTTTCGGCTACAGTTCCTTTATCATATGATAGCATGGATATGAATCTCTGTTCGGAAGGAGTTTACTTTTTATCTACACGATAAAAATATGAAACGTTATAATGCCACAGATAGGTGATTGACTATCAAAAAGTATGCTGCTGGGTCTATTTTCCAAATTGATTACACCTTCATATTAGATGTGTCTATTTGATATGGCTTACATTGACGCAGTGTTTTTCAAATAATATCAAAAAACTAATCTTATATGGAATTACACTTTTACGACGCCCACTTTCTACACACATTAAGTACATCTTGAAAAATAGTCAGCTTACTGACGGTGGATTTTAATCGGGTGCATATGCACATTCTCTTCAAGTGATTTTTGAGATAGGATTAAATGACTACTCTGGTTACCATGGTTACGGTAGAAGTTGGTAAAACACGGGTTTTTCAGTTTTTTATTTGTCTCCTTTTGATCCTATACAGTCATTGGTCTTTAAATGTTTAGTGAGGAAGCCATTCATCATTAGTATCCATCGTTCTCCAAACTTAGTAGACCCATCTAACATCCATAATATGACGGTAAAAACAAGGCCTGACGTCAATTTTACGGGTTATTCTCTGCTGAGATGGTAGTCTCAATAAATTGCTTTTTCCTTAGAATTACACTGAGTCCTTCAAGAAACTTGGTTATACTGGTGAGGTATGTTGTGCAACGTAAATCTACTGAAATATTTTTCGGCATTTGTGTATGACCCACGAACATACACAGTGCAAAGACCACTTTTCAAAGATTGTTCTTCAGTTGAGTAGTCTTAAGCTTTTGCTTTTGACATTCAGTTAGTTTTTGTATGCTTAGTTTCAGATATCGTTATTACAGTACAGTTTTCGCCTGTTTTAGTATTTTAGATAACCTTATCAATATCGAGCCATACTGGCATATTGTTTGTTTTACTAGTGAGATTTTGACGACTTCAATTGTTTATTCGATGGAGTTTTGCTGCTTCTTATTTTGCTTGCTAGATGTCCTGTCGAACATGAATTTCAGTATTAAATTTATCTCAACCTACTCTATTCCTCATAATGCATGGTATCTATGGCATTCCAAGCCAAGCACATTCTTAGACAAATCAGGTCAACCATGTGAACATCCTTTACTATGTTTAGATGGCATCCGATTCCTGACTATGACTTGGATAATATATGGCCATTGCATTGTGTATTCCTTGCTTGTCTCAAGTAAGTTGCAAACCTATTTTGTCGTCAAAATAAATTAAATGGCATATGTATGCATGTATAATTAGGGAGTCTTACCAGTGAGTTGTGTGCAACATTTCGTAAATGAGACAATGTATGCATTTAAAGTGGAATGTCTCGACTCCATAAAGGGTATGTTCTTCGATGTATTGCAGGGAATCGCCATACTTTTTTCCATTTAACTTAATAGCAATTACTTCTGAATATCTTGGAATCACATGTTTTTGAGCACTGTCCCGATGGATGAAATAACTAATCTAATATATCTGTTTATAGTCACCGAATGAGGTTGGATTTTTGAGAAATATCACCATCAGATTTGTTGTCTCCTTTGATTTTATTTCCAGTAGAATATTGTACTGAAAAACAAACGTATGTATCATTCTAGTTTACTTTGGAAAACGGAGAAACTCTTATATGTTGTTAACTCAGTGCAAGATTTCATTTCTCTTTCATTATTTTTCTTGTTGAGGGAAATATATCAGTTTATAGCAAGATGCATGCTAGCCTTAACTTTGGATTTTGATGGAATATCAGAACGATGTGATTTGCATTTTCGTCAGATTATGACTCCGGTAGTTGCAGGTCATTTAACAGCTGAATATGATGACTTTTACTTTGAACAAGGGCTAAGACGGTCATGGATTTCAAGGTGCTGACACATTATACACGGAACACACAGGAACCCCAGAATTCCGATCATATCAATTCAAAAGCCATATAAAATCACTATTGAATCCATACAGGGTTACAGAGACATGGGTTCCATGAAACGTCATTATCAAATTATCTTATCTGGTAGAATTCAAAAACCACATCGATATCTCAATGTCACCTGTTGAGCTGCAGAAACTTCATGATGAACAAACCTTCTTAGAGAGCAGATAACCTGAAAGCATTTACATACTCTTTAATTCACCCGATAGTCGAAATTTAATATGCTTAAAATTACATACCAACGGTAAGAAAGAAGCAGTCTTTTCGTTATTGCGAGGAAATTCACCTTCGGATTGTTGGTGGAAAAGATGCATAGTCTTTCATAAAACCGTATAGATAGGGGCCTTACCATACTTAAAAAAGTAAGTATTTGAATGTAGAAATTTGCTATCATGATATCTAGTCGACATTTACTGCATCATATTTCACCCAAGATATCAACGTATAGATTTAGCTTAAAATGTTTAAAGATTCATATTACTGTGTAAACGAAGTATTCAAGTCAGTAAGTCATTAGGATAATGGAGATTCTCTTTTTTTGTTATGAGAAAGAAGTAAATTTTACTCCCTTGGGGTTAGCAATTTTCCACCTGAAAACAATCAATTGGTTATTACTAGAATGAGAATAGCACCCGTATGTCAATTCTCCAAACCATATCAGATTGTACTGATTTTGCTAAAGCACGTTGAATGAAGGATCGGAAATATGCATTTTTTATAAAATTAATCTTGTGTTTAGGGTGCTGGTAGGAATTACGACGATGTTCTCTATTTGACTGAAAACTATATTTTGTATCATAACTTGGTACGACTATCTCGGGGGATGATTGTCTTAACGGCTAAATAAATATGTATTAGAAGTTGAAATATAAAAAGTCGGTTATTATTATTATTTATTGTTTATCCCTTGGGTTCCTAGTGGAACATAGGGTTTCAGTAGCACTCTGTTCTCTGCAGTCTTTTGAACCTGGCTCAACGACTGCCCACAAGCTTTCATTTCTTCTTCACACGACCTCCTCCATGTCACCCATGGACGTCCAACTCGTCGTAACACCTTCGGATTCCACTCGGGGGCCTGACGCATGATGTCCCCGAATGATCTCAGTGTATCCCCAATCCATCTCCACTTTCCTCTGCAAATTTGTTAGGTGATAGGTTGTTGGTTGGTTCGTCGCCAGGCCAGAATTCCTTGTTGCTTATTCTTTCTGGCCATCTGACTTTCAACATCGAGCGTAGGTGGCAGCTGTTGATGAATATCTGTAGTTTGTTGGAAATGCTTTTCGTGACGCGCCAAGTTTCTGAACCTTGTAGTAGCACTGACTTGACACTGGTGTTGAAAAGTTGAGGTAGAGATCCAGTTGACTGCCATTCTATACTCTCTTCTCTATGATGATGCGTAGCGTAGTGTCGCAATTCGATCCACACATGATTTGTTCTTCCTGAAGCCAGCCAGCCAGCCAGCCAGCCAGCCAGCCAGCCAGCCAGCCAGCCAGCCAGCCAGCCTGTTCTCGTCGCAGTTTTGAATCCAACACATCATTTGGCCTCTCCAGGATGATGCGGCACCATATTTTGCTTGGTGTGGGTGGACAGGGGGATGATTCCTCACCAGTTCTTACAAAAATTTAGATCTCCCTTCTTTGGGAGTTTGACAAGGTAGACCTTCTTCCAATCAATAAGCAGGTACCTTTCCTTCCTTCCCGACCTTCTGCACTAGTGATGTGAGCATGTCCACTGTTGTCTCTGCGTGTGTTCTCAGTGCTTCCTGCAGGACTCTATCTAGTCCTTCTGCTTTCCCGGATTTCAACAGTTTTATGGCATTCAGGACTTCTTCTTTTGTCGGAGGACTTGTGTTCACTGGTAATTCTATGGCTGAGCTGCTGGTGGTATTTCTGGATGAGTTGTAGGTGGTGGTGGTAGTCGATTCAAGAGTTTTTTGAAGTCGTCAACCCATTGTTTCCTTTGTTTCTCCTCTTTGGTATCCAGGTTTCCTCCACCATCTTTCGTTGGTTTCGTCTGCGTTGATCTCTTCCCTCCCAGATAGTAACCTGGTCATTTGATATAGTGTTGTCAGGTCTCTGCTACCTGCAACCTGTTCTGCTTCACTTGCCAATGTGTCGTAGAAGTGTGTTTTGTCTTTGCGTGCACTCTTCTTCACCTCTTTGTCCAGTGTAGTGTTATATAGAATGTGTTCAGTTCCCCTTCTCGTTGTGCATCCTTGCACTGGTTTGTCTTCTGCTTCACCATCAGCAGCTTCACCACCTCTATCAGCTTCCATGTGTCCACTGAGATCCATTCCTTTTCTTATCTTGCTCCTTCTTCCTTCCTAACACGGTTACGCAGATTTCTTTCCACATCTCTTTCAGAGAGTCCCAGTGTTCTTCCACGTCCGATCCTTCAGGGATGCCGCTCAATGTCTCCCATTTTGTCCTGTTGGCTGACGTGACGATGTCCTTTGTGGTTTTGTCCTTCAGTTTCTGGGTGTTGAACTTGAACTGTGGTCTGTCACCAGCTTCTTCAAAGGCTTTTGACTTGATTTTGAAGGCAAATTCCTTGCACTAGATAGTGAGTGATCTGGACCACCTACATCTGCTCCCTTTCTTCATCTGATCTTGTGTTCAGTAGGCTGAGTCTTCACTCTCTTGAGATTGACATGAAGTCGATTTGATTTTTGTTGTGTTCATTTGGTGAATTCCATGTCGCTTTGTGAATAACCTCGTGTTTGTAGACACTGCCTTCAATCACCAAATCGTTGAATGCGTAGAAATCTGCAAACAGTTCTCCGTTCTCATTCATTTCACGAGTACTTCTCGACCCATGGTTAGTTCTCTTCCTGTGTTGTCCGCTCCCAGTATCGCATTCATGTCGCCCAGTAGAATTTTGATGTCGCCAACTGAGGTCTTGTCCAGTGCTGTTTGTAGTTGTCTGTAGAATTCCTCCTTCTTCTCTTGATCTGCATTATTTGTAGGTGCATGGCGTAGCATTGTATGATTTTGACTTTCCTTCCCTTTGATTCGAATCTTGCTGTCATGATCCAGATGGTGGAGTAGATTGGTTCCCACTGTATGAGAGCCTTCGATGGTGTTGGGGACATCATGATGGCCACTCAAAGACTCAGTGTGCTGTGCTCGTGGTTGTCGTCTGGGTGACAACATCGGAGTAGATTATTGACTCCTCTTCAGTTGACAGTTTGGAGAGTCCACCTCCATTCCACCTGCTTTCGCAGATTCCTAGCACTTCAATGTGGCACCTCCTCATCGTCTCTTTTGCAATCTGAGCAGCCTTGTTATGTTCAAACATGGTGCGGACATTCCATGTCCCCATGCTTACTTTTGCTTTCATTGAGGGAGAGAAGACAGATCGGCCGATTGGCTTGTCGAAGTCTTTTACCGACCGGAGTCATTTCGTCTGCCCTGTTCCTGCGAGGAATAAGTTTGTTTTTATATTTTATATTTTATTTGTGCTTTGAAGTTTGTTTAGCGTTTGGATTGGTTTTCTGGGGTAGGGGTAGACCTATGCACAACCTTCCCTCTTTATCCGGGCTTAGGATCAGCTAGTAACTAGTGAAATAGTTGAACACGCGAGGCTAATAAAGCTGGTATGTGTTTATATTTCAGGAATATTAAAATACCAGAGGCTACACGTACTGAAACCCTCAAGTTAAAGTGAATATGTAATGGTGATATAATTAGCGTTGTCTGACCTTCAGATAAAAAACAGGTAATCAAATGTAATACGTAGGTGAGTGTGAAGTAAGTGTGGCCGTAGACATGGGGATGCTGTCCTATTCACTTCAAAGGTATTCTTTTGAAATCTGAGGATGCTCGTATAAGAATGAATGATTTTCCGAAATGTCCCATGCAGTAGATCTCAGCAAATACCGAAACGCGTGTATCATTTCACTACTTATTTGAATAAGCAGTAAAATCGACTAAATACTACCACTCTTCCATTTACTGAAGTGGCAGATTTCGACGACAGAATCCTTCAATCTTAAAGTCGCCCAAGGATTTCCACTTGCCATAAAGCTACATAGTTGAAAAATCTCTTCTTTTTGTAAATGAGCTTGAAATTCGCTTATCCGACATCACCCTGCTTTCATGCAAGCGAAACTTGTCCACAGAAAGCCTATTCCAAATCTCGTTTGGCAGTAGAATTAAGTTTTAAGTCGTTTCTTTTTCTTTAAATGGCCAGGAAGGAACGTTTATCATGTTGTTGTTGGTGTTGTGTTTATCTCATAACTTATAGTCATTTGAACCTACTCAGCTGAAAATGATACATTTAGTAGGTGACCGCGTGCCCAAGTGTATATCCAGGTTCTTTTACTTTGCAGTCAGAAAGAGAAAGTCATCACCTATCATGTATCCTGGTAAACATAGTCCGAGGACACATTTTCGCTATCATTGAGAATTTAAAGAAAATATGATGTGCTTTTCATGTTGTTATTTGGTTCCTTTTCCGCAAACACAGTCTATTTCACATAGTTTCAAAACATTTTTGAACCATCTCTTTTAGACAATTCCTTGCTGTATGTACAACTTCACTCTCGTAAATGGACATACCAAGTAATGGTCAGCGCAACATTGTCTGTGGATACCTTTTTCTTCATGTCGTACGTTATTAAAATTTCCCTTAACATCTACATTTTGTGCTAGTTTTTGATAAGCATTTCCACTAAATCAAGGAAATTAAGATCAAAGTAAACCCGTTTATTGCTAAATATTCATCAGTTATTGCTTATTGTGTGTTCTCTGGGCTGGGTTGTTCAATCGTGGAGCTTTCATCCTCTTTCTAGACAACACAATCAGCAGTAACTTCAGTATGAAGTGAGCTATCGATATCTCTCCGTAAGTGATCCATTAGCTTGGCCTGGCGAAGTGCTTTGTGATTGGCTATCTCCTTTCATTGTTGTGTCATTGACTTCATAGATTTTTTTGCTGGCTGTTCCTCTGGTTGACCTCTGACCCTTCTGATGCTCATCATTCTTCTTCTTTTTTGATAGATTGGGTCTGTGTCTGTATATCTATTGCTTGCTGATTGACGTAAATGAATGAAAGAACGTGAATGAATTCTCTGATATTCTTCGTGCTTCCTCTGTCCAAGTTTGTTTGGCAGTTAGATTGGTTTTACGGGGTAGAGTTGCTAGACTTATGCCCAAGTTTTCCTCTTTATCCGGGCTTAGGACCAGCTAGTGACTAGTGAACTAGTTAACCAGGCTAGGTTGTCAGAGGGGATGGCATATCGCTAAGCACTTCACCAGATCAAGCTTATCGTTAACTAGCAAAAATATATTGATAGCTCACTTCATATTGAAGTTATTGGTGATGGTGTCGTCTGAAAAATGATGTAAGCTCCACGATTAAACAACCCAGCCCAGAGAACACAATACATGAAGGTCACCCACCTGATGCAAAAATATTCTTCAGCATTTTATATTCATGAGTTGGATGCTGCAAATACTTCCTCTGATCTGTAAGTTTGAAAAGTGCAAGGGCAACACTTGAGCCCAAATGATGTGAGCTAAACCTTGATTTTCCGATTATCCTGAGCCACCTTCAACCTAAACAACATGAAAGTGTACGCACCTAAAAATGGTTCGAAACTTTGTTTTGTAAATTTTGACTTTCTCTTATTCTGTTCTGCTTCAAATCACACCCTTGTGACCGTAACAGTGTTCATCGGATTCTGTCAGCTGATAGGAATTGGTTGTTGTTTTACAGTTAAATCACCTTTGATGTTAGCATTCGACTGCTAGGGCTTCGTTGTTCCCATCCGCTTCCTAACCACTCTCAGCAATATTCACTATGAAGAGATAACCTACCTGACATTTCATCAAGATTTCTTTTCTTCGACTGGTCTACTGCATCCCCAATACACGTTGCCTGTGTTTCGACCAATGGATTCCCGTCAACTGGACGAAAGTAAATTATTTCTACAATGTGTATACCGTGGTATTGTTTTCAACAGTAAGCAGCTGATTGTTATCAGATTTCACATGTTCTTCTTACTCAGTTTCATTTCATTTTGTCAGTTATTGGTAGTAAATTAATTATCACGCCGATTACATGGGTGTTAAGTCATTCACATGAATCATTTCTGTAACTATTTTCAGTTTTTATTCTCCGCATCACTTCAATTTTTATGCTATCAGGCACTACTTCTAACCTCAATACAGCAAGCCCCACTCAGTGTTTACTTCAGAAACTTACCTTAATTTACCAAATAGTATTTCATTTAACGCTGAATTCCCAAACATTTTTCAAGTTGTTTAAAATAGTTTAATCGTATATCGTTTGACATAACCTTTCTGTTAGTGCCATTATTTCCCGATTAACATGAATATATTTTAGAGGGTTGTTATCCACATATTTGACTCTTCCAAAACTTCGGAGAATTTGTGGTTGGAGAAACTGGTTCAAATTTTGGTGTGGTTTTACATTTCATCGTATTATTCGGTAAGTATATTCTTGAATATACAACGAGTGACTGAAATATTTCAAGTGGTCGTGTAGAGGACTGTCTTCTGGGAATAAATGGAGCCATAAAATGTGTTGCTCATCAGAGAAAAGAATTGGAACTGGTGTTGCAGGACATGGTTCTACTTTAATAGTTGGTAGAATATCTCTGTTTAGCGGGAACTTTAATTTTTCCCGAAGCTCAAAATATTTGGCATATCGTTTCTATAGCTACTTGTTGTTTCAGTATGGAATAAATTTTGGTAATATACGAGAATAGGCATATTCATTTTCACAGTAGTTCCCATGAGCGGACTGAGAAAGGTTATCAGAAACCAGGAGGTAGTAGGTTGTCCACTCATCTTCGCCATCTACTGCATTACAGTGAATCGACTGAATGTAAAATCCAGGGGGTAATCTTCCCAGAGTTATCAGGAATCCGAAGTGCACAAAGTGCATGTGGTCAGTTCAAATTGAAGTGAACTAGTGTGGTGTCATGCTCAGCATTCACTGCTGAGAAGATTCAAATCAGGATGAAAAGGGTTTCCAGAACTTCCATGTTTTCCAAAATTCAATCCTTAATTTATTCTTATATTTCTTTTTCAGAGAAAAGATTTTGTACATTTGTTTTATTTAATACTATTTATGCCCAAAATAGATTGAGTTTCCCTTTAAACTGAATCCAGAGAGCATATAGGTTCATTATTGGCATTTATAATTTCTTCAGTGGGATGTGACAAATGTATGAACAAAGTATGTACGATTTGTGTAACAGTTAATGTTGAAAATTGTAGCTAGTTAAACAGAAAAGAATAGCGTGTTTACTTGGAGAATATATATGTATGTATGTAACTGAAAGATAGTTTTGATTTCTACTGTGAAGTGTCTAGAAATCGACGATAATTATGTGAAATCTATTTTTCTCTTCCTTTTTTTATTAACTTTTCTAGTTTGACCCCAGCATATCTTTTAGTCCTAATCCTATATACTGGTTTGTTTATTCATGCTTATTCTGGACCACTGTATCCACAAAATCCTGAATTATTGGACATCAAATTCTGTCGTGATCACTGGTGGGTAACATATCTGAGTAACATGATCTATTCAGAAGAACTAGTAAGTCATGCACAGCTTGAATACTGATTATTCTATACTCTGTTATTAAATGTAGTTTAAATTGATACCCTCATACAAGACCGGACATCACTGGGTATGCTTTACACATTTTATAAGGATTACTGGTAATATGAAACTATAAGTTTTTTGCTGTCTCACTCAAGCTCAATGGGATCTACTGTCTTAGGATTCTAGATTCTGAAAAATTGAGAAATGAAAAATATTTTATCAGTTGTGTTTTTGTGAGCTTACAGATGACACTGAGTAAAACAAATTTGCAAATCTTCAAGTCACGGGTGGTATCTTGAAATCTTTGAAATAACTAGCAAACACTTATCTAGAAGAAATGGCATACACGCCAACAATTTTTAGAACCGTTTGTTTCGACCTGTATATAGCAGTTTTATTGAGACCTTATTTATAACATATTATATAACTTTGGTGCGAGATTCGAGCCCTAGGTTTCATCCTAATTAGTATTATTGCAGATCTGCAACACAAAGGAAATAGAGAACCGCATTTTGTTAGCCATACTGGATTCAATCTGCACTCAGGACTAGATAGCGTGAAATTAGTTGCTCTTCCTTGACCAATCAATACGTGCAAACCTGTCCTACTGGAGGTCAATCGTGGCCCGAATCTCCCACTGGTGAAGTCTTGGACTACAACACTGGGTGACGCGGGTTCGAATCTCAGGCGGCACATCGGTTCCATCGAGGTTGCTAATACCCTTTGCTGACGAATGACAACAAACACGAAACCTAGGTTCACGGCTTCCTGCCAATTGCCCCCAACCAACTAACATATAATAACCAAAAATAAAAATAGAGTCAATAACATTTCAAAAATTACAAGTGAGAATGTTAATTTAATTTCGATGGAATGGATTAATCTATTCATACTCCTAGTTCAAAAATCTCAATCATGGTTAATAAAATTGAACTTTTACGGGGTTAAAGTATACTTTAGAGTCGAAAGTTTGCATCTAAAATGACATATTGAAAGGTCATTTTACTTTGCAAAATATATATCAAAACTAACTAGATCTTAGATACATATCATCTGTGTATAAATTTCACTGTATCTGAAATAAAATAGTTCTGGAGTTCCACCCGGAGGTCTGGTCCAAACTTAAGAGAAATATTCGAAATTTACGTATAAGAGAGATAAAAATGAAGTCGAAATCCTACATTTTCCATCATTGTTTCGAAACATCGTTACCGGCCATTTAATGAAAAACTGTACTTAGATCACCTAAATTTTTTCATTTACTTAAAATTGTAAAAAGGGGTCGAATAGCTAAAAAAAAACATCATCTTCGCGTTTCAATTTCATTCACTTGGTTTGTTTGTAAGGTTTGAATTTTCTTACTGTTGTTCAGTTGTATGGTGCAGCAGTTTGTGCTTACATTTATTTATCAGTGACATCTGCCTTGTTTCAGCTACTTCAAAGTCTGTACACTAGACACTGAGTCAAACCTATCACATATGGATTATGAAAGTGATAACTACCTGACCATAGGTTGATAGGATGCAGTTTACATCCTTGATCAACTGTTTGAAAGTTGTGTGTTTTATTCAATGAATTAGGCAGTTTTGCACCAAACCTATTTGGCATCTTAGTAACTGTTAGGTTTGTCATTGTGGTAAGTAAGTGATGCTCCATAATCAATATGCAGAAGGTCATGATCTATGCTGCAAACATTATCTGTAATTTTGTAAGTATGATAAATATTTGTTTTCTTGGGTCTGTTTTGAAAGGGTGCATTTAACACATATAACTAGGTAGTCATAAATCCAGTACTAATTTCAATAATTCACAGTTTCACACCCATTCATAGTAAGTTTTTCATTTTTCAACCACTTACTCAAAAGATATTTAAAACATAAAACACTATCCAGCTGTTCTTAGTGTAGTGCACAATTTAAACTTTTTCACTTTGTTCAGTGTATGAAGGTCTTACAGTGTTCTTACTTTTTTCGGATGATATATTTTAGTGCATGGGTTGGTCGTGGTACTTAGCAAATGAGTTACAATTCTCTCTTGTATTAGCGCCAATATTTTTATCGTTAATTATATGGTAAGTAAATTTCGACATTTTTAGTGGCATATGTTAACTTTGGATGCGTGTGTGTGTATGTATTTCTTGGTGTTGCCCAGAGAAGTAAGAAAAGGGGTAGTTAAAGTGTAGTAGAAGTAGGGTATTTAGAATTGCGAGGACGCATTGCAATGAATCCATATGGTTCTGTTTTATTAAATAAATTCTTAGTTGTTTAAATCAAAACATAACAATATATATTAAGTTTAGAATAACCCAAGTTATCTATTCAATCTTTTCAATCTGCGGAAAATCAGTTAATGTAATGAGATATCTGTGGCTTCATCGTATCAGATTATGTACATATACAACTATAAGACAAGTTTAGGAACAATGGCAGGACTAGCAAGTTTATTCACAGAATGGAGTGCTCATTACTCATCTCGGCAATTATATACGTTCATATTCAGGCAAACTGAACACTTAATAAAACTTTATAAAACCGGAATGGTACATAGTCTCTTTCTATGGCTCACCAAAGTATGGGTGCTTTATAAATGATGGATCACTACACGCTAGCAATACCATGGATACACACATGAGACTTAGTACCTTTGATTTTATCCCTTCCATCTTCAACGTTCATTTCTGAGAGCTGAAAATTAAGATACAATTGGCATCTCCAGCAGGATTGGAAACAAAACATTAGTTTTTATCATAGAATGACTTCGGCTAGCAAACCACTGAAAACCTAGGAAATCTAGACATATGTTTCGTCTCAGTTAGGGACTAGTCAGCATTGCAACTCCATTTAAATGGAATAAGAATGATTCAACACCAGTTTCAGATATGTGAAATATTCTATTACTTGTATGATAAAGAAGGAAAGAGTACTAGAAATGTAATGCAGTAAATAAAACTGCTTAAATGTGTGATAAACCTGGTAAAATAACTGAAATACAATTTCATTTTATCACATCTTGTATCACATTCATTCTGTTATGCACAAGTTGTCTCATGGTTGTCAATAATTTATTTTTTCATAGAGTTAAGTAACTCGTGACTTTGAATCATACAATACATGCCGTCTTAGTCTTGATGTCTTCAGGATGGTTTTTAGAGGTTACTGGGTTAGAAGATAACTCTCAATGTTTCAAGTAATGAGGGTATTTCACACTGATTATGAATATAAATGGAACTTTTCAATTTATACTTTCTGTGGTAGGAGTAGTGAGAATGTTAGCTGTTGAAGTAAAGTACTTTTTAAAATGTTTTTCTGTGACTAAATAATTATTTGGAAAGCATTACCAGATATTTCAGTATAACTTAATCTAAAGACGGTGAAATCTAAACCAGCCCTGTAAGGGTAGGCTGATGTTTTGGTCCACAGACCACAATAAATTTAGGGTCCAAAGAAACTACTTCTTTGTTCAAGTCAGGGAGCATCAAACGGCGTTAAACCCGAGACTCATTACTTGGAAGATCTTGATCCCAAACAGTAAGCCAGTACTAACAATTTGACCTTATTCTCATATTATATCATCTCTGTCAATACTCATTTCTAATAGCTGGCTTTTGTCGTCGCAATCCGTTTGATGTTGTTTTGCCTAGTAAAGATCCCCGGTGTCGTCATCGCTACACGGAGTAGAATTAAGAGGAAGCTTACAATTGGAATAAAAAGAACCCGTAATCTACAGGAATTAGCCATTTGGTAAATTAAAAAATAAGGCATAGTGAACTTTGATTTTTCAATTCATAATACACTATTTACCTTTTGAAACAAAAATATTTAATATGTTTCCCTAAACATTTCTATTTAATCTTAATTTGTACAGCAAAGAAGCTGTCGGTGTCGCCTTTGGGATTGGGCTTGTGATTTCCAGTGTGGCAGCTACATATGGTATTTCTTATGCAAATGATTACTTACCTGGTGCTCTTTCAATGTAAGCTGTTATTCGCGTTGAGAATAATGGGACGATAATTTTTGATTTCGGTGCTTTTTTTTAAAACGAGAAATCAAGAGAACCAAAGATAAAGTGTAACACTGCGTATGCTGCACTTAATTTTTATCCCAGGAATTTTAGGGAGAATTTATAAACTAAGTCTTGATTGTGACAGAGTTAGGTAATAACTTCGTAGATGAAACATAAAATAAGAGATCTTAGAATTGTCTTATCCATTTTAAAAGACGTTGAGAACCTAACGATGTATTCTGTTTCGCCACCACAACGAAAAGTGTTCTCTACGGTGATCCAACGAAACTTTAAGTTAAATAGATCCTTGTGTCATTGTAAAGGCTTCCACTCCACCAATTGTAACTGGGCTTAACTTGTAGAAGTAGAAGATCATAAAACCATTTACTATTACCTGCTTGTCCATGAAGTTGGTGGTGATGATTTCACTCAACCTGGTGATAAAATGTTTAAGCCTAAATATTAGTTCTCAGAGCACACCAAAATATTCCTTTTTCGGATACTGAGCTAAAACGTTTCTCTTATCTCATGGTCAAGTTACTTTTATAATAGTAGTACACTGAGAGATACTGATAAGGATGGATATAAGTAGTGTATACGGCAACGTGGAAAGTGACAACAATGGATGGGTGAGAAATCAGGCAAAAGAAATAATTGAAATCAAGTGACGACACGAAGCACAAAAAGCAAGCTTAACAATATACTGACGGGGAGATAATTTTCAAATAGATAAATTGTTGCTACGTATAGATGTTTTATCAATATAGGCTGTATTTTGGTCAGCTGCAGACGTAATTGTCTATTATGCTATTTACTGCGTAAGTAGTAGCCAATCGATGTCTTGTGTAGCTGAAACGCTAAATGATATATCCCTAAATCTTGGTAGAGATATTGATTTGACCCGTGTAGCAAGTGCTGCTTAGTGATTGTTCGTGTCCATCTTATGACGAGTGTATTGCATCTTTATTCTGCTAACTGAAATACTAACACTCATTTTTTATCATTAGTGAAATTCAGCTAATTCTTGTGAATTTTAATAGAATTAACAGGATAATCCATTCTTGGATTTAATTGTATAATCTGTCAAAGTTTTGCCTTTCAATTCCACAGTACATCATTCACAAAAATTTATGTGAAACCCTATACACGCTGGAGTACTTATGCTATTGGTCTTTTATGTGGCTGGTTTCTTGAAAAACACATTAATATTTTAGACGTAAGTCTAAAATTGTTATAGACTACTGAATACACTTTTACTTTGAAGCAGTTTATCCCTTTGATAAATTTGCATGATATAGTTAGTAGACAGAATTTGTGTGAGGAATGTAATGTATCTGTGAAAGACATCTAGAACATTAGCTCAGTGATAAGGTCTTTGACTGGAACACTGGATGATGCGGGTTCGAGTCTCAGGGGGGGATTTCAGTTTCATCAAGGTTCCAGGTACGCTTTATTGAAGAGTGCCATAACCCACGACACTTAGGTTCAGGACATCCTACAGATTGCCTCCATTTAACTAACATCTTCCTGAAAGCATCACGATGGTCAGTCTCCAATCACGGTAACCACACTATAAAATAATCAATAGAACTAGATCAGGACTTAGGGCTAAACAACATGAATTTGATTACCCTTCAGCAACCAACCTTGTTTTGTGTTAATTTCTTTATTCAATTTTCATCTCTCATTCAAAGTGCGTTGACAAGTAAATGTGTGATTACGCTGATAGGTCACTGGAGAGTATTGATGTTTGATTTGCAAAATAATTGCCGTTTACATACTGAGTTACAATTCTTGTCTAATATCTAGATTATTTGAAATTGATAAAATCATTTTCTTTTACCCAACATATTTTTCAGCAAAAATCAATGTGGACAACATTCTTTTTTTTTCAGTCTTTATCTAGAAAGAATAAAGCTTTTGTATTCTTGGCGGGCATGATCACTTCAACAGTATTTTGTTTATCCACCGTTTATGGTTTGTATGGACTGCTAAGCGGGAATATCCAGGCGTTTTCAACGTCCGAATCTGCAGCTTACACAGCGTTTCATCGGCCAGTATTCATTCTCGGTGTAGCCATTATTGTGTCTATGTGTGCTCTTGGTTGTGGTAGTGAGTATACGTTTCATATATATATATATATATATATATATATATATATATATATATAATTACCACATCATAACATTAATGGGACTATCTTTATAATATTGAATCGTGATGATATAATTTATAGATTATAAACTTACTTCATATTTTTCTTAAAAAGAAATTTCCTACTGTAGCTAAAAATTAATGCAGTAAATAACAGGAATAGTGAACAGAATTGTATGGTTTCGAATTTTTGTGAAATTAGCTGTTAGTTTAGAATGTCGATGACCATGGTGTCTGATATTTAAGGTTAGTTAAAAAGGTTCTCAATGCTCTGACTAACTGATTTTTATTTCCACTGATCTCACAGAATAAAAGATGTAAGAGACTAGTTGAACACTTTTCAGAAAAAAGTTGATATATTTATCTTTTACTCACTTCCTGGCATTTTCAGTCAGTAAAGTTCTTTTATCAAGCTACTGTTATGTAAGTTAACTTTTCCTAGTATTTGTTTATTCTACAGGTCCAGTTCGTTCACTACTTGCCTCGTCTATATTTCGTCTTCCTGCACGTTTAACATTTACAGCCTATCTTGTACATCCGATCGTTATTCAATTCATTGTTATGGGTAGTCAAGCCCCAGCCATACTAGATGACCTATACTTGGTGAGTTTTCATGGTGGTTTAAGTAACAGGTTGTTACCTATACTGAGAGTCTTCTTTTATTTATAGCTGTCTGCAAAATATTGTTAGTCATCATTTTATCAAGGAAGTTACTCACTTAAAAATGGTGATGAATTTTTGTCAGTTTGAGACTTGATTCGGATCCACAACCCTATCGACTCACATTTTCCTTGAAACCTCATACCTAACATCAGTACTGTTCATTTGATTTTTACATAACATGTGAGTGACGCTATAAAGTCATACGTGTTCAAAATTTTACAAACGTTTTATGCCATTATCTTCATTAGTTGTCTTACAGTCACAAGACTCAACAGCTCTTTAGATGGCACATTTTGCCAGAAGGTCAAATGAAAATTCTATATCCATTGTGGGTTGTTTCGTAATTATTCAGTTAGAGCTTATGTTTATTTTTAAATAAGTGATGATCTGAACCGCCTCACTTCATATCAAATTCTATGAGTAAAATATACCCTTGCAATGAGTTTACATTCGCAGGTGTGACGTGTCGTTTATTCTACAATGCTTACAGATAACATTCAGAAACTTGCATCCTCCAAGACGATAAATTTTGACTGTAGTGGGTTGATGAGACATTACATGGGAGAAAAAGAAGTTGAACGCAGATAAATTTACGTCCATTAGTACGTTTGCAAAACAATGACCGCAAGTTGTTAGTAATGACAGTTCTTAGTTGACATTCCTGGTCATTGTAATCTCAAAGAAAAATATCCCCGAAGAAAAACCACTCTGAAGTTTCAAACCATCATGCTTACGGAAAATATTGTGCCGTGTTCTACAATGTTATAGCACAACAGTGTCAAAAGGTCTCAGCAAGGGATTATAGTTAAGGTCAATATTTGGTAAATGACGTACCTCAAAACCCAGAGAGCTTGAGAAGCGCTTGGTCTCATGACGCACCCGAAAACTTTGTTTTCGAATAAAAGAAACCTAGCGGGAAAGCTTTTCCCTTTGGGAAATCATTTTCACAAACTTTATATTCGTATTTATAGTTACAGTAAGAAAATTCATCTGTCAGTGGCTTACGGGCCAACACAAGGTCATCGAAAACTTGTTTATAGGAGGTCATCGAAGGTTTGTTTTATAATATAGTCAGTCCTTGATGAATACTACCTTAAAATAAACAAAACTCTCATAAATCTCAAACCAAGTAGCGGTACAGTGCTCATTAGTGATATGGTTTGAGATGAATATCCCGAACTTCTAATGTGATCCCGTGAACTCGGGTCAGTTAGAAGTGTAGCGGATATCAACTGATGACGTTTGTGGATAACTATTCTTCGTTGTTAATCGATAGAAGTAAACAACTGTAGATCATTGAAGTTCGACTTAATGAATGGATGATTAGCACGTTCGCCACAAGACCTGAGGGTCTTGAGTTCTATCCCTGTTGGAGTCAATGGCTCGCACTACTGAGGAGCCCTACACTAGGACAAAACAGCTAGTCAGTTTTCCCAGGTTTTCAATGATTCCTCAACTTTTGTTAGTCAGTGATGAATAATCCCTCGTTATATTGTAGTAGTTATTTGTTTGTAAAATTATAAAGGGATTGGATAAAAATCACCAAAATAGAAGACTTAAAAAAATACAACAGTTTAAATTAAGAATTACAGTGTAAAGAAAGGATAAAAATAACAACGTTGAGCGACAATTAAAAAACATGAAAGAATTTCATGTAAGATTATGAGATAAAATGAGAGAGTGAACATACCTCTTCTGAACAAAGACATCAGGTTTGAGCTAGTGAATTTCCCAATTTTCTGTTATTTTCGGGTGGAGAGTCCGTACTCCCTACGAATTGTTTAATTAAACACCGTCTACTACTCTAAAGTAAGATTCTGACGAGGTGATGAGCGGAATTAATGAGACTTTGAATAATTTAACATTTGACTAACTTACATTCTCCTCTAAAGAGCGATGTAGAATAGTGTTTAGAGAAGCGTTCGGATAGAATACGCCTTGTACGGTCCATGTAACCAGCTCCACAAGGGTAGATGAATCGGTAGACATTAGTGGATGTTTCTAAAAGCCACAGTTTATCCTTCACACGTTCTCGAGTTATTTTTGGATAGGAAAAAGCAAATAAGGAGTTGAGCGCCAAAAAAAATACAGTCACCTTGCTATATTAGAAGCCATTTTTTTTATCATCTTGGATCACTTGTGTTGAAGTACATATTTTCTTGTTTTAACTGTAAATAAGGATGTACATATTTTGGAAATGATTTCTTCAAGGGAATTTTTTCTTTTAGTAACATTGTGCTCTTTTACTTAAGGTTTGCACTTGACTACGAAATAACTAAAATGGAAGGAAATGTTTATGATATCATTAATCTGTATTTACCTTATCATGCATCCTTGAAAGAAATATTGCACCAGAATATATCAAATGATCAATTGAAATTCGTCCACTGTTAATCTCTTCCGTTCGATATTTCAATTTCGATAAACTTATGAGCTTTTGAGCTCTAAACTCAGTCGGTGACATCAAAAGTGCTAAGAATTAGAGTTAGACAAGTGAAAGTAGTGTTGCATATGAATTCAAGGAAGCAATAAAAACATTTTCAGCATAATATGCAGCAATCTGAAAACTGAAGTTACCCTTTAATTGTTGGATACCGCTATGCTCGAAACAGTTTTCATTCCAGTTTCTGCTTTGATTTTATGTGTCAGACATGTGGTTTTCATTGCCGTCATTATTCTTCTTTACCCCTTTTTATCAATATATTAAAATTGTTTTGAAAAGTATACACAATTGTGTTTGTTGGGACAACGACAAACAATATTAAAAGTAATGGCATGTGAATAACATGTGACTAAATGCTGCTCATAGATTTGCAATAAACTACTGTGTTAAGTAAGTACAAGTGTGAATATCTTCTTTGACTTCATCATGTTTTACGCCTATGCCATGAAGAATTCAATCAAAACAATGAGGATGATTATTATTTGTAAATTTATCATGTAAAAATAATGGAATGTGTTAATTACTTGACATGATGCCATTTATTTAGAAACATTTACATTGTGATTTAGGCATAGCTATAAAATACACTGGAATCTGCCATGGAGCAAAAGGTTTATATTTTGACTTCTGATATTATATTTAACCGGTATTAAGTAGTAACTCATAGTAATAAATGTTTTGAGAAATTCTTTTTCAATATAAGTCTGTTACGCATGTGGATCTTAATTAGTTATTAGGCGAGCTGTTAAATTTCAGTGTCGAATTGTTGCTAAAAATGTGACTAGTTGAAACAAAACACCTATAGCGAAACACGAATACGCCAAAACTTCATTTAAAATCTATAAGAAGTGAGTCTGTGCTGTTAGCCTCCACTGAGACCCATTTAAGAGGTATGTAGATAGGTGTTCATTCACCTCAAACATTTCAGTCCCCTGAGCTGTTTTTTAGTTATAATGTATTCATTTCAGATGAATTAATAAAAAAATGAACACACTATTTGTCGCCAGGTACAAAAAGCATCATCTGCAGGTGACAGAGACGATGTCCTAGAAATGGGAAGTAGAAAAAATAGGCTATTTCTCAATGGTCTCAATGTAAAGCTCCATCCTCTTTAACATACTCCTACGGTTGAAATTGCTCTTTACAAAGGAAAGAAAAAATGGTAATTTTTTAGTCCACGGATTCCCTTGCCTCATCTAATAAATAGCGGAGTAACAGCAGTAACTTGCTTCATGAATACTCAGTTGCTGTCAGAAAGTATAAGTAGCTATGTCACCTACATACACCTTTTGACATTAGTAGTATTTTGACAAGTCGACTAAACTGGACAGCTGAGAAAGACATGCGTTAGAAAACCAGATATTTTCTGACGTGTGAATTCTGTCTCGTGATAAATTTAGTAAATTCTAAACGTTTTGAAATTAGTGGCGCGTCTGTGAAGTAACTATTGAATTTTTTACCGATGGAAATCAAAATGCATTGCTGGTCAACGTTCTTCAGATATCTTAGGCAATCAACCAACATTGCCTCAAGCATTCACAGTGTACTTTATTCCAATCTCAGAAGGGCTCATTTAATCGTGTGAAGTCAACTGATTACTTCAGGATCGGTTGTAATTTGGTGACAAAATTTATTTTAGCTATGGAGAATGGAATCGCCAGAAAAGATATCTTTGTTGAACTCGTTATCTCTAACGTCCTGATAAGAGTTTTCAGTAATCTAATAAAAACCTGTTTTCTTCAAATTCAATAGTACTCACGTTTGTGCGTGGAATGTTAACAGGGATCTTATACGTGAATTTGCACTTTTCTGGTTAACTAATCATTTGTTCGTATTTTATTTACTCGATGAGGCATTGAACAACTCTGGCTTCTTTACTGAATTTCAAGATTAATAAGGTGACCAATCTGCACACTATTTAGATATTGACATTTCTCACAGCTGAGTAGTTTTTCAACTGAATTCTTTGATCTACCAAAGCTACTTGAGGCAGGCATTTCATTAAGACCAATAGTGTCACTACCATTAGCATCATTTAATTTATCGTAAGAAATATACAAGGACCTAAAACATCTTTTAAATGTAGGTCAACGCCAAAACTTCACTGTTCAAGTCAGTCATCTTGGATCTCATCGAAGAAAGAACAAGTATTTCTCTCAGCAAAGACGAAAACCTTCGAATATATATGAAAAGTATTACTTTAAATTTAGTATAACTAATCAATCCCTGCCTCACGATATAATTCAGTTCAACGAGATTTACAAACAAATCAAATTAAGTGTTATTGGTTCACCAACATCTGAACTGGTTATTGAAGCAGTAGTGCAGAATTTAGTCATAGAATATTCCTAAGAATTTTGGTCCTGATGGTCACAATAGTTAGAAAAGACAAAACATAACCAGAAAAAGTAATACAGCATTCGTATCCATGAGCCAGTGACACTCAAGGTTGGAATATTTCATAAATAAACATTCGTGCAACTCGAAAAAACTTCACTCTTTAAGCAAGTAGTACTGAAAAAATTTCCCAGTCAGGAGATGAAACATGAAAGGACAAACTTAAAAGCTTACAAAACACAAAAGAAATTATATAAATATGTATATTGCAAACAGATAAACTTTTATCATACAAATTTCGTGGGGATGATGTTTGAACTAATAAATAAAAAGACATTTATTCTATTCCGCGAAGTCTTTTTACGATTGTAGACGGTATTTCCAGCTTAGTAGATGTTACAAGCTTTTAATCATTCACACATCTGTCAGTTAGGTTTTTACTCATTTTTCAAGGGTGACTCTACTTTGATTTTTACCAGCGGTGAATAGATATTTTTTACTGATATGTCAAAAACACTACATATTGTTTCACGTGATTGAGTATGTCTTTTAGATAGTATTTTGATAGTTTCGCTTTTCCGCCGAAATGGTGACACTTGTACACACGTTTATATTTTTATTTCGCCTACATTCATGGGTCAAGGCGGTAGTTAACTTGATGAGGTTGCTGACATTTGTTAACTGAGGTGTCTGGGTTATTCGTTATGCATGCTAAGTCATTTTTTACTTTAGCATCCCACGTTTACTGGGATAGAACGATGTCGAAACAGGTAAGAGTGGCTGGACAAAGATGTGTTAACAATATTTTAATTCTCTCTACAATAGCTTGGTTATATGGGATAAAGTTGACTTTCGATTGGCGTATGTGATAGAAACAAAATGAAGTAGGGGAAAATGTGGTTGATATGACTCAAAGTTGATCTAAATAATTCAGATCTATGTATATCTTATGTTTATCTAAATTGTACTGTCAAATATTTTCATTCTCTACATCTTTTCATCGTTATTTTTTGGCTTTTTATACCCCTGGATGTACGCTGTTTATATCTTTCCTGCCATTCATTTTAACTACTATTTTTAAATGCTAATGCCAGTGATAGGACCTTGGATCAGTAAACAGAAATACCACATAATCTGTCGTTGAAGTCTGTCTAATTCTGCTTTACATTCATTCATTCATTAGTTCATATCTCACTGCTAAGACAATGTTTAAAAAAATGAAATTGATTCATATGTAACTTTATTGAATTTCATGTGTTTGAATTCTGTTTCAGATTATTTTGTTCTTTGCGGTTCTACCAATCAGCTACTTCATCGGTTTCTTAGTCTCACTGGCAACTGAATCACCAATAATAGCTGTCAAACACGTTCTTGGACAAAAAGGTCCCTCCCCAGTACAAAATTAGTAACGAAATAAAGAATCGTGCTTCAAATCTAGTCAGTTTTCGTCTTTCTACTAATCAAGGAATTTTCGTGGATTTTGTTCCGACGCTCTGCAGCCATTGAAAGAAATATTTTTTAAAAGGCTATTATTGAATTTCTTACACTTTCTACATTTCTGCTTACACATTATTCTGATTTTGCAATGAAAGGGATTATAATTATTCACCTAAACAGTTAGATAATAACTTAGTAATTTTTATTTTTCAGTATGTTGCCCTAGTTATTATGAAAGAAAAAGGTAGAGTTTTGTATCTGTTTGCTTTTTTATTTACTAAAAGAGGTTCCATTTTGAAACTCTTCCTTTCATCCTAATTGTGCAATTATTTTATGAATTATTCGCATTACTTTTAATAATCTTAACAAATAACCACTTTCAAGACGCCTGAAGTTACTGCTTATTGTTTTGTGAGTTATGTAGATAGAATACAGCAATGAAGTGAAATATATTGGTAATTTATAGTAGGGCGGCAGAAGGTAGACTTCACCAAAAGACGTTTCTAAAAGCGAGTGTGATTGATGTTTATAGCAAACTGGGGATACAGGTGGATTTCAGCATAAAAGTCGCTGATAATTTCAGGCTACCAAGATAAACTTCCTTTTTTCTAAAGAATAAGTAAACTACTTAGTCGCTACAGTCTATCCCTTCGTTTGTTTGCGTGTTTATGTTTCAGCATTGGGATGTAGGTTAAACTGAAACAAGTTTTGTAATTGTGTGAGCGTAAAGAAATCTAATCTTTCAATGTCCGTAGATCGCCAACTTTGAGTAACATTCCTATTCAAAGATTAGGCTGTGGAAAAGTTCATTAGAAGCAGATTTAAAATGAAATTATGCAGAAAATGATCTGGTTTTTATATTTCTTTGAGATTTTGAGACAAATTAGTGCCCATGTTCTTATCAGTATTTAGATTTAAATCTTTTTCAAATTTATCCATAATAAATCAGTTCACTCTATAATGAACAATGTCTTCATGAAATTAAGTTTTTGAATAATTTAACTGTTATGTCATCTGCAATAGCGTGCAGGAAGTTTTCATTCGATTTCAGCTTTTTGAGACTTCTGAGATGACACATTCATACTTTTTTGTGACTTATTTTCGATGTGTTACTGTTCTAGCACTTCTTGATACTATGCATGCTAATCCATGAAGGCTCTTTGTTCAAGAAACCATTTTTAATTCGTTTCAACTTTCCTCAGTAAATGGATTGAAGTAAATTCATTACTGTAGGGAACACAGGTTTTCGATCTCAAGCTAAACGGAAGCATTGTGCATAACTTTCTGTCACTGGAATACTTACTCGGGGAATTATGAGAATGAACAAAGGCGCATGACCTGTAAGACATCATGAAGAATACTTATGATGTTAAATGACAGTTTGTTGAAAGAGCAGACTTATTCATTGGCAGTAGTTTTACCTGGTTTCTTTAGTGCGATCCTTTCAACTTTCAGTCAGTGTCTAATCTTGGTGATTAATCTCAGCAAGATAGACGGTATAGTTTGGCACCTTATGCATAAGTAAAATCATTTAAAGTGACGTTTTTTGAATAGCGATAGGAAAAATTAACGGGAGCATTATGTATGAAATAACAAAAATGAACAAAGGGTACATAAATGAGCAGCATCTTGTTCGAAAAATAAGAGATAAGTATGTTTATACCATCGTGATTAGGTGGGAGTTACTTAGAAAATTGTTATACTTTCCTACCACTTCCTTGCGAGGCAAATACTACCATGTTCCATCCAAATCAACGGCACAATTAGTGACCTTAAGCTTTAACAGTATGATGCGTATCAGGTACTTATACGTAGTCAATTCTAAAAACTTGGGGGAGTGTTAAGATAAGATCAACACAGCTTCGTTTCTCTACGTGTAGCCCTAGATAGATTATGCTTGACGAAGTAACTTAAAGGTTTTGGACACTGCAAGTCAAAAGTATCTAGTAAGGGTAATTTCCTGCATCGAAGTGAAATTTACAATAGATGAAATTAATTTGAAGAAGCTACTACTCACTACTTTATATTAGGAAGTTAGTTATTCAGTTACTCTTTCTAGTGATTTCTGATCATTATCTCAAAATTCGCTTTAACTGTTACAAGTTTGAGATTTTTTTTCAAACCCATTTAAGATTAAAAAATCAAAGTCTACATCTACCTCGGGTCGAGGCAGAAGGCTAGAACGATATAAGATGTGTATGTATACAATAAGGTAGATTTTAAGCAGAAACCCATTTTTCATGAATTTATTATTCAGTGAAATGGCAATCAGGTGAAACTATTCTAAGAATAAAACTTACCGTATAAGCAATTGAAAAATGTAACTATCAATACCGTTGACGTATATTCCTTTCTTCAAACGATTCTCATTTAAATAGATACCAGCTCCATATACCAATCAAAAATAAATAAACAGCATACGAATTCAAATATGTCTATTGAAGTGCGCATATGAGGACAACGTTAGGAGTACCATTTGTCCTATTTGATGAATGCATACTTGACTATTGTGAGTTACAAAAATTTATGATACATTGTGAGAACTAATAAAATTGGAGGAACAGTTTTTTGATTTAATTTGTAAATTCTTAATTCCAACAGCACCTTATAACAGGTATAAATGTGAGATCACTGCTAATTTCAACGGGTTCGTTGACAAAGGTTTACTAGTAGTGTTACAAGCAAGCTTTAACTCCAACTGACCTCATTATAAGATTAGAAATAACAAAGTAGGAAACAAGCTATAAAAGTTGATTAATCTTTGAAACTAACAGTCGACAAGTGGAAGATATTTGACATTAAGTAGTGTCCCAAAGACTTCCTTACAGACTTGTTTAACATAAGAGAAGTGGTTAACCATATATATTATTATTATTATTATTATTATTATATTATATTATTATTAGTCCCTTGGGTTCCTAGTGGAACATAGGGCTTCAGTATCACGCCTCCAGTGACCTCTGTTCTCTGAGATCTTTTAAACCTGGTCCCACGACAGCCCAGAAGCTCTCATTTCCTCCTCGCACGACCTCCTCCATGTCACCCTCGACGACGTCCAACTCGTCGCTTCCCATGGGGATTCTACTCGAGGGCCTGACGCGTGATGTCCTCAGTCGGCCTTCTCAGTGCACGGCCAATCCATCTCCACTTCTTCCTGCATATTTGTTGCGTGATAGGTTCCTGGTTGGTTCGTTCCAGTTAGCCATAGTTCCTTGTTGCTTATTCTTTCTGGCCATCTGATCTTCAGTAGCGAGCAGCGTAAGCAGTTGTTGATTAATGTCTGTAGTTTATTGGAAATCCCTTTCGTAACGCGCCAAGTCTCTCAACCATCACAGAGCACTGACTTGACGTTGGTGTTGAAAATCCGGATCTTGTTCCACATGCTGAGTGCAGAAGATCTCCACACTGGTTCAGGCTAATGAACGCCTGTCTTGCTTTTCCGATTCTGACTTTGACGTCTCGTCCTGTCCGCCTGTAGTTGAAACAGTGCTTCCTAGATAAGTGAAGGAGGTTACTTCCTTCAAGTTTCTCCCGTTGACGGTGATTGGAGTTTGTTGTTGTTGTTGATGGTGGTGGTGCGGTATCTTCATCACTTCTGTCTTCTCTATATTCACCTGAAGTCCCGTCTTCGCTGCTGCCTCTTCTATCAACTTGTTAGTTTTTGCCTGCAGATCTTCAAGTTTGTGTGACATTAGGCACAAGTCATCGGCGAAATCCAAGTCTTCTAGGTTCTTTTCCGTCGTCCAGCGTATCCCCCTCTTCTCGCTCTCCACTGTTTGCTGCATGATCCAGTCCACCACAATAAGGAATATCATGGGGATAATAGGCAGCCTTGTTTCACTCCTGTCTTCACTTCAAAGGCATCACTGAGCTTCCCATTGTGAATTACTTGGCATGTGGCATCTTCATATAGTTGTTGAATGAGGCTGATAAAGGTTGCGGTACTCCGTAGTAATGAGGCAGTTTCCAAATTACTTCTCGATCGACTCTGTCAAAGGCCTTCTCAAAGTCGATGAAGTTGAGGTAGAGTGTGTTGATGCCATTCTATGCTCTGTTCTATGATGATGCGAAGCGTTGCAATTCGGTCTGCACATGGTTTGTACTTCCTGAAGCCTGCCTGTCCGGTCGTAGTTTTGAATCCAGTGCATCTTTAGCCTCTCCAGGATGATGCGGCTAACATTTTACTTGGGGTGGACAGGAGAGTGATTCCGCGCCAGTTCTTGCAAACACTGAGGTCTCCCTTCTTCGGCAGTTTGACAAGGTAACCCTTCTTCCAATGAATCGCAGGTACCTTCTCTTCCTTCCACATCTTCTGCAATAGTGGTGTGAGCATGTCCGCTGTTGTCTCTGCATCTGTTCTCAGTGCTTCTGGCGGTATCCATCTGGTCCTGCTGCTTTCCTACATTTCAGTAGCTTTATGGCGTTCAGGACTTCCATTTTCGTTGGGGGATTTATGTTCACTTGTAATTCAGCGGCTGCAGGTGGTATTTCTGGACGAAGTGCAGTGGTGGTGGTGGTCGATTCAAGAGCTTCTTGAAGTGGTCGGCCCATCGTTTCCTCTGTTTCTCTTCTTTTGTAATTAAATTTCCTTCTTCATCTTTTATTGGTTTCATCTGTGTTGGTCTCTTCCCTGATAGCAACCTGGTTATTTGATACAATGTCGTCAGGTCTCTCTTACCTGCAGCTGTTCTGCTTCACTTGCCAGTGTTTCGTAGAAGTGTCTTTTGTCTTTCCGTGCACTCTTCTTCACTTCTTTGTCCAGTGTTTTATACATTGTGCTCAGTTCCTCTTGTCGTTGAGCATCCTTGCACTGGTTTATCTTCTGCTTCACCATCCTCCTCTCCCTCTCTATCAGCTTCCAGTGTCCATCCAGATCCATTCCTTGTCTTCTTTCTTCTTCCTTCCTAATATGCTTGTGCAGGTTTCTTTCCACATCTCTTCAAAGACTTCCAGTGTTCTTCCACACGGT